ACTGTTAATTTGAAAAAAGAAACGATTTTTTTTACCTAGTTTTCCACTAAATATTATCAAACGCAAACCAAACCGAATTAAACAAATATTTAAATGAAGCCCTTTTTTCAAACCTTCAAAATCACGGATGTACTTTCACTACATCATGTTAGGCGCCGGAGCACTTTACGCTGGTGATGCTATAATGTCATGGTCAACGGCCAATTCTAACTGGTCCAGCTTGACATTTCCACCAGAGAGCGGTGGGCGTCGTAAATTTTGGACAAAATAATGCAGGAATGTTGTTGTTATTAGAGGGCTGTATTTTTATTACGCTTTTATTAGCTTCAGACGTATGTATGCTTGTAACGGAATCTTTGAATATGATTTTGACCCCCTTCAAAACGTCAGATTAACTCGAAATTTGGTATACTTATTAAGGATCGATGACAAATCAATATTTAAAAAAATATATGGAAAAAATTGAAATTCAACTAAAAAATGAAAATTAAGTATTATGTAGTTTAAAAAAACTAACAAAATACGCTTTTATAGAAAATCCAACTAAAAAATAGAAAATTTTAATAAATTGGAATTAAAAATAGTGTAAGAAAATATGATTTTATTGTAAAAAAAGCTTGGGGTGCTTTTCAGGATATTGTCAAAATAATCCTTCTACTCATATCTGTTCATAAAGTATTTATAACTGATACCATGCACCCCACGCTTTTTTTTACAATAAAATCATTTTTTCTTACACTATTTTTAATTCAAATTTATTAAAATTTATTTTCTAATTTTTAGTTGGATTTTCTATAAAAGCGTATTTATTTTTTAGTTTTTTTAAACTATTATTTATTTTGTTGCTACTTGCTGCTGCAGTAATGAACATGTGAATTTTAATACATCTATAGCTTTAACATTCGCTTCGGCATCTTGGTCATAGTGAGTTAAGCCTTTAGTTACGCAGTCGTAGGGACAAAAAGCCAACTTAATTTAAGTAAATTTTGAGGTTACCAGGCCTTATTGGTGCAAAATGACAATTTCGCTTTGACGACAACAACTGCCACGTTGACATAGTTGCGATTTTCATTTAGGTTTCATTAGATCGGGTAAGTACTACCGACTTACATATTTCTGCCGTGAAGCGGTAATGTGTTTCGGTTTGAAGGGTGGGGCAGCCGTTGTAACTATACTGAGACCTTAGAATTGATATCTCAAGGTGGGGGCGGGAATTACGTTGTAGATGTCTATGGGCTCCGGTAACCACTTAACACCAAGTGGGCTGTGAGGTCGTCCACCCACCTATGCAATATATAAATAAAAGCTTTGAAATAGAAAATGTATTCATGGAAAACCACTACTTTTCTCAACGCTCCAAGTGCAAGCGTTAAGGCATTACTGTTCCAAAGTATTAATATTACTATTTAAAGGTCGCTGTATACGTAACGAGATATTACCTCGGACGGAACATGGCAATTGCGGGGCGGGATGTCCCTACCCGAAATATACTCTTAAATATACATTTAGTATGAAACGATGCTCTCAAAACTTCCCATCCCGTCCCGTCCGTACAAAAACCCGTCACGTATGCAATGGCCTTAAGTCATTACTAATCGCGTTTACCCTCTGATTAGTAGAATGGGCGCTACTAAATGTTGTTGGCACAACTCTCGCTTGCAGTATCTTATGCTATTAACTAACGTATGCTTAAATCGCCTCACCAGTTTGGAATGGCAACCACGAAAGTAGAATACTATAACTGAGCCCTGTTATTGTTCGGTAGGTCGGCGGTCCGTTATGTTATTCGAGACTTTTATTTGTTTTTATTGAGTTTATACGGAACGTGCCTGGTCACCGTAACTGATGGAGCAGTGCCAGGGACACGTTCAAGTCACTGCTTACCGCTAGTGTCATGTAAATTTTGTAAATATCATCAGCGCTATTTAGTTCTGTCGAATATTTTCTTGTCCACAAAATCTACATGATCATAGCTTAGAACGAGCAAACGATTTCGGGGTCCGATTTCTTCTAAACTACTATTGGAATTTGCCACTGTCAGCCCACTGAGTTTTTCACTGGATCTTCTCAGTGGGTCGCGTTTCCGATCCGGTGGTAGATTCTGCGAAGCACGGCTCTTGCTAGGGTTCGTGTTAGCAACAACGTCAGGTTTGAGCCCCGTGAGCTCACCTTCTAGCCCGGCGACGCTGACATGGTCTCTCTAGACCATCAGCTTAGGTAGGAAAAAAAGCCACTATATAATTCCGCGCACAATCGAAGTATGAATTTCATTCTAATACTTGCTGTTATATATACCCTTTGAACTGGAGTAAATATTCGCCTCGAGGAAAAGAAGATCGGATTAGCCATTCACCAGTGTGAGTTCACTAGTGAGAGCGCTTTTGAGTAATAGTTTGAGATTTTTAAAACAAGACAACTTACATTGCTTTTTTTCGGTTATACTTTCTCTTTGGTAATTAGTAAACGAAACAGAAAATTCAATTTCATAATAAAAAAAACACTTATTCTTAAACATACAGACGAGTCTTTATCGATAATTCGAACACGATAGAATTGTTTCCAAAAATTCATAAAAACTGCACTCAAAAAATCGATCACAATATTAAATCAAGAGATATCGTTGCCAGAACTTACGTAACACGTGTTGAAATGCTCATTGTGAAGCCATGCGACGTATAATGCGTACAAATTACCAATTACTGGTACAACACTATAATGTATTAGCATAAGACTGGACATTGCACTGTAGTATCTGCGTAATGTTTATTAACTGGCATAACAATTTTCTAGATTTGATAATCGTCTTATTTCTGATTGTATTTTAATTTTTTTGTAGCAGCCCTAAATTTTATCTGACGGAGCTCGGATTACGATCCAGTAGATTAAGTATCAGTCGAGCTTATTGTTAAAGAAGAATAGCAGATTTTTTAACATCACTAGACGCAATCACATTCCGTGCCTTAATTAAAGTTGCTCTTTTAACATTAAAGGTTAAGACTGTCTTTAGAAATATCAAAATTATAAACAAGTCGAAGTTTAAAGTTGTGTGTGGGGAGTGCTCTGAGGAATTGTTCGAGATGATACCATCGTCTCTTTTTTACCATCGCACTCCCCACCACCGGAGTAGAGTTCATCCATATTACCTGGAGCCACTGCGTTCATCCATAGTGCGATTCCAGTGATATTTTTTGCCACGTAACATACGGCTCTGGAATGAGCTCTCCTCCACGGTGTTTTCGGAGCGCTATGACATGTCCTTCTTCAAACGAGGCTTGTGCAGAGTATTAAACGGTAGGCAGCGGCTTGGCTCTGCCCCTAACACTGCTGAAGTCCATGGGCGACGGTAACAACTCACCATCAGGTGGGCCGTATGCTCGTCTGCCTACAAGGGCAAAAAAAAAACTGTTGTGGAATAAATGATAAGATGCTTGGTGTATTCGTATTAAGCGATGCGAGCAGGTGTTCAAATCCCGCAGCCACGTATTAATTCTCCATATGAAACGCGTACTTAACATGGAATAATAATTTCCACAAAAAATATAATTTGCGTAATTTGCCCGTAAGTACTGTGGTCCTCCGTATTTATGCCACGAGAGAATCAAGCGGTCCGGGTTGAACGATGGAGCGTTAAATAATGTAATTGAGACTAAAATACCTCGTTTTCCTGGGCAGTTTATTGCTTAGATGGGTGGACGACCTCACAGCCCACCTGGTGTTAAGTGGTTACTGGAGCCCATAGACATCTACAACGTAAATGCGCCACCCACTTTCAGATATAAGTTCCAAGGTCTCAGTATAGTTACAACGGCTGCCCCAACCTTCAAACCGAAACGCATAGTAATGCGTCCCGTGTATTATTTCAGAAATAGGTGGGGTGGTGGTACCTACCCGTCCGGACTCACAAGAGGTCCTCCCACCAGTAATTACGCAAATTATTATTTTGCGGGTTTGATTTTTATTACACGATGTTATTCCTTCACCGTGGAAGTCAATCGTGTTAAGTACGTATTTTATTAGAAAAATTGGTACCCGCCTGCGGGATTCGAAAATCGGTGCATCGCTACATACGAATGTACCGAACGTCTTATGTGGAGTTTACATTACGAAATTAGTGTCATGCATGTTGAGCTCAGTTTCACGAAAGTAGTTTCGATATATGCGAAAGTAGTTTCGTTAAAAAATTAGTGTCGCGAAATCCACAGTATCGCAGTAACCATGGCGCCTTCAGCATCAAAGCTATAATTTGCTATATTCAATGTAGCTAAAGAAATGCTTATATACCTATAAACTTAAAAAAAAGACTATCAAGAAAAGAAAAAAGTTGGTAGATTCGAGGATGGTCAACAAGAAGGCATTTAGGTGCAATGAAGTCAGTCTCTGAATTAGCAGATGAAGATCCTGAGAGTTATAAAAACTATTTTCGAATGAGTGAAGATAATTTTGATTTTTTACTATAGGTGTTTCGGGACCCTTGTCATTGATATTCATTAATAAGATCTATATTTTTTTCTGTACCCCATCATTGGTTTGTCATTTTCAACGCTTGAAGCGCGTCGGAACTAACAATACACACGTCCGCACAGCGCAGGCCCTTTCGCGACATTAGTTTCACGTCGCGTCTACACTATGAAATTAGTTGCATGACACTAATTTCACCAAAAAATCGCGCAGGGCACGAAACGAATTTACATGCATGAAATTAATGCATGCATTACGAAAGTATTAAATTACACGTGAAACTGTTGGTAAAACTAATGTCACGAAATTAATTTCACGCCACTAATTTCGTAATGTAAATTCGGCTTAAGGCGAAACTAATGTCGCGAAAGCGCCTGCGCTGTACGGACGTGTGTATTGTTAGTTCGGACGCGCTTCAAGTGTTGAAAATGGCAAACCAACGTTGGAGTACAGAAAAAAATATACAATTCATTAATGAATATCATCGACAAGAGTGTCTCTGGGACCCGAAACACCTACAATATAAAAATAGGAATGCCCGAGATGCGGCCTACAAAATAATTATGGAAGCCATGGAGATGCAATGTGTCAAAGAAGTTGTTGGTAAAATACGATCACTTCGAAATACTTACAACAATGAGTTGTTAAAGGCAAAAAAATCTAATACTACGGGTATGGCAACCAATGATCTGTATATTTCTAAAATTCCTTGGCTGTGTAGTTTGGATTTCTTGAAAAATATTGACAGTTACACGAGAGAAAATACAGAAAATATGGTAAGTATACTTTATTCTACAATATTACAATGGATGTTTCGCTTTTGCCTCCATGCATTTAAAAAAGCATTCTCTCTTGACATTCTACACGACCATGTCCAACAAAGTAGTATAACCTTGTCTTATGAGGGTTAAATTTCTAGAATGATTTCTACCCAGATTACGGTGTGGAAAAAGCTCCTTGGGTTACCGTCCGCCATGAACCTTCCCCTAATTCTCTCGTTTCTGGATTTTCTTCATCAATCAAACCCGGTTCTATGTAAGTCGACGAAATAGTTTTCAGCCAATTATGCAAGACACAACATGTCTTTATTATTTTGTCCACAGTTTCTGGCAATACCGGGATAGGCTTCTCGAATATCCGAAACTTACTAACTAAGACACCAAAAGTATTTTCTATAGTCCTTCGAGCTCTGCTTAATCTGTAGTTGAAAATTTTTTGCTTGTTTGATAAGTCTAATCGACGACTATATGATGTCATAAGATATTCGGTTAGGGGGAAAGCATGATCTCCCAACAAAACCATTCCTTCAGGAGCATTCAAGGAGCGTTCCTCCAACATTGTTTTTAAATTTGATCTAGCAAAAATTCCCCCATCAGAAGCACGACCATAATGACCCACTTTAATGTATCTAAATTTTAAATTACTGTCACAGACTGCTAGAAGGACTATACTGAAAGTTCTCTTGTAATTATAGTAATCAGTTCTTGAACGCGCTGGACAACGTATTTGGACATGTTTGTCATCTATAGCGCCACCACAGAACGGAAAATTACATTTGTCACTAAAACCATAAACTATCTCGCTCCGAGTTTCTTCTGTGTTTGCCATCTGTAAAGAAAAAAAGTTCATTAAAAATATAATTAATTGTTTCATGCACCAAATACCCAGGCAGCTTCTACTTCAGAATCTGAGAGCCAAGATTTTACCGTACCATCCATACCTACAAAAAATAAAAGAAAAATAAAAGATCCTCTATTGCAGGCAGTAGATGCATTAGAAAACGTTTCAACGCAGCACTTTTCAAATGATGAATTTGATCTTTTTGGACAAACTATAGCTCAACAGCTACGGCAACTTCCTTTAGAAATTGCTCTGAAAACAGAGGAAATGATTTTATCAACAGTCCGCAAGCAACGAATCAAATTAGCAAAACAACAGACATCAACTCAATAAGTTCGCCTTCCAACTTTATCCTCGGAACCCAATACCTTTGCTTCAACCAGTGGTACCAGTGGTGTAATAACAGACAACGAGTATCCTTATGATGAGGACTACGATGTACTCGCACGGGCTGTAGCAAGCATTCATGATACATCTATGTCGAAGTCCAAATAGAGTTATGATCAATATTAATTTTTAAATATCCTAAGTTGTTGATTGTTTGTAGCTACTTCCAAATAAAAAATAAAAAAATATTTGCTTACCTCAATTAAGTTTTTTAATTCTTGGTAGACTGCATCCAAGATCTCAGGCACAAATTTCGATATACTACAAGATGACACCCTGAATTCGTATGATAAAGACTTAAAACTATTTCCAGATGCTAACAAGCGCAGCGTAATTTGAAGTTTAAGTTTTGCTGGTAACGCTTCTCGACATATCGTATCTTGTTTCTATTAGATATTTTGTTGGACACTCTTGTCAGTAAAAAATTAAAATTATCTTGACTCATTCTAAAATAGTTTTTATAGCTCTCAGGATCTTCATCTGCTAATTCAGAGACTAACTTCATTGCACCTAAATTTCTTGTTAACCATCCTCGAATCCACCAACGTCTTTTTTTTTCTTGATTGTCGTTTTTTAAGTTTATATATAAGCATTTCTTTAGCTACATTGAATATAGCAAAATATAGCTTTGATGCTGACGGCGCCATGGTTACTGCGGATACTGTGGATACTGTGGATTTCGCGACACTAATTTTTTTACGAAATTACTTTCGCATATATCGAAACTACTTTCGTGCAACTGAGTTCAACATGCATGACACTAATTTCGTAATGTAAACTCCGCATTAGGTCACGACGCGACGACTTCAATTCTTGAATCTTCAAAGTCTCTAAGGCATCTTCTCTGTTCTTTGAAGAGTTAATAAACATACGATATATTATCTTGAAATTATAAATTAGAATTCATATACATAGTTATTTAATTAAATTTACGTTCATTGATCGACTATTTATATTAAAGTTCGGTTTTTAATCAGACAATTATCGAATTTTCAGTTATATTCGCTGATTGTCACCGATATTCTCTGTTCAGAAAACCTTAAATATTAAATTGTCTACTAGGCTGCACTAAAAGTATCGGGAATGGAATATTTCCACTGTTCCTGTCATATTAAAATCTTTTTAATTGAAAACTCCTTGGTTTTAAAAATCGAATACCATTTATTTATTTAAAAAGAGATTCTCGGTCTTGTCACGAGGTTTTGTCAAACTTGTTTAGTCGTTGAGAAAATGGAATTGACTCGAGAAAATTCAAGAGCGATGATTTATTATGACTTTCGAAGTGGTTTAACACAAAAACAGTGTGTTGACCGGATGATTTCTGCATTTGGTGATGAAGCCCCATCCAAAACCACAATTTATCGCTGGTTTGCTGAGTTTCAACGTGGACGTGTCAAGCTCAGTGATGATCCCCGTCAAGGTCGTCCAAAAACTGCAGTCACCCAAGAAAACGTTGATGCTGTGCGTAAGCTGATTGAGGAAGATCGACATGTGACATACCGCGAAATTCAGGCAACTTTAGACATTGGCATGAGTCAAATACAAATAATCTTGCATGAACAATTAGGTGTAAAAAAGTTGTTTTCCCGATGGATACCGCATTCGCTCTGTGAAGAGCAAAAAGCGGCTCGCGTTACTTGGTGCGTCAGAACTCTCGAAAGATTCCACGCAGGATCCTCAAATGCTGTATACAACATTGTATCAGGTGACGAATCCTGGATATACGCGTACGAACCCGAAACAAAAAACCAGTCACGAGTTTGGGTGTTCGAAAATGAGTTAAAGCCAACAAAAATTGTTCGTTCACGGAGTGTTGCAAAAAAAATGGTGGCCACGTTTGTCTCCAAAACCGGCCATGTTACGACTATTCCTCTTGAGGGACAAAGAACGGTTAATGCAGAATGGTATGCTAGCATTTGTTTGCCACAGGTCGTTTCTGAACTCCGTAAAGAGAACTGCAACCGCCGCATCATCCTCCATCACGACAATGCGAGTTCTCACACCGCGCACAGAACAAAAGAGTTTTTAGAGCAAGAAAACATAGAATTATTAGACCATCCGCCGTACAGCCCCGACCTAAGCCCTAATGATTTCTATACTTTCCCTAAAATAAAGAATAAATTGCGTGGACAGAGATTTTCATCACCTGAAGAAGCTGTGGACGCCTACAAAACGGCCATTTTGGAGACACCAACTTCCGAATGGAATGGTTGCTTCAATGATTGGTTCCATCGTATGGAAAAATGTGTCCAATTTCGCGGAGAATACTTCGAAAAGCAATAAATACATTTTTAAATAGTAATGTTGTGTCACTTCGTTAATTCCCGAAATTTTCAGTGCCGCCCTCGTATGCACAAAACTGACATTATGTCCCCCGGAGGGTTGAGGTCAGGAGTGCCATCTTGTATAGGGGACATATTGAAAAAGTATCCATGTTGGAAGACTCACCGAAATAGCGCTAGGGTTAGAAGTGTAAGTTTTGAACGGAATGAAGTGTGGTGGTCCATAGCGCTGTTTTTAAAATCATTCCACTTGGTATTATGGCGCCATCTTAATTTGCTCTCTTTCAGCGGTGAGGAGTCAGTCAGCTTCTACCGTCCATATACAAATCTTACGCAAATAACCTAAAGAGGCTACTTAGATAAACATATTCACAAGTAATTTGGTTTAAGCATTTGCAATGATAAAAACAGAAGATTATATCGGGCTCGCCGTACCGTTGTTTTTTTTTAAATGTTAGGTACGATACTTCCTTAAAGGACGTTTCGGTGAATCGAAGCTGTGACTTGCAATTGTGATGACATGTAATGGATCACGTTTATTTTCCTCCTGTAATGACTCGGACGCGATGAGTCGTGTGCTTCTGAGAAGGACGTTGAAAGGTGACGACGACGTGCTAAGTTTGTTTTTGTGTGCGCTAAATGTATTGCCGTATATAATTAACTAGCGACCCGCCCTCGCTTCGCTTCGGAAACTGTAATTTATTATTGGTTTCTCCACTATTTAATGGATGTTATTATACATACAAACCTTCCTCTTCAATCAGTATATTTAATAAAAAAAACCGCATCAAAATCCGTTGCGTAGTTTTAAAGATTTAAGCATACATAGGGATATAGGGACAGAGAAAGCGACTTTGTTTTATACTATGTAGTGATTTAGCATTACATTATTTTTATTGACGTTACATTTTTTACGCTGATCGATTGTAATTATTAGTAGATTTCTTTTAAGTTTTTATTAAAAATTTAATGAGTCAAGAATCAAATTGTCGTCGAGAATATCAGAGCTTTAAATCTCTAATAACGACACGTACTTTTCGGTTGAAAGACACTGACAATCAGTGCCGAATTGAGACTTAAAAATGTACACTTTATTTACTGGTGTTACGGTGTAATGAGAGTCCGCACGGGTAAGTACCACCACTCTATCTATTTCTGCAGCGAAGAAGGAATGCGTCCCGTTTTATGGGTGGGGCAGTTATAATAGTACACTATTATGTTATACATACGTAAGTTATGCTACCATACAAGTCTAAAGTCTGGAAGTCGTCGTGCCCTAAAAGATAAGACATCCGGTGCATACGTGTTGAGGCGATGCACCGATGTTCGAATCTCAGGCGGGTACCAATTTTTCTAATGAAATAGGTACGTACTCAACAATTGTTCACGATTGACTTCCACGGTGAAGGAATAACATCGTGTAATAAAAATCAAACCCGCAAAATTATAATTTGCGTAATTACTGGTGGTAGGATCTCTTGTGAGTCCGCGCGGGTAGGTACCACCACCCTGCTTATTTCTGCCGTGAAGCAGTAATGCGTTTCGGTTTGAAGGGTGGGGCAGCCGTTGTAACTATATTTGAGACCTTAAAACTTATATCTCAAGGTGGGTGTCGTATTTACATTGTAGATGTCTATGGGCTCCAGTAACCACTTAACACCGGGTGGGCTGTGAGATCGTCCACCAATCGAAGCAAAAAAAAAAATACAGCAGTGCAAAGTTCGTTCATATTATCTGGAACCGCTGTGTTCATCGACATTGCGTTTTCAAAGATCTTTTCTGCCACGTACCATCTGGCTTTGAAATAAGCTTCCCTCCATGGTGATTCCTGAGCGCTATGACATGTCCTTCTTCGAACAAGGCTTGCGGAGAGTACTCAATGGTAGGCACGGCGGTGTGTCGTATGATTGTCTGCCTGCAAAGACAAAAAAAAACACAATCGAGTCTTCGACCGCATGTTTTGTGGTGGTTGGTGGTANAAGATCTTTTCTGCCACGTACCATCTGGCTTTGAAATAAGCTTCCCTCCATGGTGATTCCTGAGCGCTATGACATGTCCTTCTTCGAACAAGGCTTGCGGAGAGTACTCAATGGTAGGCACGGCGGTGTGTCGTATGATTGTCTGCCTGCAAAGACAAAAAAAAACACAATCGAGTCTTCGACCGCATGTTTTGTGGTGGTTGGTGGTATTAACTTAGTGATGTCTACGGACTCGGGTGGGCTCTGAGCTCGTTCACTTGTCAAATCAATAAAAAATCAAACTGTGTGAATAATAAAATATTTTTCGTCATATTTTTTGTTTACTAGCTGACCCGGTAGACTTCGCAGTGCCTCAATCGATAAATAAAAGACCTAAACTTTTGTATAAAATAAACTTAAAACAAACAAAATTGTTATTTTTATTTAATTCCGAGGATTTTCATATTTATCTACCTTTTAAACCTTCTCTGGACTTCCACAAATAGTTCAAGACCAAAATTAGCCAAATCGGTGCAGCCGTTCTCGAGTTTTAGCGAGACTAACGAACAGCAATTAATTTTTATATATATAGATATTGTCCACGTTCCAGCTGCGAGAAAGAAATACCTTGTTAAAATATGTGTGACGTGAATTATGTAGGGAATGCCTTTTTAGCGATTTATTATCGAGACGGCTATTTACATGAAGCTTAAAGGTTGACCACTCGCTCGTGTAGCATCGCGTCTAAATACAAAACATGTTCTGATAAATGTTGAAAAATGAAGTCATAAAATATTGTTCAATTAAATTCTCTTCACGATACAATACGATAAGTTCAATACAACCATTTTTTAATACCTACTCGTTAAACTTATCCATTTACGGTATTAAAATGAGTTCTCTCGTGTGAAATACGGTTTTCGTTGATATATTTTTCGTGCAAGCGTGTGTCGGGTATGTTAATCGTTTTCGGATCGTCTCGTTATCGCTTTAACGACAATTAAGCAATTAAGTGACAAAAAAAAAATACATGAAAGTTTTTCTTTAAATGATGTGAATTTTTGTTTTAATTATTGCATTCTTTTATTAAGAACGTACATGCTGTTAAAAATTAATTAAATTTTCTTTCTGAAATAATATGTTTTGATGGCTTAGGAAATCGAATGATGAAATTATTATTACATATTGTCTTTTCGCATTCAAAGTGTACAATTTCCAAAAATATTCGAAATTGAGTTAATATGCGGAATCATTTGGTATCATCAGTGTTTTTCTCATAAATACTGTCATAAGAGCGTAGTTTAGATTTAGTTTTTTTTTGTTTACCTATATTTTGATTACTATTAACAAAGTTAATACATAATTTTATCTTACTTTAAAAGACAGATAATGTAACTGGTAAAAACTAAAAAATAAATGTTGCAAAGATGATTAATATTAAAAATATCATATGTTAAACCTTTAAAACACTCTTCTGTAAAATTTAGTAAGTTTTGAGATTATACAGTTTTAATGCGAGAAGACGATATGAGGAATATATCTTTCTTCATCAATTTCAGAGAAGGATATTGAACTAGGATATGAACGATTGGTATTTCTTTTATTATGGTTCTAGGCAGACGAGCATTCCACCCACCCGATGGTGAGTGGTTACCGTCGCCCATAGACGTCAGCAGTGCTAGGGGCTGAGATAAGCCGATACTTACCGTTAAGTACTATCCACAATCCTCGTTTGATATACTCGAGCAATTACTCCGATACATTCGAAAGTTCGAAATCGTGATCGCGTGACGTGTGATTAACATTTAACTTCTGGCTAACCATTGCTAACTTAAAAGCTTCTAGAGCTTTGCGGAAGATAAGAATACAGCTCGGTTAAAATATCTGGACCTCGCTGGAATGTGAAGCACCCCCCCTCCGTTTCCCTTTCGCCAGGTCCAGAGATAATGTAATAAGGTTGTAGTGAACTTTATAGCTACCACTATTGTATTGCTCGGTTACAATATCTCTGGACCTCGCTGGAATGTAAAGCCCTTCCCCGTTTCCCTTTCGCCAGGTCCAGAGATTATGTAACTGGATTGTACACAAAAATAAGAATATTTCAAATTTCTGTCAATCAATAAACCATACTATAGATCTGTACGGCATTCGATGTATGTGATCGGTATCCGAATGAGGATCTAGTCGTCTGTCAAGGTCGCGAGTGTCTTGACCTAAACGCCTACAAACAATACGGCGCTGTCAAACTGTCAATGTCCCTTGCTTAGATTTGTGGTACAAGCTAAAAGATACAGCGTCTACAATCTTTTTTTTTTATGATTGAAGGATTACTGGTGGCCCGGAGGCCTTTCCAGTTTCACCAGGACAGGTGGGCGAGCAAGGGCTCAGCCAGGAGGGTGTCTACAATCTGTGTTTCTTTTTGTACCGTATCACCTTCATTTTGTACGATTTTGTAACGGAGATTGAAAATTGCGAGGATATAATACGGCCTACTATGAGTATTGCAGGGAAGTTCTCCGAAAGGGGATCTTTAAGCCAAAGCACAGTAAATGGTTTCCTTCTTATTATTATGTGCAAAAAAAAAAACTATTTTTTTTAATTATATAATGTCGTTTGTTCATATCAGTTTCATTTATTTTGTAAAAAAAAATAATGTAAAATTAATTTGCAAAGTAATCGCTTCTTCTTTCAAATTGAACCTGTTTAAAAATTATCTAAACGTTGGCCCAACACAAATCAATGTGTGCTGTATTCCCGACAGGTTTAGGTTTTATTTGAGTTTTATAAACATCAAAGTTATTGAAATACTCAATATAGAACAGTCATCCATTATATGCAAATAGTTCTCAGTAAAAAGCATTTAAGCATCGAAGGCACGTTTCGCGACAATTTCCAATATATTTTATTTGATTCATTGTTTATTAGCTTAGGCTAGTCGATGAGCTGTAAGCAATAGGATACCAGGTATGCTTTAGAATGAAGTGGTGAACGCGAATACTAACTGTATTACGTTAGCAATCAGCATATTTTCAAACGCAACAGATTTTCCACTATCAATGGAATTACACCAGCACTAGGCTTTCACGATAATTAAGTTTGTGAACCAAAAACCCACAGTGGTATAAAATAATAAATAAAAGTTTTTAAAATAAAAATCACTATTTTACAAGATGAACGGCCGTATCGAATTTTTATGAGAATATTATTAAAATTAATCCAAACGTTACGGTAAAATCATCTGATGAATCCACGAAAATTCCTTTTGTCACCGGACATTATCCTTTATGGAAATCGTTTAAATTATAATTTATTATTTTAAAGTGTCATATTTTGTTTTTAAGGTTCACTGAATATTTATTGAACGAAAAATCAATAGATCAAAGAAAGGTGTGGCTCTATAAAATATAAATTTTAAATAACGGTAAACAAAATTAATTCGTAGTTTTTTTTATTTATTTTTTATTAGGTGAACTTACAACTTACTACGAAAATTTGCTAACACTAACTCTAGTAAGAGCAGTGCGTCGCATAAGGATCGGAATCGCGACTCACTGAGAAGATCCAACGAGAAACTCAGTGGGCTGTGTCTATTGGTTATAAAGAATTCATATGGGTTATAAGGTTCATACAGAATTAGCAAATTCCGTTTCTCGTATTGCTAGCAGAAGTTGTAACTCAATCTATATAAAAATGAATTGCTGTTCGTTAGTCTTGCTAAAACTCGAGAACGGCTGGACCGATTTGGCTAATTTTGGTCGTGAATAATTTGTGGAAGTCCAGAGAAGGTTTAAAAGGTAGATAAATATGAAAATGCTCGGAATTAAATAAAAATAGCAATTTTGTTTTTTCTTTTATGTGTCCCCCGTCGGACAGATTCCTTTGTCTGTTTTAAGTTTATTTTATACAAAAGTTTAGGTCTTTTATTTATCGATTGAGGCACTACGAAGTCTGCCGGGTCAGCTAGTCTTCAATATTTTTGTGAGCGTCTCATGGCGAAAAGCATTTAAAAGCCCATTCATTATTATGTGCGTGAGGTGTGTCAAACGTATCAGAGAAAACAATTGTAGTATGCCTAATATGTTTTTTTATTGGATATGGCTCGGATAGTTTCAATATTATTATATTTGACAACATCCCATAGTATCCATAATATTCGAATATTCTAAACTTTATTCGCGTATTTAAACTACAGTGCTATTTCTGTTTAAACTCGTAAAATAAATATATTTATGTGTCAAATTAACAAGTTTTTTTGGTTGTTTTTAGCACTTTGAATATTTTCTGTGTTCGGGTCCTTAGTAATTTGACACTTTGAAACCTGAACTGCAGAGTATAAAATTTGAATGCGATATTATTATTTTTTAATTTATTTTCTAACGCTTTTTTTTCCAGATGGAGATGCGATGGTACAGGTCTAGCCGGACCTCATTGCTGACTTATTGGATATTTTTGTTGCAAGTAAGTTTGAGTAATAATATAGTTATAGTTTGAGTAACAAATAATGAGTAAAATAACGGTGCTTGTGGTGCCTACAAGCACCGTTAATGGAACTATATTACATTCACCGTCCTCGTCGGAGCCGTCGCTTATGACGAAGGGCTCGACGAGCGAATTAATCCATAGACACAGCCCACTGAGTTTCTTGCCGGATCTTCTCAGTGGGTCGCGTTTCCGATTCGGTGGTAGATTCTGCGAAGCACTGCTCTTGCTAGAGTCAGTGTTAACGACACTCCGGTTTCAGCCCCGTGAGCTCACTTACACACGTTAGGGCGAAACTGAAATAGCCTCTCAAGGCTATCAGCATAGGTAGGAAAAAAAAAGTCATATAGTTAGTACCTTTCTTTCTCGTTCGTTATTTTTTCGTTGATTTGAAACCCACAACTGGTTCTCAACATATTATTAATAAATAAATGGTAGTTTTTGTGGTTAAAATAGCGTTTCTCGAAGTTCAAGCTTAAAATGAATAAAGCAAAGGTGAGATGAAATCACAAAAATGTAAGTACGTACCGCCTACAGTTTGCGAAAATTACATACTTTAAATTTATTTAACGACTCACTGAATCCTCTGGCAGAGTTTTGGTATTTTTTAAATAATTAAACGAGTAGTAAGACATACATAATTTTAGAACAAGAAGTTCTCACTTCGATAGTAGGGTACTTCTTGCCACAAAAAATATTTTTGTGATGAAGTTAAAGCTGATATAGCAAAAAGCCTGTCATCATCATCATCAGCCCACAGTTGTCCACTGCTGGCCTAGACTAGCTGGCATAGGCTGGTATAGGCCTTTCCAAATCCACACCACTAATCCTGGTCTTCGGTTCTCCTCATCCACCTCTTGCCGGCTACCGTTTAGAGGTCATCGCACCACCAAACCAGGAAGCGTCCCACGTTACATTACTTTTACATACTTTATATTTTAAGTCAAATCAATCATGATTTCTCTTAATTTTCGTGGTCTTAGCAAACTCACATAGTTTTAAAAGAAAGTAGCTGTACCCGTCCGCTTCGCTGGGAATTTAAAGTTAACATAATTATTTCTCACCCCCACAAAGATTCTCATCATTAACGCCCCCGCAACTGGTGTAAGGAGTCCAACACTCATATACATATTGCCTATCCATTAAGTACATGTATTTTCTACATGGATACCAAGTTTCAAGTTAATCGGATGCATGGTTCATTCAGTAGTTATAACGGAACATTCGTAAAAACCACTGTAGATTTATAGATAAGTGTTTACAAGCAGGTACGAATCATTCCAGATGTTGGAAAGCGCGCGTCGCGGAGCCGAAGGTCACGGACGACTGATGGACCCGCCCGCCAGAAACTCGATGTGGAGGTTCGGCTTCCCCAACCCCGTCAACTACAACGACAACGAGCTTTTCTGTGGAGGTTATGCTGGTATGTTTAAGCATTTTCAGGAAAGCACTTTCGTTTTTCTACCTATTCTAGTGACTTCGAGTAATCATGCTAGATTCACGCGAGCGAATAGCTAAGCTCACGAGGCTCTAACCTGTTGGACGTTGCTAGCACTAGCCCTAGCAAGAGCAGTGCTTCGCAGAATCTACCACCGGATCGGAAACGCGACCCACTGAGAAGATCCGGCGAGAAACTCAGTGGGCTGTGTCTGTGGGTTAATTTACTCACCGAGCCCTTCGTCGCAAGCGATGGGTTCGACGAGAACGATGACTGGTGCGGAAGTTACTAAATACATATGTTTAATATATATGAATCAATAATTATATATGGATTACAAAATTTAACACAGGTGAAATCACGGGCCACGTCTAGTCCATTTATAAATGGGCAAAGGTATATTTCGTCAATCGTTTCTCTTGTGTTCGTCAACTAATATTTCTTTTATGTTAAATATTGAGGAGCTTTACTGGTTTTAAAAAAACATTTGTAAGACAATATTTTGTCCATATTATAAAAAAAAAAAAAATAATATAACAAAAACAAAAAAAAAAAGGAAACGAAGCAAGCAATGTAATGTATAGAAGCAATCTCTAAGTGTCAGTGATTATAGTCACTCTTTGACCTCCTCTTTTAATTAATTTGATTTTAAATTCTGCCGGCCAGAAAAATAGGATTAGGAATAGGAAAAAAGTTTTAAAATAGTTACTATGGAACCTCACATCTCCTGTTACAAGATTGTTTCCACGGGCTCTGGTATTCATTTAAAACTTAGTAGGTCGTGAGCTTGTCTACCTGTCTAATACCAGTCTAACAATAAAAGTAAAAAGTTTTTACTATTCAACCAAGTTTGTGTTATCCAACTGAAAAGTATACATATACATATGTAGACATAATTTCCACCAACAATTTTTTGTGTTTTGGGTGTATTAGAAAAAAACCCAAGCCAAACCCAAGATTTAATCATAAGTCCGTCATGTCTGCCTTTAAAATAATTATCTATGTATAAAACCACAAAACCTACGTTGGATACAAGGCACTTGAACAGTTTTTTTGTACTGATATCGGAGGGTAATGGTCTCATCTGTGTACTTGAAGAGTCGTCGAACCGCGGGCCATTGTTATTCATTAACCAAGTCAATAATTCCGGCTCGAGTTATATTGGATTAATGTGGATATAATAATCCAAAAAATAGCACTCGGTCCTCTTATATCACCAATAAGCAAGCCTCCGGGTTTTTAGTTATATGGGATAAGTCTGTTAGACGGATAGTGTCACTTTAAAAAAAAAATTCTTATTTACAATTACATATTTGGTAAACTATAAAAAACATACAATTCTGCTGCAATTGTTTGTTAAAACTCAAAAGTAATTGGTCAAGCGCTTTGATTCCCTTTGATTGGTTAAGGCTGACTGTCGTTAGCTGACTCATGACTACGTCGCCATGTCATCGTTATGGTCGAACCCGTCGCTTGCAACGAAGGGCTCCACGAGTAAATGAACCCACAGACAGTTTCTCGGTGGATCTTCTCAGAGGGTCGCGTATCCGATCCGGTGGTAGATTCTGCGAAGTACGGCTCTTGCTAGGTTTCGTGTTAGCAACGTCGTCAGGTCTGAGCCCCGTGAGTTCACCTACAAGCTCGGCGAATCTAGAATAACCCCCGAGGTTACTAGAATAAGTAGGGAAAAAAACATGTGGTAGCTACAGTATTTACCCATTCTATGTATGCTTTCCTAAGCGTTTTAAGGGAACAAATTAAGAACATAGCAGTTCTTAAGGCTTGAAATAATAAAAATTTAAAATCCGTGGTTCATTAGTTAAAGTGCTTATTAATGAACACCATAACTAAATAAACAATATTCATGAACCAATATCGATGGGCCAAATTCTTGGTATTCTAGCAAAACAAACATAGTCAAAAGGCATACACTTAATTCAGTAGGCAAGTAAGCTTTTATACATCTAGGTGCAAAACATACATTCATTGAAACATGTATTGAATTAGTAAACAGTGACTTAAACGTAAATGTCCCCAAGATTCTCGTAGTGTCTCTTCTTCTCTTTCTCTCTTTATCTTTACTTTAATCCAAATAGAGATTTAGCTATTATTTTGCGACATTCAAATACAGATATATTATTCAAATACAGATACGACTCAGTGTTCGATGATACATATCAATTGTTTGTGAAGCAAATATTTTAAGAAAAGATTACAAGCAAATTATAATGAAATATCGCCATAATTTAAGCAGAGAACATATTGTAACTGACGCTTAGATAAAATATATGCAATTAGTTCTGATTATTTGCGATAATCTTTGAAACATAAAGATTTATGGGTAATAAAAAACTGTGATAGGATTAATAAAACTGAAAAAAAAAAACGTATTAGTTTAAATTATTGTTGGTTAAATTAGATAAATTTAGTGCATGGCATGAATTATGTTATTGCCATCAGAACTACATACAATTGCCGAGGTTTCAAAAGGTGTCTTTTGCAGTGCAATGGGAGCAAAACGAGGGAAAGTGCGGAGTGTGCGGTGACGCGGCTCATCTCACTGAGCCCCGTCCCCACGAGGCCGGAGGAATGTACGGAAAGGGAATCGTGACCAGGCATTATAGCGTTGGCCAGGTAAGAGATCCCTCACTTGACGTTTAGCAGATGAAATAGCAACCTTTTTTAATACGCTTTTATTAGCTTCAGACGTATGTATGTATGTTTGTAACGGAATATTTGAACATGATTTTGACCCCCTTCAATATGTCGGACTAACTCGAAATTTGGCATACTTATTAAGAACCGATGACGATTCAATATTAAAAAAAATTGATAAAATTGAAATTAAACTAAAAAATGAAAAATAAATAATAATTTAAAAAAAAACTAAAAAAATAAGCTTTTATAAAAAAAAAGCGTGGAGTGCTTTTCAGGATATTATCAAAATAACCTTTCTACTCATATCTGTTCATAAAATATTTATTACTACTGATACCATGCAACCCCACGCTTTTTTTACAATAAAATCATTTTTTCTTACACTATTTTTAATTCAAATTTATTAAAATTTATTTTCTATTTCTTAGTTGGATTTTCTATAAAAGCGTATTTTTTTAGTTTTTTCAAACTATTATTTATTTTCTAAGCATAGTCATATTGTATTAGTTTTGTTAATGATGCTTATTATGAAGCGAAGAAAAGCAAGGTAGTGATAAAACTATGTTACTTTTTGAATTTTCATAATGTGTCATACATCCTGGTGGTAGGACGTCTTGCAAATCCGCACCATCACCCTCCCTATTTCTGCCGTGAAGCAGTGATGCGTTATGGTTGGAAGGGTGGGGCGTTGTACTGTACAAATTGAGACCTAAGAACTCATATCTCAAGGTGGGTGGCGGTATTTACGTTGTAAATGTCTATGGGCTCCGGTAACTACTTAACACTTACTTCGGTAGGCAGCGGCTTGGCTCTGCCCTTGAAATTGCTGAAGTCCATGGGCGACGGTAACCACTCACCATCTGGTGGGCCGTATGCTCATCTGCCTACAAAGGCAATAAAAAAATATATCATCAGGTGGGCCGTGAGCTCGTCCACCAACCTAAGCAAGAAAAAAAACATCGACAGCACTGTAAAGGCCTTCATAAAAATTTCTCGTCTCTCGTCGTGGTTTAGAACAATAAATAATATTACAGGAAATCGAGGTTGAAGTCGAGTTGACAGCTAATCACTTGGGAACGTTCGTGATGAAGCTGTGTCCAAACAACAACCCGAAACAAGAAGCGACTCAGGAGTGCTTCGACAGGTATAAAACTACACAGGCACACAGCAGTTAGCGACATATGAAATATTATCGCAAACTTTTAATGATCTTATAGATTACAAGTACCCGAGTTTACCTTAAATTGTATGCCAGTGAACGTCCACCGAGCAACGTCGCAATATACTTATAAATTTTGAACTAGACCCTTCGTAGTCTATTAAAAGCCACATTTATAAAGAGATAAAGGAACTATAATTACTATATTTTGTCAGTTTTCGCGTCTCAACAGGAAAAAAGCGAAAATATCGTAACTTGCATTTTGGGCTAAATCATTTTAGTGTGCTTAGTCCGAGTTTTTTAACGTTCTCCAAAGCGTAAAAGTTAACTCACATTTGTGTGGAGTTGGAACGTTTGCCTACGTTTGCCGCTAGGGGCGCTGTTTCAACAGCTAACCTTTTTATTCCGGGCCGGTGGCAGAACCCCCTGCGAGGTCCCCGCGCCGAGGTGGCGTTCGGGGTATGTAGGACTCGACGATCTGCAGATGCTGGGAGCAATTGAGTTAACTTGTATGCTATCGAGAACGTTAAAAAACTCGCGCTACACACACTGGTGTCAAGTTGGGTTGTTCAAGTCACGACAATTGCGTTTTCTTCTGTCGTTAAAGACGAGTCAATCCTGCGACTGTGACGGTGACACGTGATGCGTGTCAAAAGGTCACACATGGAACTTTTGACCCTTTCAATAATCTTAATTAACGATTTGTGCTCAAGTGAAACTCGCAACTTCTTATAAGCTTTAGCTGCAATTAATTAATTGCTTTCCAGATATCCCCTTTACGTTTCGGAAACCAGAGAAGACAGGTTCCTGATACCTTTGGACACGGCGAAGAAAGAGGTATTCAGGTACAGAGTGCGGCTGCCGCCTTATGTAACCTGCACGCAATGTGTTCTACAGTGGACTTATTATACTGGTAAGATGCTGGTCTAATTCAGTTTCAGAAGTAGGGACCACGGAAGCCTTGATCTTCTTCTTCTTCCTAGCGTTTTTTCCGGTTCAGTGCCAGAGTTCGGTTTCCTACTTAAACTCCTTCTATTTGCCGGTTTTCGGCATCATTCTGGGTGAGGTTATTCTCCTCCTTAACCCCCTTTACCACATCCAACCAGCTATTCTTGGACTTATCGCGGTACCTTGGCGGTATTCTTGGACCCGGTACTTAGAAGTTGTGCCATCTTTAGCCTATTGTATTTTATGGTAATTATTGCTTGGTATGTCAGAGTAAGTTCAGCAAAAAAGGAATTAAGATATACGGGTACCCTATTTATTTATTATTAGATACAATACACTTGGTAAACACTGATTGACGAGGTTTTTATACAATAAATAATTCGACTGTATAGGTTGACGAGTTATATGCGACTGACTGTCTTCACACGATACATTGCAACCTCATTACACATGCATGATAAGCTAACTTCAGCCGGCGCAGCATCTATTCATTTTAATCAAGGAAGTCTTGATCAAATTACATTACTAGATAGAGAAGGCGCATTTTTTTGCATACCTATGCTGATAGCCTTGAGAGGCTATTTTAGCCTTTCCTTGACGTGTAGGTGAGCTCACGTGGCTCAAACTGGAGTGTTGCTATCACTGGCCCTAGCCAGAGCAGTGCTTCGCGGAATTTACCACCGGATCGGAAACGCGAGCCACTTAGAAGATCCGGCGAGAAACTCAGTGGGCTGAGAAGGCCCGTCAACCACGTGAGCTCATCATTCCACTACAAGTTCTACAGCGTGTGGTATGTTTAAGGCAACATGTGGGGGATCTGCCCCAACGGCACGGAGGCGGTCGGCTGCGGCAGGTCGGAGACGTTCCGCAACTGTGCTGACGTCAGCGTTATCACCAGCACGGGCGGCCTGCCCCCCGCCTTCGCCGGCGACCTGCGCAGGGACTACCCCTTCCTGCTCTACTACCGGGACCTCAACATGCCCAAGTCCATCTACCCGCTTGTTGTAAGGTAAGGACACTTACATGCTCAAACGGTCAATTAATTAGAGCCTTTTGGACGCTGTTCCTTCCACGGAATCAGGACCCCTCCTGGCTGAGCCTTTGCTCGCCTTCCTGTCTGGTGAAATTAGAAAGGCCTCTGGGCTACCAGTAAACCCTCATTCATAAAAAAAGGAATTATGAATTTTTAAACAAAATGAAATTTATTAAACAGACTTTATAAGAAGAAGACGAAGGACATGGAACTTGTTGTATAATATATTTGTATAGTTTTATTGCATAATTATTCTCTGTATCATACAATTTTGTGTTGCGTTTTTAACGTGATCTTTCTTCACTATGTAACTTTTTTTTTATAATTACCATACTCTATGTCGTTTTATGTTTTTCCACATGCACTTTCCGCAGAGCCGGGAAATATTCTCAATCAGCCAAATACGTCGTTAGGTAATGAAAATACAATAATATTAAAAAAAATGCATTAAGCCAATAAATAAACCCGTTAAACAAATTGTGTACACTTTGTTTTGCAGCAACGACCTAACTGAGTTTGACGACAGAGAGGAATTAATTCCGCCAATCATTAGGTACAGTCCTTAAACAGAGGGTTCTGAAAACAGAAGGGGTTTCCGTTGTTAATAATTTTTGTGTTTGTTGCTCGTTTCCGTGTTTTGTGACTAACAAATTGATAATTAAAACGCATTACGAAATCCGGTGCTGAAAATTTACTTAGGTACTTTCCACAGTTCATATTTGAGAAATGCCTACGAAAATTTGCGATTTAGCGCATCTTTGTAACGGCCAATTTCATAGATTATACCCAATGTACGATATTAGGATGTAGACTTCATTTCCTTTGCTCGCTACAATAGTCAACTAATATCTCCGTTACATTATCTTTTTAAAGATCCAAAACCCAAATGTATTAATCTAAAGTGAAATTTCATATTCATTAATAGCTTTTTTGTTACTAATAGTTTTTGTTTTTAGGTAATTTTACGTCGCTCTGACGAGCTAATTAACATTATGTGCGTATCATTTTAGATATCATAAATTTAAGCTTGAAAAGGAACTTATTTTCATTTTATAACAATAGGTACAGAATTTATAATTTGCGAGTAGCTTCTTAGATTTGAATTGCTATAACATTTGAAGCACTAGTTCGGAAGTCAATAAAAACATCAGATTTGTTTATTTGTATCTAACACATGTTGTTGTACATGTATGTGATTAATATTTTTCTTCTAATACATAAAAAATATAACGTTTTGCCAAAACGCATATTGTGTGCCCGTGCAGACCTTACCATCTCATACTAGACCCCGGTAACTGCCCAGCACTTGCAGCACAAATTTGTCTATAGCCGCTTGTAGATAGATAAGAACTTGCCGGACAGTTATGGGCGTACAATATGCGCTCAGGCTTAGTACAAGAAACAATATTAACAATTAAAATTATTTTAATTTTCATGACACCCTTGTTAAATATTCAACATTTTGGATAGACATCGGTGATGTAACTTGTGTTCAGGAACATATTTACAAAAAAATATATATATTAAAATTTCAACAATTTTGAATAATAATTTCGAACCACAAATAAATAAATAAAATGTAACTTAATTAGAAGTTAACTCTTTATATATTTTCATTGTAATGACAACGGTATTTGATTTGTGTTATAGCCAAACATACTGGCAGATTTTTGAACAAAAAAAAAATATTTACAACTTACGACGAAAAATTGACAAAATTCAGCGCGATTTTAATATGAACTCGTGTCAAAGGAATCAACGTAAGACCACACATAAAATTAATGAGCAATTAATAATATAAAAATCTGAACACTTCAGAGACCAAGTTTGCGTTCCGTCTTACGGGTTCCGCAACCTGCCCGGCATGCTGAGCTGGTGCCAGACCAACTGTCTCCGGTACCCTCCCAACTGCCCCGAAGCTCTCTGCTCTTGCCCGTAAGTACTTTTTATATGCATTTTATTATTTTTATTTTTTTACTTAACATCAGGTGGGCTGTGAGCTCGTCCACCCATCTAAGCAATAAAAAAAAAAAAATAAAAAAAAAAATGCATAATCCCGTGAAGCTCAGGGCCCCTCTGGCGTGAAGGGGTTTCCAGGGCTCACGACATAATGTGTATGCCGCCAGTCACATGAGAGCCGGTTTTGTACCATAAATGAGCAAAATAATGGCAAACACCCACTTGGGCTTACAATGCGGCATACGACCACTTTGTAATTAAACAAACTTTCTTTATGTTTGTTTTTTATTACTCAACGCTTCCTCATCGTACATGTCAATTATGAGCTAGTATTTCATTAGAAAAATTGGTACCTGCTTCCTGGACATGGCCACCGGTTTTATCCTTTAGCCACCAAAGCTAATACTAGTGTATTACTTAATCTACGTACCTACTGGGATAATATTCGGTCGTAGAACAATGCGCCAGCCCGCGGCGGTCGATATTAAATATTAAGTATATTATCTATGGGTCGATACTACCGCCATCTCTTTTGCATCAAAGTGACAATACATCACAGCTGTAAAAATGAGTGTCATTTAACAAAATATACGAGAGAATTTATCGTTCATTATTCGCGTCGTAAATGTATTTAACCATTACTATTGTTATATTTTAAGCTTAAGCTTAATTCTATTTAAATTTCCAGTCAAGTTTGCGAGGCCGTAGGCGAGTACGAAGGGCGCGAAGGTGCCGACGTGTACTGCATGGACCTGTGTATCGTTTACCCGCCCAAGTGTCCGACGGACAAGTGCCGCTGCTACTAAACCGACCACGGCAACGAGGGACTTTGATAAAATAAAAAAATTAATAAAATAAATTGTTCTTTGACGTCTTCAAGTTTTCTGCTACCCTCATATCCCGTACCCTGAGCACTGTCACAGCTGGTGCCAGGACGTTGTTACACCACACAGGAGCAGTCAGCCGCTGCTACAAATACAATATTTGAGAGTTCGGCCACACATGCCGAGGAAGTTCTCGTTGTCACATCAATGGTAAGGGCTTAACAGAAGCCCTCCATCAAATAGTGATTTGATTCAATAAAACACTAGGCAGTTCTATTAATGTTTTGATTTGTATAATAAAAATAAATAAAATCCACGTGAAGCAAGAAAATAAATTTTAAAACTAAATTAAATTTTTTGAGTACATCTTTATTTGGATTCAAAGATCTAATGACGTCATCGGATGTCTACATCGGTCGAGACCGGAAATTTGAAGTCAACAAGTCGATAGTATATAAAAGAATCTTTTTTTTTCTTTTAGTCACGTATGTTTTATTTTATTCAAGTAAAAAAAACGAAATTAATAGAATTCTGCAGCAGTGTGACATATTCACTCGATCATTTAATGAATTAATAAGTATGCATTAAAATTAAAACATAATGAAACAAATAAAAAAAAACATTATGGAGGCAGCTCGCGCTATTATTCCGATGGTCGTAAAGAAAAAAAAATGTTCTGAAAACAAAATATATTTTTAAATTCGAAATTATTGAATGCTGGTAAATGTCAAAATATAAAATTTAAACAATAACTTTATGTCTTGCATAACTAATGTTTTTTTTTGTTTGTCGTAGTAAGTACCTAATATCCATTTTGGCTCTGGGAGTGGTGTCTTTACACACAGATCGATCCATTTTATTATATAAGTAGCGAACAAAAATGTTATATGTATATAATGATTTTCTTTTGATATTGCTTCTATTGAGCAATATTTGGTAAGAAAAAGAGTTTTGGTAGTAAATATATCTCATCAAGTTGTATTATATAATCATAATATGTAATTTGTAGCTTTATGTAAATGGATATTTTATGTAAATTGAAGGGGTCAATTCGTATGTATGTAATATTGATATGTTGTGACAAATATCAAATTTAACTTTGTTCAAGCAAAACTGATTTTGCTATAGAATTTGTCACTGGACAGAACTTAAAATTGTCCATATTGATTTTACAAAAACTTTTTGATATTTTTTTATTGTACAGTCATGTTACCATTTATTTTAAGGTTTAGGTTTAATTTGAAAACTTGAACATTCTGATTTATTTGTATTTAATAATGACAATGCCATAAAATCTAAAAAAAACTTTAATGTTATTCCGTTCGCCAACACAAGATGCCTTAATTACGCACAATAAAGAACCAGTTTACTCAATTCTTTATTTGTATGATATGATTGGTTCATATTCGGTTCGAAAATGTATTTTTGTAAAATAAATGCAACAGAAAAAACTTTTTTCGGTGTTTTTCTTTAGTATTTTTTTTTTAGTGGGAGATCTATCCGCTACCGTTTACACATTGTGTTCGGGGGCGCGGTCGAAATTACAAAGACACTGCATAAAAATTAAAGCAAATTCAATCTTGTTCGCTTTTACTCACACTAATCAAAGCATTGGAGTTGTATAAATAAAGGTAATTACTATGAATTTACTCATTTTCTTCGACTTCGACTTTTATCGAGTAATCACATCGATATATGATATATCGATCGTATGGGTACGGGGTGCTCAGCCTGAAATGTGGGAGTGGGTACTCACAAAAACCTTCCGGCACGGTCACTCCGGTCGCCCCAAAATTCCAGTAGAGAAATGCTATTATCATTTTTCTTTTAAATTTTAATTTTAAATGAATAAATTGTATTTAATTTATTGCACAATTTTATAGATCCAATGATTTAAAATTTGTTTTAAGCATGAAAAATTAAAAGAATTAGCCAATGTTTTGTGAATGACCTCAGTTTTTACATATCTGTTTTTTAATGAGATAAACGGACTCATATACCACTTGATCTTGATTGTTTACTGATTGCTTGATTGCCACCGCACATCATTCGTTCTCATTGTTTTGTTTGACAAATCCTTTCAATTACGCTACATTATCAGAGCAGAAGATATAGGGATCTTGGTAATATACCCGAACCGGAACCCACAACATATATTTTATCAACTCGCTGAGTTTCTCGCCGGAACTTCTCAGCGGATCGCGATTTCAGCTCGATAGTAGATGCATTCGCCAAACAGCCTCTCTTCATGTGTTAAGTCTCCTTTGGAGACGTTCGGGCAGTTGTTAGCAAATCCCAACCCCCGGCTATGCCCGTGTTCGCCCACCAGTGCTGGGGAATCTGAAAAATACACCAGTAATCCCGCCTTCCTGAAAAAAAACTATATTGAGAACGATTACAAAAGTTGCTTCAACGGCATTCATAAAGTAAGTATGTAATATTGTTTTCGTTTGAATTGACATGTATTCTTAAATGTCACTTAATATTTGAAAATAATAAGACTGAACCTTCGCGAAACTATAAGAATATGTACTTCATGCGTACACTGATTCCAACAAAACAGTTAACTTCAATATCTTTTATGCAACAAAAACATTAAACATGTATTTTTTGTTTTGCACAAAATTTTCTTTAAATTTCATGACAGTTATTTTGACAAGCTGGATTGAAAGTTTGTGGTTTGACCGCATTGACAGTAATTTCAATATTATGTCATCCGTCTTTTTGACGGTTCTTATCAGCGGTCGATAAATAAAGCGAATTATAGAAAACAAAAATAGCCCGAAGTGCTTTAGTGTATATATTTGGGTACAATGAGCGATATTTTAGAAGATGATCTCGAGTTTCGGGGCGGTACGCTTCAACTTTCAACCGACAATTCTGCGGTAGGTGTTGTTGAAAATCAGCCCAGTGTCACGACAGATTCTACAAGAAAACAGTCCCAGGGCAATGTGCATCCTTCTGTTCTCTCCGGTGCAGATTCTTTGACATCATCTACTAATTCTTTTGCAGGTAAAGATAAACATTTAAAAGAAATCTACCATAATAAATTTGCTCTTCAAAAATAAAATCTGTATTGAAATTTAATCATTACTTTTTTTTATATAAAGACAGTGATATTGCTTTGTAAACTGCGGCTATAACAAAAACATAAATATAAAATCGAAAACTTAATTTTCACCTACTATAGATGCTAGAACACAGGAACAGCAGAATGCCTCAGGATTATCTCCAACAGAGTCTCAGACGGTATACCCTCGGTATGATGTGCCATTCAATAAGGAGAATATAAAAGACTTCTTCACATTCAGAAAAGGTGTTGTAGAAGCAGCCATACAGGAATGTATTACCATTTTGCTGTTTCCGGAGGATGGAGAATACCTAGGGTCCTGGCTTTTGACAGAGTAAGTTCATATTAAGTATTTCATGGTCTTGAGCTTTCTATACATTGATGATGTAGTTTTTATTGGGTTCATATGATATGTTATCCTTGCTGCAATAAACATTAAAATATGCAAAATTGATAATTTTGTTTAATTTACTAGAGGTTTACTTAATAAAGCACCAGCACTATTTGCTTGCAATAAGTTTTATGTGATTTCACTATCTACAGCAATGTCAATAAAAAAAAACTGTTCTATGATGGTAAGCAGCATCCACAACGCATGAAAAAAAAATTACTAATTTAAAGTAAGTTAAAGTTTAAATTTAAATTTCAGAATAACATTATGGGACAACGAAAAGGAGAGAATCGTACTGCTTACTTCACGACTAGTTATGACTATCAAATATGACTTTATTGCTATGAAACAGTTGGATTTTAAAAAGACTTATCTTGATGACTTAGATACTATTGTGATCGGTGAACTGGTTTATCCTCCATCTTCATTGGTACCGTGAGTATTTCTTATTGAATTATGTAAAATCAAGTTTTCTTGTCAATTTTCATGGTTTCTAACTGTTTCGGGTTCATTCAGTATTTATAATCATGAAATCTTTATAAGATTTATGTGTAAAATAATCTGCAGTCTAGTATGTATGATTAAGCAGACTATTATCAATGTCCCAGGAGTGTGTCCTGAAATATTTTTTTATGAAGAACAGCTACGAAACACACAAATGATATATTATTATAATTCCTCTGTAGCCGTATAAATGGGTTGGCGACAGGGGTTTCGACGGTCGTCAAAGATTGTGTGATTGATCGCCTCTGCCGTCGGCCTAGCACTGAGGAAGTTCCAGAAGGCATCAGGGATAGTAGACTGTTCGATACCAAGTATTTTGAACCTAGGTACTATTTGGTTGCTGTAGTAGCGCACGATGATGTTGTCATGCTGTGGTTGTCAGCTTTTTATTCATCTATTTGTTGAGTTATAGCTTTGTTTTATATAGTAGCAACACTTGAGAATCCTATACTGATTTAGAACTTTCAACCAGAAATTCCATTTATAGCTAAGGATGTAGGATTACATATCCATGTAATGTCTATCCATGCTTAAACTGTTTAAAAATTAAAAACTATCTTTACTATTTTACCAAGGATCAGATGTATCATTATTGCTATTAAATCCATCAATCTTTATTATATTTACTGTCACAGTGTAAAGGAACACATAATTTTTTTCTCAATTTACTCATATTTTTTTATAGCTACGAATAGTATTTATTTGCTTGTTATTTGCTTTATATGTCTATAGAGAAAATTGATATTACAATAATAACTTTAATGCAATGGAGGATGTACTGTGGCTTATTTGTTCAAGTTTTATCAGCATTTGTTTAACACAAGATAAGGCACCTATGGCCTATAAGCATAGTATATGCTTCTGATGTAAGCTATTGGAAGTGCATATGTGCTCATTAAGAATACCTTGTTTCTAATTTGTATAGTTTGCTATTTCATTATTATTGTATTTCAAAAATGTTATATTTGGCTGATGCATGGAACCTTTAATAATAATTAATGTCTTTGTTTAAATTTTAAAAGCTAAATAAAATAATGACCTTACATATTTATTATTTAAATATTTAAAAAAAAACCTGACAAGATTGGATTTGCTTTTTATGATTTTTTTTTTTTGTAATAATAGAAAGCTTTTCTTTAAAAATACTAGTAAAGTACTTAGTAATTTCTGTCTGTAATATCACAGGGAACGTAACCTGCGTGGAGTCCGTTTGATGTGGAACAAAGGTGAGCCACTGCCTCTGAAGACTGTTTGGAATCCGTTTAGTCAGGATGTACCATTTCTGACATTTGCCTCACATCCTATTTATTGGCATAAAGGTAATATTTACTTGAGTTTTTTCAAGATTTGATTCTTAGGCATTTTTGCACATTTGGTAAATTTTTTAATTGCTAATTATTCAGATGGTGGAGTAGAGGAGCGCGCCACGTACGACATGGAAACTTTTGCCCAAAAGCTACAAAGAGCTATTGAAATAATGCCTTCTTCTTCCTGTTGCATACATCACTCACCCATTGTCATACAAAGCTATGTTGGACTAACATCTATGCTCCATAATAAAACCAGTATGGGATTCTTCAAGGTCAGGGGAAAGTTTAGTTTCTAAACCATACAAAAGATGGCCCTGGGTAAGAATGTGATAATCGATTCTAATCGTTGATTAAAAAAAGTTTGTCGAATATTATGATGTGATTTTTGTGACATTTAGTCGTAGCTTACGTCAGTGTTGTCAAATTCTATTGTAATTGTTATATAAATAAAGATCATAAAAATTAATAAAAAAATTTAGATAGAGTACATACATATTACATAAAGAAAAATTTAGCTTTGTGCAATACAGATTTGCTTCACAATACTTACATGGTAATTGTTAGTATTTTATATTTTAAAAATTTGGAGGAAATTATAAGATTGTTAAAAATGGTTAAGAATGTTAGAGGTTCTAGATATTGAAGTGATATGATAGTATTAAAAGATAACGTTGGTAATTTACGAATCATCTGTATTGAATATGAAAGAATTAAGAATCGTATTTTTAGTGATTAATCAATCTCTTTTTTTTTTGTCTAGGTACTATCTGTATCCAGTACTTTTAAAAATTAATCAATCTATGCATTTTTTAGTATTCGTAGTACTTAAGCATTATCAGTGAAAGCTTTCTTCTGCTATTCTTATTCCATTCAGAATGATTTGATAGAATTAAAATAGTTTTGCTAAGTACGCTGATGGGTTTTTATGTAAATGTGTGTGTTAGTCCTCGCATAGTATCCTCTGAGTGCATCGACTAGTTCAACATAGCTATGATGTGACTATTAGATCCAATATGATGTAGGATAGCAATGATTTCAATTTTTCATAATATATTTCTAATGTATAACAAATATTACCAAAATGATGATATTACTTTTGGTTCAATATGTGCAATGACCATAATGCTTAATGTCTTGATTGTGTTGATGGTGAAAAATGAAAATAGCATGTATTTTGTCATGCACATTTTCATATTAGTTTTTGTTTACCTATATGTAATTTCGTGCTTCTTATTTTCTAGGTAAACAAAGATTGTATGTTATAAAAAAACACACACACAAACACCTTTTTGTAGAAAAAGAGAATCAAATGTAAATAAAAATTTATGGTTTTTGAAGTACAGGTATGAGCGATAAGAGGCATATTGTGGAGCGCAACACACACTAGTCTTTAAATGTTTTTATTAAGATCGCGTAGGCATCTATAAATCAGACTGCTTCTCTTGGAGAGTCAAAAATATCAAACACACCACTTGTAAGCAAACATAACTTTGATGGCCAATTTCCAATTGCATTGTTATCAGTTTTTATACCTCCTCAATTTTTCTCTTGTATCTGGATGACTGATGTGTTTCTTCATCTGTATAGTCACTCACCCAAAAGGGAACTCTGCTGAGAGGCAACTCATGTGTTCTCATTCTTGTTCTGTCTCTTTTGCCAATCAGTATCATTTGCTCAAGGTTTTCGGATATTTAAGTGCAATATGACTGAAATACTATTGAGCTCAGTATAGGATGTAAAGGTACTGAGAGTTGTAATAAAATGCTCACATTTGCATTTTGAGGTGTTCCAAGCTAGGATTTTCTTAGTATCTTTTGATTTCGAATTTTCTAGAGATGAATGCCTAGAAAATACTGTTTAGATTGAGTTCAAATTATGGAATAAAATTATATAGTAGGTAGGCAGCGGCTTGGCTCTGCCCCTGGCATTGCTGAAGTCCATGGGCGACGGTAACCACTCACCATCAGGTGGGCCGTATGCCCGTCTGCCTACAAAGGCAATAAAAAAAAAAAAAAAGATATTGAAATGAGAAATGCATATTTTTGTGGTTGGTTTAATTGTTAGCATATCCTACCTATTTCAACTAAAGCAGTGAAACACATTTTTTATTTACTTTTGAAAGGAACTGATAAGTCTCTAAAATTAGCATTTCAAAGTAATCAACGACAAATTGTTACTATGTAAATACAAAAAGCTGTTCATAATTAGCTAATCTAAAATAACAGAAGTGCATTTATTATACAACCAAAAGGGCAAGCGGATGTTGTGTTGTGCAATTGATAAGTCAAAAATATTTAATTCTATGTTATGTTTACTTTATTTGGTATTTTTCGGTCCACAGTTTTGAAGACTCCGATTTTAAAGAATTAGTTTATTAACACATACATATTACATAACAATTTAAAATGTTATCTTCAGCTATACTGAGGTATTTACTGTTGTATGTGTGTTAAATTGCTTTTTATTTGAGAGACCGTAACCCGCCCGGTGCTGAATACTCAACGAAGTTATTATTACGTATTATTAGTGGATAAATTTTAATTTTGCGAAAAGTTGCAGGTTTTTTTTCTTACACCAGTGCATTTCTTCATATTAAAAGTTGTTCGTGAACAATGCAATACTTGTAGGTAATTATTTAGAGATGTTGGTACATGTTCCACGGTTAAACCGTATGACCAGTGACTACGAGTACCCTTGGCCTAGGCAGCAGTGTTAGAAATGCGTGGAATATATAAAACATGCTATTGCATAACTTAATCATTTATGTATAAGGGATAGAATTCTCTTTGGTAGGTAGGACAAGTAAAAAAAGATTTTCTTTTCCATTTTAATATAAGCCCAATTTGAAATAAATCATTCTATGCTATTGCTGTGCAATTTTAGTGCACTTAATAATAATACACTACATAACATTGATGATGTTTGGAGTAGAATTTAACTATAAGAATTGGAGAATATATTATATATTATAGTTTTTATTATTTGATAAATCTATGTATCATTGATCTATAATATTATAGTTACTATGAATGATGTAGTAAATTAGCAGATATTGTATTACAAAACAATATTTATTTACTATGTTATGTGTTGATATTATAGTTAAATGGTTATGTTAATAGTTTGATATACAATTATGTATATGAGTACAATAAGATAAAGTGAGTGAATATTTATTTACTATTGAAAATAATGATTAATATAACGGCCTAAAATTTTATAAATTTGACATCATTGAAGAATATTAATTTAGATTCCACTAAGTACTTCTTGTTTGTTAATTGTGCATTCAAAAGTTTGAAAATCCGATTGTTCTCGATAATGAAAATTCAAAAAGGATATTTTTTCCAGAATAAAAAAGTTAACACGTATTCTCAATTGGTGACTAAATATAATAGAATGTGATTAATTTTGATGCAATGATGGTGATAATATTATGTTTTTATTTTAAAGTGTTCTGATTCCAAATTGTATCAATGTGTAATCATTAACATCCGAAAGTACCTGCATTACTAAGAATAATGAAAAATATGTTCTCATTGAGAGTACATTCTCAAAATTATCTCTACTTATTATAACTATTATAAAAGTTTTTAATTGCAAGTTGAATTTTATTTACCCAAGGAAATATGAGATTTTATTAAGAATTGCCTGTTCCCGTCTAACAGTATTGTGAAATATTATTTTTCAAGAATGATGAAATAAGCTGTCATCTGCACGATTAAGTCTGAGCTTATTTCTGCAACGAAAAAGGCATGCATTCTGATTTTTGGGCTGGGAAAGCCGTTATATAATACAATTGAGACTGACAGTTGCCATCATAGAAAACCAGATATTTGACAGATGCCTGAGTCTCGCTCATGACATTTTGAAGATAAAATTACTTATATACAAGTTTCGAACAATATTCAGACTGTTGCTCTACCGAGATATTTCACCCGCTCGGTGGAAGAACATTCCTGTGTTACCTTTAAAAAAATTTACCTTACCCTTACCTCCAAAAATTAGCTCCCAAAAGTTTTTAACTTCATGTTTCATGGTAATTAAACTGCCTTTACGTGATGTTTGTGGGTGGTAGTTGGCACTAGGTGGGCTGTGAGTTCCTCTACTCATTGTAATAAAAAAAAAAAAAAATTATAAATTCTTGAAATGTAAGTAAGCTCTTTCATAGATTTAGTTAAAATTGATGTTGCCTACATTTTACTATAATCTAATACATATATTGGAGGACATAAGTAAAATAAAATAGAAAAAAAACAAGCAACTTTAATTGGAATTAAAGATAAATCGCACTAGTAAAAGTTTTCCCGTTGTATAAAAATTAATCACAAAAATTATTCTGGTCACTCCAGTTATTAGGCAAAGTTAGATTGTCCCAAAAACATTCATCTAAATTGGTTTTTTCATATTCGTTGCTATTCACAATTCTTGTGTATTTAATTTGTTCTAGCCACGACAGTTCCGAATCCATAGGATCTTTAGAAGTAGCAGCGTCTGTCTGAACAGTTTTAACATTACCAGATTTATTTTCAGAATCATTTTTCTTTTTTTCTGCTTTCTTATCAATATTTCGTTTATTTCGCCTTTTAGGTGCATCCTTCGCTTTATTTATCAAAAGAGATTGTTGTTGATCTTTTTTTCTAATTCTTTTGCTTTTTATTTCAGCGACAGAAGCCGTCGTGTCTACTTTAATTTTGGTAGGCGCTTTAAATTTACGTTTACGAAAATTTCGGTCTTTCTCTTCAGTAATATTAAGAGGCTTTGTAGAACTAGAGCAGTTTTTATTAACAGCAATTGTATTTAATGTATTTTGTGATTCAGTATTTGTCTGTTCGTACTCTTTAACATGTACTATTGGAGGATTCGCGCGTTCGAATGTAATATTTATATTTCTTTCAATTGTTTTTGTTATTTTAGAAATAGTTTCAGTTCTTTCATTGTTTAAGTTAAGTTGTAAATGCTTGGTATCTATATTGCTCACAACGGGTGCAATATTAACAGAAGAATTATTGTTGTGCGGATCAATATCAAAATTCTTAAGTACGCTTTGAGAATATTCACAGTTAGTTTCCAATGCTTCTTCGTCATAATGTAATGATATAATAGAAATAGCTTTTTCTAAATCAAGATTCTCTTGGTCATGTTTAGAGCTTTTATTTGAGTTTTTACATAAATTTGTATTTAAAGATTGACTTGCGTTATCTATTTTATCGCAATCACTCCAGTAGCCATCAGTATTTGACAATATGTCCTGCGATAGCTGAGTTGCATCTTCATCAAGTAAAGAACGAACTGGGGATATATCTCTATTCTGTAACCTGCAGTTTTCTTTTTCAATACTACTGTTATCTGCAAAATTGATTGTAGTAGTTTTTTTTTCATTTGCTTTGTTTTCTTGTCGCTCGAGTATTATCGCTTTCATACATCTTGTGATCTTTTCTATTACCTGAAGAGATGTTGAATATTGCGGTTTATTTCAAAAGTCAAGGATGAAAAATATTGGCCAAAAAAATCCCGCGATTCGCATTATTTCAATCGTAATTTTATTTCATTAAATCGAAGACTACTTAATATATGCAAAGAGATATATTTATTCGATATTGATAAATGATGGAGTTAGCGTTTCTCAGTGGGCTAGTTTGCATTTGATTACCATCGTAGTTGGTCTCGAACACTTACGACACGTCACTACGGGACACCGCCACGCCAGACGTTTAGTTACATCACAGCCTAAAGCTAACATTTTTTTTAATTGGTTAAATAAACAGAAATACTAGAAGATACTTAGAACTAATTCTGAAAGTGGGTAGCGGCAATTACGTTATCTATGGACTCCGGTAAAACCATTTAATACCGGGCGGGCCGTAAGCTCGTCCATATGCTTAAGTAATAAATAAAAAACCCTTTCCGCATGTGAAGTGTACAAATTATTTCTTTGCGGTGGACTGCACTGAAATTAGTGCGTCGACGGATGTGAGGGACGAGTGAGATATACTTTAAAAAAAATCAGATATTTCTCATTGCGTTTTTTTTTTTGCACTGAATAGGTAAACAAGCTTACAACCCATTAGTGTGTTGGTGCGAGTTTTTTAACGTTCTCGATAGCGTAAAAGTTAACTCAAATTTGTATGCAGTTGGAACAGCGCCCCTAGCGGCAAACGTAGGCAAACTTTACAACTGGACCGTTACCCGACTTGGGTACTTAGTCAACCGCGACGATCCTGTGGCCTACCTGATTGTAATATCAGGGATAAACAAAGTTTAGGCCTCTATTAAGAACTGTTCAAACAGCCTTAAGAATAATGATCACTGGAAACACACTATCGATAAATGTACCTAGTTACATTGCTTAATATAAATTTCTAAGTAATAGTGATGAACTCTGCTACGATGGTGGGTGATAGTAAAAACGAACGATTTTATCAATAACATTAATGCATCGAGGGGTGAAAGGTTATTTGGTTTAAGCGATATTTCGCATAGCACGTGACATTTTTCTTTGTAATTTAAGGCCCGTTTTATTTGGTACAAGTATCGACAATTCGATGCCTTTAACTGAACTTCAGTTATCTTTACCCCATTCAAATAGCTGAAGAAGTTTTTTTGTCGTGGTATTTTTTTCCAAACTTTAAACTTCTAATTGAAAGTAAAGTTTCAAAATTGTCGCTTAAACTAAATAGCCTTGATATAAATACCCGGCGATATAATTTCAAGTATAGAGTTACAGTGCAAGGTCTAAACACGTAACGACTTTGGCAAATAGGCCAATGGGACGCTGCAATCTAAAAGGAAAATCGTTTCCATTCAGTTCCAAGAATATTTCCCGCTTTATCTGTATCCTATCCGGTCGGGGACTGCATCCGCATCCCGGAGTCGTTGTTGTGTCGTCAATAATGATGTAGAATAGACTTGATTGCGTTGCGACTTATTCCGGTGATATTCCGTGACGTTGGTATACTAATAATCGAACTGTATTTAAATAAACGATTGTCTTTTTAATACGCTTTTATTAGTTTCAGACGTATGTATGTATTTGACCCCCTTCAAAACGTCGAATTAACTCGAAATTTGGCATACTTATTAAGGACCGATGACAATTCAATATTAAAAAAAAAACGAAGAAAAAAATTGAAAATCAACTAAAAAATGAAAAATAAATAATAGTTTAAAAAAACTAACAGATTTATGAACAGATATGAGTAGAAGGGTTATTTTGATAATATCCTGAATATCATCCCACGCTTTTTTTACAATAAAATCATTTTTTCTTACACTATTTTTAATTCAAGTTGATTAAAATTTATTTTCTATTTTTTAGTTGGATTTTCTATAAAAGCGTATTTTGGTAGTTTTTTTTAAACTATTATTTATTATTGCATAAAACTGTTTTTTCTTCAAAACATTTCTTATTGCATGATTTTTGTGCGAGATTGTTTTTTAGCTTATATTGTAGTCATATCAACATACGACCTACCTTTTTTGTGTAGGTGGGTGGACGAGCTCACAAACCACCTGCTGTTAGGTGGATACCGAAGCCCATAGACATCTATAACTTAAATTTCGCCACCCAATTTGAGACATGAGTTGTTCTAAGGTTCGTTTTTACAGTACAACAACTGCTCTGATCTTCAAACAGCAGAAATAGGCAGGGTGGTGGTACCTACCCGTGTGGATTCACACGACGTCCTACCACCAGTTATTGCGTAAATTATAATTTTGTAAATTATGTTTTAAACAGACTAGTTGGTGAGCTCAAGGGCTCAACCTGAGTTTGCTAGTAGTAGTGGCTATAGCGAGAGCAGATCTTATATGAATTTACCACCGTATCAGAATCGCGACCCACTTGGAAGATCCGGCGAGAAACTCAGTGGGTTGTGTTTCTGGGAAACGAAGAAGTACCACTATCCTGACATTCTACCGCGGAGTATAAATACATGACCAACGGTAAGTGGAGCTGGACAACCATTACCTATTGCAATCAATAAATACATATTTTAAACATCGATCCAATGTCGCATGTGGCGGCCTGCTTTCTGAGGAAATATCACTGGGCTTGATATACTCGTAATCACTTAGGACGAAGTTTGCTTTGAGAACATTTGTTCTCTACAGCAATGAAAAGAAAATTTGCTTGGCTTCTAATAATCTATCTTTATCTTCTTTATCTATATATATATAAAAATGAATTGCTGTTCGTTAGTCTTGCTAAAAACGGCTGGACCGAGAGAGAGAGAGAGAGAGAGAGAGAGAGAATGTGTGCTTTATTGTGCACAAAATAAATAAAAACTTGCGTTTTTTGATGTGATTTGATATTATAATATTTTAGAAGGTTTAACGACGAAGGGAAGATCGTCCACCGAGAGGGTGATGTTTCTCGGTAGACCAACGGTCCGAATGTGGTCGTTCGGAATTTGTATATATTGTGCAAGCTTATCTTGAAAATGCCTTAAGCCAGATGTAAGCATCTGTCAAATATTGATGCTTTTAGGTAGGTACCTCAAGCACCGACCTCGTCGAACCCGTCGCTTGCGGCCAAGGACTCGACGAGTAAATTAACCCATAGACACAGCCCACTGAGTTTCTCGCCGGATCTTCTCAGTGGCTCGCGTTTCCGATCCGGTGGTAGATTCTGCGAGGCACTGCTCTTGCTAGGATCAGTGTTAGCAACACTTCCGGCTTGAGTCCCGTGAGCTCCCCCTCGCGTCAAGGCCAGGCTGAAATAGCCACTCAAGGTTATCAGCATAGCTAAGAAAAAAAGTCAAATATCTCTTGTGTTGTGTGATAGCTACCGTCCCAAAATCAGTTAGCGCAATATTCAAATGTCGACGAATAGCACAATAATCGTTCGTGTCCACGAAAACTTAAAAATATTCGAAATGTTCAAAGTAATACATATAATGATGATAAAAGGCTAAGGATAAAAGACTAAACAACGGTAAATGTATTTTCAATTATGACTATGATACGCGATTCGCAAAAACCAAAGAAGATAATTGCGCGCTTGCTAACACATTTTACCCGGAATATTCGAATGTTGTTTCATAATGACGCTTCAGTGTATCAGCAGCAAATTTATGTGTACTTACTTATCTCTAATTATGGACGTGACAGAAAAAATAATTTCAGGAATATGATGATAATGCACACACGATGTGATGAGAAAGAATGTGTTAAGGTGCAAATATTTTACAGTGTTTCTTTTGTTTGATGCTAAAACCTAGTTTTGTGGCGATAGTACCTATTACAAGATTACAATACCATTATAGGTTTTTTTATAAAAAAATGCCACTGTATAATGTGATAGAAGCTACGATAGAAAAATACTTTTAGCGTTGTCAGGCCTTCATTGTTCCATTGGAGGATGAGGAGTTATCGATGTATAAAGCTTTTGTATTCTTCAACGTGACGAAATATCATGAGGAAGAGGCTGAGGTTTCAATTGTAATAATCCGGAACGCATAACGCCTTGACGCCAGGATAAATATCAGGAGAGTCGAGCCAAAGAAATAGCAATGGTAGTATCTACTAGCAAGAGCTTACATTACGCCCTACCACCAGTTATAACCACCAATACTTAAAGAGAGCTGCTATAAATTCTGCGGTGAATCTCCTAATCGCTTTTTACGACACCCACGGGTAATAATGGAGTGAATGGTTCTATTATATTTATGGTGTTATCTGTTTATTTGTTCACACATACACACCGGACCTATTTAAAGGATTTTTATACAATGAGGACAGATTAATTTGAAGCGGAATATTTCTTAAATCTTATACCTTTAAACGAGCAATTCTCGTATATATAATATATAATCTGAATCTCGGAANTTTTTACGACACCCACGGGTAATAATGGAGTGAATGGTTCTATTATATTTATGGTGTTATCTGTTTATTTGTTCACACATACACACCGGACCTATTTAAAGGATTTTTATACAATGAGGACAGATTAATTTGAAGCGGAATATTTCTTAAATCTTATACCTTTAAACGAGCAATTCTCGTATATATAATATATAATCTGAATCTCGGAAACGGCTCCAACAATTTTCATAAAATTTAGTTATAGGGGACTTCGGGGGCGATAAATCGATATAGCTACGATTTATTTTCAGAAATTGTTGTTTTATTCGTGTTTTCAATAATCAACTCTTCCCGACATCTATTGGCGAATAATAATACAATTTTTCTTAATTGAGGGCAACTAACCGCTTTAAAGACACGACAAGATGGCGTTATCAAAAAAAAACCGAGCCAAGCTCGGTCATCGTCTAGTATTTCTTAAACTCTAACCGAATGTAAAAAAAAAAAAAATCCGTCATCTAAAGATTTTTTAAATTTACAACCGATCTGAGGAATTTTGGTATGGAAAACATTTGGTAACCATAAGAAATCATATAGGCAATCTTTCATCCCTCTACCGAGCACGGAGTTGGTCTAGCGGATGGTCCACGCAGGTGAAGATTCAGGCGGGAAACTATCTAGTATTAAAAAAAAAAAAAAAAAAATACATAAATATGACATAGAATCGCCCAAGCGATCGAAACCAGATATTCAAGGCACCGTGTATAGATTTAGAGATAAGTAACTCACCTGCAAAGATTGGGCATGTTGCTTGCAAATCATTTTGTAAGATGCAACCTCTTTTATGTATTTCTCGGCATCCATCTCCGTTATTATCGTACCATGTTTGTATATGTAATCGTCAAGAATTAAACTGACCTGCATAAGTCTGGTTGTCACTTGCTTCAGCTGAAGTTTTTTTTCGTAAATACGTACATATTTTAAATTAATAACATAATATGCGACGTTGTAGATTTGAGGAATATAAATAACGAAAAGTAGTAAATGTTTTCTAGTTCCTTAGGTTATATTTTTTAAGGAGTGATATGATAAGCTAGTGAATTCAGATTCGTTATTGATGAGTAAAAAAGTAATGTAACCTAAATGAAAAGTATACTTTGACTTGTCATGAAACAAAAATAGAGAAAATAAACAAAAAAACACAATAATGATCTAGATACCTGCATATTTTTCTTTTTAGATTTTCTCGGCATGGTTCAGTTCTATGTAGGTAACTATTGTGTTACTAAATTATACTTTGTTTTTATATTTTTTGGAGTTAATCTAGTACGCGAAAATGGGTTACGAAATAAAAAATGATAGGTACAGTATGCAAAATTCACTGCCAGGTATGTATTTAGGTTCTGGTAAATGAAAAATTTCGCGCCAAAAAGCATTTATGCAAAGGGAAGTATTTTTAAGGTTTATACCTGGTGAATGTATTAAAATTAATTTAGTTCAAATTAATAAATATTGTAAATTAAACATTATAATTAAATTTAATAAAGATCAAGTTCTTAATTTTTTAATGAAATTAGTTGAAAATAAGAAAGTAACAAATGGAGACCGATAACGTTAAATACTTAATGTTGATTTGCGTCTTCAAGCAAGAAATTATATCCAATTTTAGGTTCTGAAACTGATTTTTAGTTGATTCAAATCGTCTGTAGCAGTTTCTTTGAGTATAGCATGCTTTCGAAAGCTTTTCCGCACATTTGACCCTTGTAAAAATAATTTAGATTTATTTCATACGCGTCAAATATTTTAATATTATGTTCACATTTTGCCTTCATTGAAAGCCGGCTTTGTCCTGAAAAAAATAGTTATCAGTCGGATGACGTTACGAACTTCCTGATTTATGAATGGTGATGATAATATAAAGCGTCGTGATGATCCATGAATTAGTTTGCCTCTGCCACCAGGGGCAGTAACTTGTGTTTTTTTTTCTCAATGGCTAGTAATAATTGATTTTAAGATGCGTCGAATCTTTTTCTCTTTTATTTTAATTTACTGCACATTTAATTGCGAAGCTGGGTATGGAATTCCGGCTTCTAGTGACACATATGGGTGAGTAGTTTAGTTTAATATTGGGCTGTATGTCCTCATGTCACCCATTATTATTTAAAAAAAATACTTAAACATTCGAATTTCAAATGGTCTCTAACACGTTTTCCTAGCTTTCTAAATTTTTAATTCAGCGTATTATAAACCTCCACGCTTAGGTACCACCGTTTTCCGTTTTTATTTTATTTCCCTTGTGGGCAGATGAGCATACGGCCCACCTGATGGTGAGTGGTTACCATCGCCCGTGGACTTCAGCAATGCCAGGGCCAGAGCCAAGCCGCTGCCTACCGAAACCGTTTAGCCCTATATGGCTGCGAAGTAATCACGCATTTTGTTTGAAGGGTGGATTTGCCTTAATATGATAAAAACGAGACTTCAGCTTCATTTCAAGGTGATGGCATTTGCGCTGTGGTGTCCATAGATTCCGGAAATCACGAGATCTCGTTTACGCAATAAAAATATATGGAAATAAATACATAATATTATGTACTCAATGTTTTCAGTAAGCCATATTCGCTTTGGCTTCACAACATGTTTGTTATATCAGTACTATTATGTCTGATCAAGAAAACAGTAGCAATTGTAATTACAAAATAGACTGAAAGAAAGTTCCAAAATTAAAGCGAATCCAACCGTGTCCCTGAAAGATTAAACTTTCCTTCCTTGTTTTTCTCCTACCTAAGCTGATAGTCTTGAGAGGCTATTTTAGCGTAACCTTAATCAGTACCTAGGTGAGCTCACGGGGCTAAAACCTGACGACGTGGCTAACACGAACCCTAGCAAGAGCCGTGCTTCGCAGAATCTACCACCGGATCGGAAACGCGACCCACTGAGAAGACCCGGCGAGAAACTCAGTGGGCTGTGTCTGAGGGTTAATTTACTGAGCCCTTCGTCGTAAGCGACGGGTTCGATAGGAACGATGACCGGTGCTTGAGGTACCTAAAAGCACCGTTAGTAGATCGGGAGGATCTGAAATGACGTGTTTGGGGTGACTGCTTTCTATTCCGTCCGCAGGATCGGGAATGTAGTTACCGGCGGCCACGAGAGAGTTCTCATGTCGTGCCGCTTTATCGAAATGGCGCATCGATGCCCACTGTAGATACTTACTGATGGACTCTAAGTCCAGGTCGTCATGGAGGTCGACGTTCCTAACGAATCACGGAGCTCCGATAGCTATCTTGCAAAACCGGGATTGAATGATTTGGAGTGATTTTAAGGTAGTGCGGGCCGCGTGAGCGAACACTACACTTGCATAGGTCATGACGGGGTATGCAAGTTTTGTGGAGTGTCACCTTATTTCTAAGGGACAATTTACTTCGCCTGCATATCATCAGGTAGAGGCGTCCTAGTATGAAGGCAGCATGGTCGCGTATCGTCTTTATGTGGGAGCGGAATGCCTTCCCTCTGTCGAGGGTGATGCCTAAGTTTTTCACCTTCGGGGCCCACGGTATGGGTTGGTCGTACATCGTGATTGGGCGAATGACGGAGGCGAAGGTGTTAACGTGCCTAGTCGGGAGTGGGTACTTAAAAGAGGCGGCCTCACCAATTTGTTTTCCTTACCTATTCGCTTGTAGACTAACGGGCTATTCGCTTACCTATTCGCTATAGCTTCGCGCGGACGGGGAGGTGAGCTCACGAGCTCAACCTTTTTTTTTTACCCGAAAGAATTTCGCAGAGCTTACCGGATCGGATTCGCGACCCACTGAGAAGATCCGGTGAGAAACTCAGTGGGCCGTGCCTATGAGATAGCCTGTGTCAGATATATAATTAGCAGCGACCAGGGCAAGAGGGTTATCGTGCCGCGCCGCTTTTTCGAAGTAGTGTTCTGATGCTAGCTTTAGATACTTACGTATCTCGTTTCAAAATTTGGATCGTCGTGATGGTCGACATTTTTTTTTATGATTGAAAGATTACTGGTGGCCCGGAGGACTTTCCAATTTCACCAGGACAGGTGGGCGAGCATGGTGATGGTCGACATTGACGACATTGACGAACCACGTTTGTCCGACAGCTTTCCTGTAGAAATGGAATTGACCTGGAGAGAGTCATAACGGGACGTATGCAAGTTTTTTTGAGTGTCACCTTGTTACCAAGGGACAGTTTAGTTCGGTTGCGGATCATGCGGTAGAACGATAGAACCGATCGAGTAGAAACGCGCCCCGGTCGCGTACTGACTTGATGTGGGACCGAATGTCATCCCTCTGTTGAAATGGACGCCGAGATACTTGGCCTTTGAATACCATAGTATAGGCCGGATGGCGGGAATGGAGTTACCGTGCCTAATTTAGTACGAGATGCTAGCAGTGATCACTTTCAATGAATCTGTTACATTTGTACCTATTCCATTTTTACCGCGCGCTTATTAGATGGCGCTAAGGTAATTAGGTATTGCATATGGGCGGTATTTGGTAGAAACGGCATTGGTAAAATATATTAAATAATATTTATTTATTACCTTTGGTATATTCTTATTTGGTATTCGCGCGTCGCAGTCATAGTTATAATTACGAACTACTTGTGACTTACGTAAACAATAAATGAATGAAAAATTAGTTTTAACTAATATAGCTCTTCAATATTTCTTTATTTTAAGACAAAAATCTCGTTTTAGACAATCAGACGTTCAGGCCCCTCCATATGTACCGGCTTATTTGAAAAACCAGAACTTTGCGAAAACTGGCTACCCAGGCGTGAAAACTCACTACGGCGGCACGAAGACAGTGTACGGTGGTACAAAAACTGGGTACGGAGGAACCAAAACTGGTTATGGAGGGACTGGTTACGGTGGACCTAACACCGGCTACGGAGGACCCTACGGCGGATATGGAGGATCCAATATGGGTTATGGCCATAGTAGTGGTGGCCATGGGTTTTCCTGGGTCACCCCGTCTCAGTATTCCGAAACCAGGTCTTGGCATTCTCATTCCGGAGAAGCGTAAGTATTTTTATAAAATTATGTTTTGGTAATATGGCGATCCTTGTGGGAGCCCTATATCCAGCTGTGGACGTCTGTGGGCTGATCATAATGATGACATGTTTAATATTGTCAAGCTATTCTATATCTAGCTATTTTGAAGTCGTCGTGGCCTAAAGCGGTGTAGTCGNATTCCGAAACCAGGTCTTGGCATTCTCATTCCGGAGAAGCGTAAGTATTTTTATAAAATTATGTTTTGGTAATATGGCGATCCTTGTGGGAGCCCTATATCCAGCTGTGGACGTCTGTGGGCTGATCATAATGATGACATGTTTAATATTGTCAAGCTATTCTATATCTAGCTATTTTGAAGTCGTCGTGGCCTAAAGCAGTGTAGTCGTATCGAGCGATGCAACTCTGCCGGTGTTCAAATCCCGCAGGCGGGTACCAATTTTTGTAATGAAATACGTACTTTACAAATTTATTTCCACGGTGAAGAAATACGTCATATAATAAAAGTCAAACCCGCATAAAATTATAATTTGCTTAATTACTGGTGGTAGGACATCTTGTGAGTCCGCTCGATTAGGTACCACCGCCCCGCCTATTTCTGCCGTGAAGCAGTAATGCGTTTCGGCTTGAAAGGTGGGCCAGCCGTTGTAACTATACTGAGACCTTATAACTTATATCTCAAGGTGGGTGGCGCATTTACATTGTACATGTCTATGGGCTCCAGTAACTACTTAACACCAGGTGGGCTGTGAGCTCGTCCACCCATCTAAGCAATAAATAAAAAAATAGAAATAATAAATAGGTAAGTGGTTACTCAAATATAGGATCAAAGTATTCAATCTACGACCTATATAAAATACATTAAGTATAGTAGTTGTTTTAATTTCCAAACCGGACCCATGACTGCTTCGTGGCACAAACAAGTAGATGCTGCGACTTCTTCTTAGACTTTTCCTGGTCTAGTGCCAGGATCCGCTTTCCTGCTTAAGCTCCACTTATAACTATCGCTTATAATTATTAAAGTATCACTGTGGCTCATTAAAAAATATCGTAATGTAATTGTGAATATTTTTCTTTGCAGGCCTAATTACCAGCAGTTCGTCGATAATGCAATGCAAGGTTTGCAACGTAAGTGTAAATGTTTTTTTTTGTTGTAATCTTTTGCTTTATTGTTGAAAAGATTTCATGAGCTTGGTGTGTATGTATGTATGTATGTTTGTTTGTACATAACGGAATCTTTGAACGTAATTTTCATCGACTTCAACACTTCCGATTAAGTTGAAATTTTGCACACACATCAACAACCGATGACAATACAATAATTTTATAACTTCGCTCTGATGTTCTGACCAGTATAAAAGGGATAGAAAATATTATTTGTAATTATTTTTTAGTTCGCTTCGCTATTTAAGAATGATTTTTACATATATCATTTTTCTTGAATGCCTCACAATATCATCCATGCCAATTTGATAAATTTAATGATGTTCATTATAAGATTTAAATATGTTTCATTCCAAATCAAATTAATATTTTCGTCCATATCTACCAATTCTAATTTTTAAAATTACTTTTGACATGACAAAATAAATATATTTTTTTAACAAATAATTAAAGCTGACGGGAATATATGTCGTATATTATATATCGCCATATTATTTACGGTCACTATTCTTTGACTACCAAGAACTAAGACCACAAAGTCAGGGCAATCCTGTCAGCCACTCTGTAGGTATTCTTTTTTTACTCTATAAAATATATTTTAGTAACTTAGACGTAATTTTCTAAAAAAATATGGTCCAAATTATCTAACTTCTAATATTACCACTTTTTGTGTTACCACGACTATCTAACCTATTTCTATCAAGAAGCATTTAAGCTAATCGAATCGCGGGAGATTCATTATTCTAATGCAGCCTTTCCCAAGGTGGGCGATAACGCCCCCTTGTGGGCGCTGCAGGCCTAAAGGGTAAGAGGGGTAAGAGACCCAGAAAAAAATGGGGACGTTGTGTAGAGGCTCGGGAGGCGATTTGTAATTTCATCTAGGAGGACTCTTAGACACCGTCTGAGCTCTCGTTATAAAAAGAGGGGCGCTAAAAAATAATTTATTCCCAAAGTGGGCAGTAGGCAAAATAAGTGTGGGAAACCGTGTTCTAATGTAACAAAAACTAAGATGGGATAAATCTACTGTTTAACTTCAGGCATTGAATAATTGAGTTCACCAACACGAATAAATAAAATACACATACCTCATATATTATATAGACCGTGATACAGACTTGTTATAGCGCGGGAGTCCATTGGATAAAATTCGCGCTAATAATGTTTTTTATTGCCCTTCTAGGTAGATGAATTTTTCGAAATTTCATCTCATTTACATACGTAAATACATAGAACTTTTAAAAATATCCTCTTTGTTTCTTCGTCTATATAATGAACTTTATATATAAGATTTAAATAGAATACAGTTATTTACATAATTACGATTATCACGAGGCGTGGGATGTTATCGGTTCAAGCCGGAAACGCAAATCTAAGCTTCGTGTCCGTTGGGGCTATTTTAGATACAAAAAAAATATTAATATATTTTTTTTAAATCACAGCCGCTGTACTGTAGTACGTTGAAAACATACAATATATTATAATATTAGTAAATTGATTATAGTAAAAAACTAGAAAAAAACATATTTAAATAAATTAACCGATTTCATCTGTGTTATTCTGTTGTTTATTATTGATGTGTGCACAAATTTTCAAGTCAATCAGATGTCGTGAAATCTACGAAAATTACGTCCAAAATTCCTTTAAAACTCCTAATTTAATTATTTTATACTGGTACTTCATGAATAGACTTACCTTTGACGGTGAAATTCGAATAAGTAGGGTAAAAATAGGGGATAAGTAATCAATCGCAATTACCCATCTTCAAGCTATACAGCATTACGAGGATCACACGGTCTCTCAAAAGATTGAGCCAACTTTATACGAACTGATATTACTCATCAACTTACGTTCAACATTTTATTAAACGTAAAAACAATAACTAAGTTACATTTTGACAGCGAAATGCGACCCAGAATGCAGGAACACGGGCATATGCGTTGACACAAACACGTGCCTTTGTCCAGCGAATTATCAAGGGAAGTACTGTGAGTTCGAGAAGAAACCTTGTCTATCATACCCGCCTCTGCCAATGAATGCTCGTAGGAAATGTTCAAGCGAGTAAGTAATTATTTAATGTACCATTTCTAGGTGATCATTGATTTAGACTTTAGTTAAATATCGGAGGGGAAAAGCTACGGGGGGAAAAGTTTAAGCGACATTGCGTTTAATACGCGACATTTATTTTTGTAATTAAAGGTGCGTTTTATTTGGCATTAGCATCAACAGTTAGATATTTTTAATTGAAGTTCAATTAATTTTTTTACTCCATTCAAATAACCGAAGAAGATTTTTGTTATGATTTTTTTTCCAAATTTTAAACTTTAAATTGCTCTCCTGTAAAGTTGCAAAGATGTCGCTAAAATCGAATAACTAGCCTTTCACCCGTCGATAAGTTTTTATTGTCTATTATGAGACATAGTACTTTTTATAGTTCTTCATATCTAAGTACTTTAAAAAAAAGTAAAGAAATAATAATTTAATAATAATGACACATGTATAAAATACTTAATATCAATAATACATTTATAATGATAATTTGCAAAGTGATTCATTTCCGTTTAAAAGAATGCATCGAATGGTCAAATTGCCAACCCAACCCAAGCCGAAATAGATTAGGGTCATAAGAATTAAAAAGTTATACTTATATAATAATATTATACTACTATTATACTTGTCTGAACTGAATGTCTCGGAAACCGCAATGTACACGGAAGCAAATATATAAGATGCGGCGCGCGTACCACCAAGTTCCTCGAACCCGCGTGTCTGTTATTTTTTAATCGTATTACATTACGTGCGATGTAAAGAACACTAGTAAACACGTTCGCTTTGGTATTAGTATTTGGTGTGCGACTGTACAACAAAATCCCACAAGATGTTCAGAACCTACATATACATAGGCTTAAGAAAACTATTAAAGAGCATCTGTGCAATAAAGCTTACTATAAAGTCAATGATTATCTAGAAGATTGCACGAAGTGGGAAGGGGGCGTTCATAAATTACGTGAGGTGTTTAAGGGGGGAGGGGGTCGAGTCAAATCTCATCTAATATTACGTTGGAGAGAGGGGGGGTCTCGGCAAATATAACGCAATCTTTTTTCCGATTGAAAGAAAAAAAATTTATACTAATTTGGTCCATTTAATCCAGATTGTATAGTAACCGGCAAACTTCTTGAGCAAATGACCTTGACTGCGCAGAACCGAATTTTAGATCACTTTGGTGGAGAGGGTGAGGCGCGACGGCAGGGGAAATCGTATCGAGCGCTTTATTGGTAGATCAGTCGAACCTTGCGCCCCGCACCGCGCCCTCATTCCGCTTGCTCCCAAAAGTACGCTTGCGTACAGTGGAAAGTCTATCGTTATTAATCGTTAAGTTATTTGTTATAATTACTTGTGGACTATGTTGCCATTGCTATTTGTTGAGTGTTTGTTGATTTTTTATAAAACATACACTATGCCGCGACAAACTGGTGTACTATTCAAAAGAAAGGGTAGAAAAATTGTGTACGACGTATATTGCTTCATTATAAAACAGGGGAAGAATGATATGGAAAAATTAAAACGGACTTCGGAAGTAACAAAACCATCAGTGAGTACTGTTAGGTGCATTATTATTAAGGAAGCTAAAGGCTCTGGCTTGCTCGCCGTGTTTCGAACTCCGGGTAAGAAAAGATCAGGGAAGAAGAAAGTTACCGGAATGGATAGTTTCGTTCAATCTGTAATAAAAAGATGTAATCATAATAACTACATAACAAGCAGCGAAACTCCGTACCGTAGAAAGGCTTTGAAAAATTTAAAGAAGATATAAATTCTAATGGCTCGGAATGAAGCTTACGACGTATTATGAAAGAGCTAGGCTTCAGATGGAAAAAAAGAACAGAAAATAATCGGAAGCTGGTAATTGAAAAAAGTAACATTCGATTACTACGAATATCTTCAAAAAATAATTAATTATACACAAAAAAGAAGACCGAATCGACCGAGTTGTAAACTACACCGATGAGCCCTATGTCGACTAATCACGATGATAGCGACTCGGGTGATGAAAACAGTGATGATGATGATGGTCAAGATTATGATTACGAAAAAAAAATTACAAATACCAGTTTCGCTTCAACTGAACCAAGACGTGGCAACAGCTCTAGTTTTGACTTAATAGAAGGAATATCTATTTTACCCCAAGATTAAATTTTTACAATTATTAACCTATATGTTTTGTTGATGTTCTAATAAATATATAAATAAATACATATGTTGATTTTAATAATTTAATAGCATTATGACGCAGAGTAAGTAATGTTTTTCACGTGAGTGTACCATACGCGAACTTACCCCCACTACGTCAACAAATGCTCAAGAAGTTTGCCGGCTATTATACATGCTTAAGATTTTATCTTGAGCGTAATCGTAATACGATTAAGATCATTCACTAATTCGTTTGAAGTTAGTTGTGATTACCTATAATTGAGTGAGCACATGTCATGTTTTGATATTTTTGTACCCTATGTTTAAGCCAGTGTTTCATTTGTTGGTGATCCATTAAATAAATAAATAAATAAATGAAAGAAAATAATTTCATTCATACTTCATGTTGTCGTCATGACATGTTGGTTCCAATAGTCTCTTTTGAGACCGTGCATGATTCTCCATGGACTAAATTAGAGTGATATTCTTTTTTTAATCACAGTAGTTACGATTTAAGTATTCTATTGTTAAATTTTTATTACACTTATAATTAAACTCTCAGTAACATTGATTACTAGTCATAACTAGTCGTAAATAAAAGCACGAAGCAAATTTGTTTTTTTCTTTTTACATTAACAATCCCACGCGTTTACGTAAGAAACTCACATTTTGAAAAATCTCACGTGAGATTGGGAGATGGGGAGGGGGTTGAATAAAATCTCACGACATCTCACCAGGGGGGGGAGGGAGGGGCAGAAAATTTAAAAAAACACCTCACGTAATTTATGGACGCCCCCGAATGAGTTGCTCGCTCCGGGCATTTCAATATTGTAATAATTGCCCGCTGAGTTTCTTACCAATTCTTCTCAGGACGGAGGCTAGTTTTTGTGAATTGGTGGTAGTTCTTTTGACGTTCAACAAGTATGTACTTTCATTTATGTTGAATAATTTTTTTTTGATTTGATTTGATTAGGAATAATCTTTCTTCATTTTCGGAAATAGTTCGAATTTATTTCCATTCGTTTAGACTGTGCACGATCACCTGCATGGAAGGTTACAAGTTCATCGACGGCACAACCGTGGCCAACATGCAGTGCACTGAGGGCGAGTGGCAGCCGACCCGGGCCGACTTCACCACGATCCCGGACTGCGAGCCCCAGTGCGAGCCCCCCTGTATGAACGGCGGGATCTGTTTGTCTCTCAATATGTGCCAATGCTCAGCCGAATACAGGGGACCGCAGTGTCAATATTGTGAGTATCAAATTTGTTTATGCAACCCTATTTGCTATTGTATTTTTATGTGCCACAACTTGCATTATTAACTAATACGCTTTTATTAGTTTCAGACGTATTGTATGTTTGTAACGGAATCTTTGAACATGATTGTGATCCCCTTCAAAACGTCGGATTAACTCTAAATTTGGTATACTTATTAAGGACCGATGACAATTCAATATTTAAAAAAAATTGAAAAAAAAAGAATGAATAAATTGTTTTCAACTAAAAAATGATAAATAAATAATAGTTTAAAAAAACTAACAAAATACTCTTTTATAGAAAATCCGACTAAAAAATTGAAAATAAGTTTTAATAAATTTGAATTAAAAATAGTGTAAGAAAAAATGATTTTATTGTAAAAAAAGCGTGGGGTGCTTTTCAGGATATTATCAAAATAACCCTTCTACTCATATCTGTACATAAAATATTCATAACTTCTGGTACCGTGCATTTTCTTACACTATTTTTGATTCAAATTTATAAAAAAAAAATTTTGTATTTTAAGTTGGATTTTCTATAAAAGCGTATTTTGTTATAATAGTTTTTTTAAACTATTATTTATTTTTATGGAATCTTTCGTTTAAATTGTCGATTATTATAAATTACATGTCAATTTTATGGAATTACTGATGATAGTCCAAAATTATTGATTCCATCAGCTACCAGCGTTTGCGATATAAGGAAGCTGGCTTTCAACGGTGGTTACAAGTGCTTCGGAGACGGAGAAAAGTTCAGCTGCAAGCTCAAATGTCCCAGGGGCTCCAAGTTCAGTGCGACACCGGCTCCCGTCTACACTTGTCACTACGACAGCGGAGTGTTCCTCCCGCAACCGATACCACAGTGTGAATTCCGTACGTATGCTCCTTAAATACGTCATCGTCGACCGTCGGATTAGGTGTCTTTTTTTTATTTCTTAGATGGGTGGACGAGCTCACAGCCCATCCGGTGTTAAGTGGTTACGGGAGCCCATAGACATCTACAACGTAAATGCGCCACCCACCTTGAGATATAAGTTCTAAGGTCTCAGTATAGTTACAACGGCTGCCCCACCCTTCAAACCGAAACGCATTACTGCTTCACGGCAGAAATAGGCGGGGCGGTGGTATCTACCCGTGCGGTCCTACCACCAGTAAAATGTCCGTCATTTTATGGACATTGCACGTGAATTCTGTCGCCTAGATAGAAGTAAGTAATTCGAGATTGTGGTGTGTCATTACCATTATACAATCAAATTATCACAGTTCAAAGTTGGTTTTGCGTCATTCACACTGATTTGTCCATGGGCTCAAATAGTCTGTTAGGACTAGGAGGGCCATGTGACCTGGTTACCCTATCATGGATTTTTTTCAGGCAAGACAGAAAATTTACCTGTATTTTCTCAAAACGATGGCATACTATTTTTTTATAGTGACAACATTGCTTGTTAAGGCTAACATTATTATTAATACCAACTTTTCTAATTACATTGCTTATCATGAATATTCGGTTTACAGAGGACGTCGTGGTCATAAGTCCGAATCATCACAACAATTCGGTGAGTAATTACTGAATACAGTCGATTCTAATTTAGACCCCAAATTTCTAATTTGACCTCATAAAATTATTGATTTCAAGAAAAACTGTAGTATTCAGTTTGATATCTTTAAACATCAAATTGCAGTGTCCATAATTGATAGCACGGCTAGTATATTTATATCAAGCGCTGCGCTTACTTCTGGATTCTACTTCAAATGGCAATTTTTTTACTCAAATTCCACAAAGAAGCAAAAACGTCGGCCAATAAAATGAAACTCGCAAAATTTACCTATGGTTTCTTGTGGTAGGAACACTGAGTGTCCAGAACGCTGCCCCCTTCCCGCCTATCTCTGCCGCGAATGAAAGGTCGTATTAAAAAAAAGTCAATAGCGCTAATAACGAGTTTCACGCCAGATTTTTTCACTGGGTCGCATTTCCGATCCGGTGATAGATTCTGCGAAGCACTGCTCTTGCTAGGGCTAGTGTTAGCAACGACGTCAGGTTTGAGCCCCGTGAGCTCACCTACTAATTCGCTGAATATAGAATAACACCTCGAGGTTACTAGAATAGATAGAAAAAAAAACACGTATGGCACTCGGGGACTGCCGCGGTAAAGCTATTGCATAGCATTTTTTATCAACTTATGCAATTATAATTAGAACATAATAATTTAATATTAAAACAATAATGAAATAAGACCACGCTATATTTATAAACATTAACAAAAGCAAAACATTAACTGTCCCCTTCACACTCATAAGTTAGACCGCGTGGGAGAGAGATGGGCAGACTTTTCATGATGCGCCTGCAGTGCGATGTCACGCCGCGCGCTTATTCACAATCACTACACAAGCGCAACGTGTGAATGTGTTGAACGCGAGCTACATGGTAGGCGGAGAGGGGGTGTTAGGTTTTATTTTCGTTACGGAATTTCTTGATTCGGTCGCCGCGCTCAAAGCCCGCGATAAAAGCTATGCAACTAGTGCGCTATAAGCTCATTCCAACATTCAGACAGTAAAAAAATACAACTTATTTTACAATTTCGAAACAAAATATAATATGTCTCTAAAATATTTATTTCAGTCGTACTATTCGTACTCGCAAGGTTCGAGTGAGTCTCACTCAAGGGAACGAGGTGATACGCCGTCTCACTCGAGCGAGGCTCACGGCTATGGCCACACTGGTGGACCCCACGGCTCCTATGGCATCAAGGAAAACCCTTTGGTGGTCATACAGGATTTCACGCCCAAAGGAGGCACTTGCTTGAGTTGGGCTGGTGTGCATTATAAGACCTTTGATGGGAAAATTTACAGGTAAATTATTTGGAGTTTATCAACGAGATGTGTCGTGTTATAGAGACCACACATGTGTGAGATAGCCCCGTTCAATATATTCAAATGGATTAAGTGCAAGTTCTTTTAAAAGGATAGTATGAATAATCGGGGATAGATCTCGTACTGTCATCAGGCTCCGAACTTAGATTCCCAGTGCTGTAGAAACCATATACTCATATATCGCATATACGGTGCTATAAAGTCACTTATGCTATTTTTGTTAACACTAAGTATGAGAAAATACATTTTTTAATAGTTATTAGTAAGACGAGATGGAGTTTAAAGTTGTAGTTTAAATATTATCATTTTATTTCTATAGCCTAGCAGAACTATATAAGAATTATATAATAAGACTAGCTGACCCGGCAAACGTTGTTTTGCCATATATGCGCCATCTATTGATTACTTACTCAACCCAGTCGAAAGGTATCGACATCTGTTAGAATCATTTGGAGTTAACAGATAATTGTGACTGTCAAATAATAACAGACAAATAATTAGCAATAAATTAAAATTGCGACTATAATTTGAGATTTAAACTATCCTATCTCTCAAGTTGGATCGAACTGCACATGGTGTGCGAATTTTATTATAATCGGTTAAGTGGTTTAGGAGTCCATTGAGGACAAACATTGTGACACGAGATTTATATATATTAAGATGTTGAATTTTCTAACGTTTCTCCTGAAAAATTATATAATTTGCATAAGTGACGTTATCGCAACGTATGTGCGATATGTTTAAATACACATATACTTACTTATTCGTCTCCTGTGCATTTTAGAATATAGTTATATGAGTTTACTTTATGTACCACGAATAATGGTGAAACTAAACGTGTCCCGAATAAATATAATACTTGAAACGAAAAGTATTTCTTTGATGGTAGAGGATATTGTAAGCCCGCACAGGCAGCTACCACCATCCTACCTATTTCAGGCGCGAAGCAGTGTCGCGTTTTAAGGACGTAATAGTTGTTATTGTTCAATATTTTCACTGGTGGTAGGACCTCTTGGGAGTCTGCACGGGTAGGTACCACCACCCCGCCCGCCTATTTCCGCCGTGAAGCAGTAATGCGTTTCGGTTCGAAGGGTGGGGTAGCCGTTATAACTATAGTGAGACCTTAGAACTTATATCTCGAGGTGGGTGGCGCATTTACGTTGTTGATGTCTATGGGCTCCAGTAACCACTTAACATCAGGTGGGCTGTGAGCTCGTCCATCCATATAAGCAATAAAAATAATAATTATATATATTTATTTAAACAATTTCAAGAAATCTTACGTAAGCTTTTGTATACAAGTTAAAAAGAGCTTCTTTCGGATGTGGGTGTATCGAACAACGACAGGTGCTCAGTGGAAGATGATAGATCTTCGTAGTGGTACTGTAAGGCTATAAATATTTCTGTTAGGTGCCACAAAAAAGAAAATTCCACTTTAAATGTATTCTACATCTCAAAAAACAATAAATATATTGATTAAAAGGAACGGTGTTTCCCGAGCGCTATGACATGTCCTTCTTCAAACGAGGCTTGTGGAGAGTATTAAGCGGTAGGCAGCGGCTTGGTTCTGCTCCTGGCATTGCTGAAGTCCATGGGCGACGGTAACCACTCACCATCAGATGGGCCGTATGCTCGTCTGCCTACAAGGGCAATAACAAAAAAAAAAAGATTGGTAACAACAACCCTTTACCGATTCTCCGAAAATTAATTACAATTTTTTTTGTATTCCACATTGTATTAGCGTGCAATCACCATGCCAACACGTTCTGATCCGAGATGCCAAAGAACATAAATACACAGTAGCCGTCAAACAAGGAGAGTGCAAACGTTACCCGTACTGTCCAAGTGAAATCACCATTTACTTAGAGGACAAACCGTTTTTCTTGTCTGTTGACGGTGAGTTGATAGCTGTTTGATTGATTCGGCGAACATTCGCGAGAAATAAGCGTATTTGGTGGTAGGACCTCTTGTGAGTCCGTACGGGTGGGTACCACCGCCCTGCCTATTTCTGCCGTGAAGCAGTAATGCGTTTCGGTTTGAAGGGGACAGCCGTTGTAACTATTACTTGAGACCCTAGAACTTATATCTCAAGGTGGTTGGCACATTTACGTTGTTGATGTCTATGGGCTCCAGTAACCACTTAACACCAGGTGGGCTGTGAGCTCGTCCACCCATGTAAGCAATAAAAAATAAATAGATAAAAAAATTGTCTAGGTCTACTTTGAGAGCCACACACACCCCTTCCGTTTTCAAATTCCAATGAAATTGTCATAACAGTTTTGTTCACATAATCAAATACCCGTTTCGAACATTTGCATTTCAGTGTTCACGGTCCGATCCTCGCTAAGGATGCTTACGGCGAGGATGAACTCTTAGGAAAATACTCAAATGATCAGCGTAGACGTCAGCGTGAATTTTATAAAGTCTCTAAACGCTAATAATTTTTGTTAAATTCGGCTTGAAGTCAGTCGAGTTTATTTGTTAATAGCAAATACAGTTTTGTGGTTCCCTCAGAAGGTTTCACTGCTCACCAGACCGCCTAAGATTAGCTTTAGTCCAGATTCGGATTAAAGCTAATCTTAGGAGGTCAATTGGTTCTGCACTTGACGTTGTGACCGTGAGCGAAGATGGCCACTCGCCATTAGGTGAGTAGTGAAACCTTCTGAGGGAACCAAAAAAACGGTGACTCCTGGCTTTAGGAGGCTGGTAGTAAAATAGCGATGACCCGTCAAACAGTTCCTCAGAGGTCAGTTAACAGTTCGGTCTTAACGACAATATTGTTATGCATAGAGGACGGGTCGGTGTCATTCCGCAACAGTCGTCGGTTGATCCCGATGCCGGCCTCCCTGCCCGGCCTCAGGGTGGCCATGCCCAGCGACTACGTGCAAGTCAACCTGGACAATGCTGGGGTCACTCTCAAATGGGACACCAACGTGAGTAGTATGACCGCGACTATCTATACTAATCTATACTAATAGGTATATAAATCTACAGTGGTTTTTGCCGATGTTCCATTATAACTACTGAACCATGCATCCGATTGACTAGAAACTTGGTATCCATGTAGAAAATACATTTACTTAATGGATAGCCTAATATTTATATGAGTGTTGGACTCCCTACATCAGTTGCGGGGGCGTTGATGATGAGAATCTTTGTGGGGGTGAGAAATAATAATGTTAATTTTACATGCCCAGCGAAGCGAACGGGTACAGCTAGTTTCCTTATGAAGATATCGTTGAAATGTCTGTTTGAATAGAACAATGACTTTTATTGGTCTAGTTGGGAAGGTTGCGGCATCTCAGATATATTCAAACGTGAAAGGCATCAAATAAGTTGATGGACTGCTTATAAGTTTCTACAGAGAATCGGATTTAATTACAATTGGCTACAGATTATTCATTTTCAGATCTGGAGATAGGATTAAAAGATTCTTCTAGAGTACGATTGTTTTCGTTAGAGCTGTTTAAATATATCCACATTTGTCTGTCTGCCTTAATTGTAATCATCAAATCAACTGGAAGATGGTCGCTAGCCACACATAGTTCTTTAGTGTTAGAATATTACTAAAGGATGTGCAGTCTTTTGGATTGTACTAGTGATACGACAATTAGGTCAAGTACTGTTGGCTTTCACTATCCTGTTAAATATCGGGCCTAGTTTGAAAGGTAAAAATGTTGCCAACGTCAATGACACTTGGCAAATTGGGCCTGCATCTACTATAGCTCTAGTAGGTAGGTGCTTAACAGCATCTTAGAAAAACAAATGGTCTACAATACGAAGATGTTCGAACTTTAAAATATGTTTCAGAATTTAATATTGGTAGAAGCCTCTGTATTACTGTGGAACAACACCGAAGGTCTATGTGGGAAGCTTGATGGTAACCCAGAGAACGACTTTACAACCAAAGCAAACACGTTGGCCAAAACGAAATCTGAATTCGCTTCTTCGTGGAAACTCAACAAGATTGGAGGTTAGTCTTTATCTATCCATTTTTATACATACATTGCGATATTTTTGTTATGCTGTAGCAAAAAAGCGCTTATGAAAGCAAACAGTACGACATCATTACGAAGAACTGACTTCAAATCATCAATTTCGCATTATCCTACGTTTTGTTTTTTTTGGAACATTCAAAAGGACAATCGAAGCGATTTTTGGAACTTTTTGTCTCCCAAAAAATTGTTATGCATATTAAAATGTTGTATTTCAAAAGCTGAACTAACAAGAATTGGAATTTTTAAATAGTGCCCACATTAAATATTCAGATACTTACATAGGTATATACATATAGAGATGCTTACCTCCCAGACAAAGAACAAACTGTTCAACATACGAACATTTTCCCAAAGTGGGAATCATATCGACAGCTTGTAGTCGTCGTGGCCTAACGGATAAGACGTCCGGTGCATTCGTGTTGAAGCAATCCACCGGTGTTCGAATCCCGCAGGCGGGTACCAATTTTTCTAATGAAATACGTACTCAACAAATGTTCACGATTGACTTCCACGGTGAAGGAATAACATCGTGCAATAAAAATTATAATTTGCGTAATTACTGGTGGTAGGACCTCTTGTGAGTCCGCACGGGTAGGTACCACCGCCCCACCTATTTCTGCCGTGAAGCAGTAATGCGTTTCGGTTTGAAGGGTGGGGCAGCCGTTGTAACTATACTGAGACCTTTGAACTATATCTCAAGGTGTGTGGCGCATTTACGTTGTAGATGTCTATGGGCTCCAGTAACCACTTAACACCAGGTGGGCTGTGAGCTCGTCCACACATCTAAGCAATAAAAAAAAAAATCTCTCGCTCTGCAGTTAAAGGTACAATTATTATTGCGCCACCGACTCAGTTAAAACTATCACAAAGATTCGGTCTGTCAAAGGATTACCTATTATTAATGATTTAGTTCTATATTACTTGAAATGTGCCAGCAGTCCTTGTTAGAGCTTTGATAATGTTACCCCAATAAAATTAAATGTGTAGTGGTATGGGCCTTTGATGCGTAGAGAGAAGATGCACGTGACTGGATGAAAATGGTAATGCAAGGTAGAGGGGTCGACCAAAGAAGACATGGATGGAGTGTGTGAATGACGATATGAGAGAGAGAGAGGAGTGAATGTTGAGATGACGGCTGATAGAAGAGAATGGAATAGAAAAATTAGCTGTGCCGACCCCACCTAGTGGGATAAGGTGGAGAAAAAAAAGAATAGAATTAAAATTAAGGTTTATCTCACAAGAATGGTCGCTTGAAAAATAAAACCTTAACATCAGATGCTTCTTTTCTTTCTTCCAGATACATGCGAGAGTAATCCTACAGAGTCAAGCGCTTGTGAATCCAAAGGAGATGAGGACTTGAAGAAAGCAATGCAATTCTGTACAAGAATCTTCAGTAAAGATAAATTTAGGAAATGCTCAAAGGTATTATATACTCCTCTAGAAATTTATTTACCCTTGTATTGTATTGTATTCAAGTATTAAACATCATTAATAGTAGAAATCTGAAGAACTAAGGCATCATTAATTTAATTCGAAATTCATCATGCGGGTCTTTAAAATTTACAATTCGTGGAGTCGTCGCGTGCCCTTAAGGGGGCGCGGCTTCCGATTGGTCGGACTTCCCCGCACATCTTCATATTCTTTCTTTTTCTCTCTTTCATGTTTTCTTTTCTTCTTACTATCTAACTAATTCGATAATAATAGGTTATTAGCGAGTAATAAAGACGATAATATGACAATAACAAGCAACAATATAATAAAACAAAGAAGCAAAGCAATACAATGCATGTTTACTGCGTTACTTAGAATGAAGCAAGGGTACGAACTTAAATTCAATGAAATCGATATTTTTTAATGATATAACACAAATGTCAAAGGATACATGAATGCATGCCTGCACGTGTATATAATTAATCGCGAACTTACGTAATGTACAGTGGAAATTTTTTAAAGTACAACCGTAAATAACTACTTACTTATTAACTACCTATCTTACAACTTCAATTTTAACTATTTTATAACAGCTTATACATATAACATACTAACAAAATATACTGAAGCCTCCAAATATACGAAGAATGACCTCATCATTATTGTAAAAAACCGCGCTGGAGCTCTCATCTCTACTTGGTGCGCACAGAACAAGGAAGCGGGCGGAGAAGACTGCAGGGGGGCAAGTATCCCCTCGTTCCGATCTGGAACCCTAAGGGCACGCCTCCCCTGAAGAGGGTTTGATTGCCCTTCCCAGACAGGGAACGGTGCGGTCCCCTGAAGTCCCTCTAGGAGAGATAGCGAAACTCTCATAGGTTCTCATAGACTCATAGGTTCCGACCTCACAGCCGACGAGAGTCTTTAACTACGATCGATTATCGAGCTATGAAGGCGTGCTCTCACGCACGAAGATGGTCCTTCAGGGTGCGGATGTCTAGACTAGTATAGAGGGCGAGTTTACAAGTGAATAACATAGACTTTTAAAGTAGAGTATTAAAACTTATTGTTTCTTAGTAACATTTCATAGAGTTTCTAGTATTTCGTATTAGTCCAACTGTTATTTTGATAAATTTGTTTTATATTTTTATATCTTAAATGCGTGTTCTATTATTGATCTGATGATAGATGATAGATACGTTTGATTCCTCCTCATAAAATTAATTTGTATGTTTTAAATTACAGGTTATGGATGTGTCGTTATTGCTGGAAGCTTGCCAATGGGATTATTGTGCTTGTACAAAATCTCTAAGTAAGTAATAATATTGTTGATATAATTATATAATAATAATGGTATCAATTTGAAGAGGCCTACAGTTCAGCAGTGGGCCACTCTTTGGGTGGATGATCATGAAGTAATCATACTTATTTAACGTGTATCGTAAAATTTTAGAGAATGACCATATATTTAGACGGTTATTTTAGTTAACTTAAAATGGCATAATAGTAAAACAGTTACAAAAAAAAACTTTTGATGGTGACACTTAGAATCGGTCACCATAATTGACTGTGAAATAAAAGCTTGAAAAAGCTACAGGGTCTGTGTGTCGTTATCATCGCATAGAAACGCAGCTAGCCCTACGGTATTTATGAACTTAAAAACTTGTGAGTCCGCGCCCGTGGGTACCACCACCCTGCCTATTTCTGCCGTGAAGCAGTAATGCGTTTCGGTTTGAAGGGTGGGGCAACCGTTGTAACTATATTTGAGACCTTAGAACTTGTATCTCAAGGTGGGTGGCGCATTTACGTTGTGGATGTCTATGGGCTCCAGTAACCACTTAACACCAGGTGGGCTGTGAGCATGTCCACCCATCTAAGCAATAAAAAAAAAGACTTATTGTAGGAGACAATAATTAAGAATAATTTAAGGAATGGGGTGTGTGGAATAAGGGGATAGAAAAATAAGGTGAAAATGCTACAACAATGAATGATGAAGGATTAAGGTCCAAGACCTTCGGATATTAGCTCTAATATATTATTCAAATCACTTAAAGTAGATAGTAATTACAATATTTGGTCAACTTACTCTATAAATATGTCTGGTACAGGTCCAGAGGAATGTGCCTGCAGTACAGTCGCGGTGTATGCCAAGGAGTGTCTCCGTCACGGTGTGGAGGAGATGAAGAACTGGCGCGATCCTGACACCTGTCGTGAGTGTTGCTTCTATTTTTATGTACCATAATATTATTGTGATTATCAGTTAAATATATGTATATACTTAGCAAATTATCAATTGATTTGACGTATTTTTTGCCATTCGTCTTATGCGTCCTTTTGCCATTTCGTCTTCTCGCATTAAAACTGTATAATCTCAAAACTTACTAAATAATTTTACAGGAGAGTGTTTTAAAGGTTTAACATGTGATATTTATAATTTTAATCATCTTTGCAACGTTTATTTTTTATTTTTTACCTGTTACATTATCTGTCTTTTAAAGTAAGATAAAATTTATATTAATTTGGTTAATTAATAGTAGTCAAAACATAGCTAAGCAAAAAAAAAAATTAAACAAAACTACGCTCTTTTGACAGTATTCATTAGAAAAATACTAGTGATACCAAATGATTCCGCATATTAACTCAATTTCGAATATTATTGGAATTTGGTATACTTTTAATGCGAAAAGACGATTTTACTTATGCTTGTTATGCCATGACTTATCTTATGCTTGCTTTGAGTTCAATTCGTGACTGAGTATTCAAATTTATTTCTTCTTCAGCAATGAAATGCCCGGAAGGCAAGATATACAAGGCGTGCGGCCCAGATGTGCAGGCAAGCTGTGCCTTCCCGAACGTGCCAGCCGTCAGCAGCGCGGACAACGTCACCTGCGTCGAGGGCTGCTTCTGTCCCGAGGGTCTCCTACTGGAGGCGGGACGATGTGTCCAGCCAGCCGATTGTCCCTGCAGACTCAGGAACAAGAGCTTCAAACCAGGAAGCGTTCTGCCCAAAGAATGTAATACGTGGTGAGTGACTGTGATTTTGAACTCGTGGTCTAAAGGATTGCGCGCCGGTGTATTCGTATCAAGCAATGTGCGTCTTTTTGCCATTTAATTATCTTTTCAAATTTCAACCATTTCACAATACAAAGTTAGCAACGTGTAGTAAGTATAGCACTTCAATAAAGCGGCACGATACGAGAACCCTCTCATCGCGGCCGCCAGTAACTACATTCCCGATCCTGCGGACAGAATGGAAAGCAGCCGACGTCGCCCCAAACACGTCATTTCGGATCCTCCCGATCCACTAACGGTGCTTTTAGGTACCTCAAGCACCGGTCATCGTTCTCGTCGAACCCGTCGCTTGCGACGAAGGGCTCTACGAGTAAATTAACCCTCAGACACAGCCCACTGAGTTTCTCGCCGGATCTTCTCAGTGGGTCGCGTTTCCGATCCGGTTGTAGATTCTGCGAAGCACGGCTCTTGCTAGGGTTGGTGCTAGCAACGTCGTTAGGTTTGAGCCCCGTGAGCTCACCTACTAGTTAAGGTTACGCTGAAATAGCCTCTCAAGGCTCTCAGATTAGGTAGGAAAAAAAAAAGAAGTAGTTGTCTGAGCGTGTGGTGTGTGGGCAGCACATGCTCGCGCGGCGCGTGGGTGTGCTCGGAGGCGGCATGCGGGGCACGGTGCGGGGCGGTGGGAGACCCGCACTACACAACGTTCGACGGGCTGCGGTACGACTTCATGGGCCGCTGCTCCTACACCATGCTGCAGGCGGGCAACCTTACTGTCGACGTGGAGAACGTGGCCTGCTCCGGAGCCATCTCTGAGGTAGCATCATCATCATCATCAGCCTTTATCTGCTGGACATAGGCCTTCCCCAATGCCTTCCACAGAATGCGGTCCTCCGCCTTCCGCATCCAACGACTTCCCGCCGTGCGCACCAAGTCATCGGTCCACCTGGTTGGAGGACACCCCACGCTCCTGGTACCCATCCGTGGCCTCCATTCGAGGAATTCCCTCCCCCGCCTGGCGTCGCTGGCTCGGCAGATGGCCCATTGCCACTTTAGCCTGCTAACTTTGAGAGCTATGTCGTCGACTTTGGTTCTCCGTCGAATTTCTTCTTTCCGGATTTTGTCCCTTAGAGAAATACCGAGCATAGCTCTCTCTATCGCCCGCTGTGCGACTCTTAACTTATGGGCCAGCCCGCCTCAATCAATCTCAACAATCTTCACCTCTGAGGTAGCCAGTTTTTTTTTATTGCCTAGATGGGTGGACGAGCTCACAACCCACCTGGTGTTAAGTGGTTACCGTGGAGTCCATAGACGTCTACAACGTAAATGCCGCCACCCACCTTGAGATATGAGTTCGAAGGTCTCAGTATAGTTACAACGGCTGCCCCACCCTTCAAACCGAAACGCATTACTGCTTCACGGTAGAAATAGGCGGGGCGGTGGTAACTACCCGTGCGGACTCACAAGAGGTCTTATCACCAGTAAATACATATGAACACAAACCAAACAACTATTACACATTGGAAGGGATGCACGTTTTTTATTCTATGATCATAGGATTTTAACTCATTTCAACTAACTTTTAAGTAACAAAAAAGCTTACTGGTGATAGGGCTTCTTGTGGGCCCATGCGGGTAGATACTACCTCCCTTTTTATTTCTGTCGTGAAGCAGTAATGGGTATAGCTTTGTAAAAGCGGCCGTTGTACTGTAAAAAAGTGAAACTTAAAGCTCATGTCTGAAGGGGGGTAGCGGCATTTACGTTGTTGATGTCTATGGGCTCCGATGACCACTTAACTTCAAGTGAGTCGTGAAGTCCTCCGCCCCACTAAACTATAAAAAAATACATTTTTAATTTACGAGTGAAATTCATTAGTAATGTTAGTAAATATTCTAATCGCTTTGCATGTTAGATTTATTTTTGTTATTGTCCGAAACAATTACCCTTTTAATCATTCGCATATTACTACTTGCCCATCAGGAAATGAATCTAACACCATACAAAGGTGCAGGTTCACCTTCATGCACCAAAGCCGTCAACTTGAACTACGGAGAAATTAAGGTCCATCTGAAGCAAGGAGGGTTTATACTTGTGAATGGGAAGGAAGTCGCCACACTGCCCGTTATGATCGGGAATGTCAGAATCAGAGCGGCTTCATCTCTCTTCCTCATCGGTGAGTGTAATATTTGTCAACATTCAAGACCTGGATCATCCTGGTGGTCGGACCTTTTGTGAGTCCGCACGGGTAGGTATCACAACCCTACCTGTTTCTGCCGTGAAGCAGTAATGCATTTCGGTTTGAAGGGTGGGGCAGCTGCTGTAGCTATACTGAGACCTTAGAGCTCATATCTCAAGGTGGGTGGCGGCATTTACGTTGTCGATATCTATGGGCTCCAGTAACCACTTAACACCAGGTGGGCTGTGAGCTCGTCCACCCATCTATGCAATAAAAAAATAAAAAATACTAATTCATTATAATATCAGTCAAATACCCCAAATCGTTCAATGTTTTGTTCTACACGAGAATAAATAATAAAGATTCTGATTATTTTTTTGCTCCAGTGCAACTTCCCAACAAAGTGGATCTCTGGTGGGATGGCAACACGCGAGTCTTCATAGATGTGCCACCAGAATTCAAGGATAAAACGAAGGTAGAATTATCTTAATAATGACGTTTACTGAATTTTATATTTCCTCTTCAGGTAGGTTAGGTTCAATAGACTCTTTGAATCATGAACACAGTTTTAAAGAGTCTATTTTCATTAGAGTAATAAATGTTTCTGGGAAAATTAATAAGGTATAATATTGTTGTGGAAAAACTACCATTTTCATCCCTTTTAATGATACATGCGTACTGTCAATAAACATAAAAGTCACTTACAATGTTAAAGCCTACTTCATGTTAACACGCGAAATTTTGTGCATATTTTGGATTCACGGTGCTGTTGAGGTCGAATTAGGCTAAATAATTCACAGCCCACTGAGTTTGTCGCCGGATCTTCTCGGTGGGTCGCGTTTCCGATCCGGTGGTAGATTCTGTGAAGCACTGCTCTTGCTAGGGTCAGTGTTAGCATCACTCCGGTTTGAGCCCCGTGAGCTCACCTACTAGTACTTTTTGAATTTGTAGTTCAGGGCCCTTCGATCTCTCCTAATAGGATAAAAGCATAGCTTCCGCATTAAAGAAGAGAAAGAAACAGTTTTTTTTTCTTCGGTAGAAATTCAAGGCATTTTGTATTCGTAGACCAGGAGGTGCGCATGTTTTTTTTTTAATAAAAAATTAATCTATATTAAAACAATCTTCAATTTGTTTTGCTCAGGGACTCTGCGGAACTTTCAATTTGAACCAGAAAGATGACTTCTTAACGCCCGAGAACGACGTGGAACAGTCCGCGCTCGCGTTCGCTAACAAATGGAAGACCAGGGAGTTCTGTGCGGATATCGATAACAAAGAACCGGAACACCCCTGCGTGGCCAACGTCGAGAACAAAGCTGCAGCCGAGAAGTACTGCAGCAAGCTCATGAGTAATCTGTTTGAAGGTACGCTGTGTTCATTCATAATTATTATTTTTATTTATTTCTTAGATGGATGGATGAACTCACAGCCCACCTGGTGTTAAGTAGTTACTGGAGCCCATAGACATCTACGACGTAAATGCGCCACCCACCTTGAGATATAAGTTCTAAGATCTCAAGTATAGTTACAACGGCTGCCCCGCCCTTCAAACCGAAACGCATTACTGCTTCACGGCAGAAATAGGCAGGGTGGAGGTACCTACCCGCGCGGACTCTCAAGAGGTCCTACCACCAGTAAAGCTTACTGATAATATTTTGAACTTCTTCTCTAGAAAATATGATACTGATAAAGCGTCCAGATGTTATGCCCATAATGTAACGCTTGACACATGTCTAAAGTCAATGGCTTGTTATATTGATGCAACATGCAAGTCACAAGCTTCATTTTTACCTTTTAACAAGAATGTTCTACAAGTATCAATTTAGATATACTTTGAATAGATGATTCCTAAAAATAATCGAAGCATTTACCAGGAAAAAAATATTAGACCGGGTAGGCAACACCAGCTTGCCTACTTCTGCCGTGAAGCATTAATGCATTTTAGTTATCATAATTAATGAAGGATGGGGGCAGCCGTCGTTGCTGTAAAAACTGAGACCTAAGAACTCATGTCTTGGGGTGGGTGGCGGCATTTACATTGTAGATGTCTATGGGCTTTCGTAACCACTTAACACCAGATGGACCGTCAGCTCGTCCACCCAACTATCCAATAAGAAAATGTAATGCAATAAACACGCAAACGTAATTTTAGTTAGGACCTCTTAATGTTGCCCTTGAAGCGCTTGGGATAAAGAGACCGAACCCCGGCTATGTTCAGAAGTTAGGACTACTTATTCTTGCCCTTCAAGCGCTTGGGTTTAAGAGACCTAATCTGGTTATGTCCAGAAGTTAGGACCACTTATTGTTGCCCTCAAAGCGCTTGGGTTAAAGAGACCGAACCCCGGTTATCTCCAGAAGTTAGGACCACTTACTGTTGCCCTTCAAGCGTTTGCCTTTAAGAGACCGAATCCCTGTTATGTCCAGAGTGTCACTGGTACGTGGACGTGGAGCCGTACTACCAGGCGTGCCTGTACGACATGTGCGCATGTGCGGGGGACGTGACCCGGTGCCTGTGCCCCGTGCTCGGGGACTACGCCATGGTGTGCGCCAAGAACGGGATCATCCTGCAGTGGCGGTACAACGTTAAGGAGTGCGGTGCGTTACGACTCACGACCACTGTATACCTTCATAAATGAACATAAAAATACATTTCATATCACTTTAGTTATATAACGGAATCTTTGAACATGATTTTGACCCCCTTCAAAACGTCGGATTAACTCGAAATTTGGTATACTTATTAAGGATCGATGACAATTCAACTTTAAAAAAAAATTGAAAAAAAAATTGAAAAAAAAATTTGAAAAAATTGAAATTCAACTATAAGATGAAAAATAAATACATAAGTTTAAAAAACTAACAACACGCTTTTTTACAATAAAATAATTTTTTCTTACACTATTTTTAATTCAAATTTATTAAAATTTATTTTCTATTTTTTAGTTGGATTTTCTATAAAAGCGTACTTTGTTAGTTTTTTTAAACTAATATATTTTTTTTGAGTCACCTCCCTTGTGTTCATAATTCACCTATAGATTTCAAATCTAACCGTCCTTTTGTATTGACAACAATTAAATCGTTGTTTGGCAGAGCTGTCGTGTACCGGCGGCCAGCAGTACACGGTGTGTGCTGACAGCTGTCTCCGCAAGTGCTCGGACACAGCCTTGGCGGCCTCCGGGCAGTGCAAGCCTGTCTGTGTGGAGGGCTGCGCCTGCCCGCCCTCACAGGTGACGTGCATGTAGATAAACATAACACCGATTTACTTACACTTGTACAATACCAGTACTAACAACCAATTAAGTTAATCGAGATGGGTCCTTCGAACTACGTTTGGTTCAAGTTGGAATATAGAAATTGGGAATTCGTTGATGGTTGATGATGAGAGGCGAAAACCGGGCTCAGTGGTGTGGATTAGGGTCTCTCCCAAAGCTTTAAGCCTCTGCCTGTGTCCAGCAGTGAACAACTGTGGGCTGATGATGATGATGGTTGATGTGGAAGATAGCCCCGATCAGATTGGCAGTAAGAACCACAATCTTGTTACATCTATCTATACGTCTATCTACGCTTTGTTGAAGGTTTGGTTCGTGTGCAGTAAATTAGAGAAGATTAGAGGGAGTTTTAGTAAGATACTTAGATGCTTTTATGACATTCCATATGCGCTCTCTTGGTCTTTGAACGCACCATTCAGAATAAATTTCTGGCGACAGATGTCGGGACTAAACTAAAATTATAGTAAAATTATTTTATATTACACTTACAATGTCTGACTCCAATAAACTTGTAAAAAGCTAACTGAATTTTCCACAGCTCCTAGACGACAATGGAGTGTGTGTTCCCGTCGCGAAGTGTCCCTGCATCCACAAGGGCTTGCAGTTCAACGCTGGGTATAAGGAAATAAGACCTGGGAGACGGGAGAGAGAATTGTGGTACGTATAAATACCAGGCTAGTTTATTAAAAAATCCTGTACAGACAATAAAAACGTTCCATAATAAGGATTTTTGGGGCCGTAAAAACACGCGGGCTGCTGGAAAGGGACATGATGTTATGTTCTCTTAACTACTTCAGCATACGCATTATTTGTACTATTTTCCTTACTTAAACTTTTGTTTTCAATAAGCGTGACACAAGTCAACTGCTCAAGCATGATTCCTGAAACTAATAGTCACAAAAGAACATTATTTTACAAAATAAGACGAACAAAAACAAAGACATTTCACATTCGCATGTATAAATCTATACATATCAATAAAATTGGAGTGTCTGTTTGTAATAATGAAATGACCGCTTTTTACTAGATAGATGCATATGAATATAATATATACGTTACATACACCAAAATAACATTGTTTACAATTTTTGTCTGTCTGTCTGTCTGTTTGTTCCGGCTAATCTCTGGAACGGCTGGACCGATTTTGACGGGACTTTCACTGACAAGTAGCTGATGATATAAGGAGTAACTTAGGCTACTTTTTAGACTAGCTTTGTCTCGCGGCGTCACCCGCGGTACGACAATAATTGCGGGTAGCATCGCGAGACTCAACTATCAATAATAAAATTTAATGTTACCGAAGCGAAGCGAGGGCGGGTCGCTAGTATTACGTTTATATTAATTGCGAAATTTGCTGCCATAATATTATATTTAGAGCAGACAGCGGCCTAGCTGTGACCCTGGCATTGATGTTATTCATGAGCGTCGGTGACCACTCACCATCAGATTCATTGAGAATAAAACAGGTGGTATTTCGCTGTTCAAATGGAACGTTCCCAAGACGCGCCATGGTTCTATTCCTCTCATTCATTTGTTTCCGTTATTATATTTAGCAGTTTCGATTCTTTTTTTTTTCACAGTACTTGTGTCGGTGCTCGTTGGGACTGCAAGCCTGCGACTCCTGAAGAGATCCAGAACTATCCTCCAGCTGAAGATTTGAGAAGCAATTGCACAGCCCAGAACATGGAGTTCACCACCTGCGAGACATCGGAACCACTAACTTGCAAGGTATTCTAATTCAAAATTAATTGCTTGAAATAATATTCATAAAGGGTGTAGCCATAGCTAATAGAGTCTATGATATTTAGTTATTCATTGTCGATCATGTTCTTACCTTTGAGGTAAGAGGTGAAGCAAGTTGAGAGTTGCCTATAAATTTAGTGAGCCATCAGATAAATGACTTTAATTTGGTTTTAAATGTTTAAGCTAAACTACCAACTGCTTAGTGTTTTGTCGTGAGTTGTTATATATTAGGTATTACCAAAGGTATTGCCATCTTAACTACAAATATTATTCAACCGGAGGATAGCTAATACTTCAGTGCAATTTATACCACGTATTTTACATTTAATTATCCTTGAGTATAGACAGCGTCATTGCTGATGAATCACCATCATCGAACCCTCAGGTCATATGGGCCATACGCTTGCCTGAATTCTAAGGCAATAAAAAAACACTTTAATTAACAATGAACAAGATCAACAAAAATGAACTTTTTTAAGGGATTTTATGACCTGGTAACTAAGACCTTTAGGTCATGTCTTATTTTAATTTATATTCTCATTTTTATGAAAAATGATAATATGGAGTGATATGAAAAGAAGATGATTAATTTGAGACATTAATCATCTGGGATGAAATTAAATGAAATGAGATGAGATGATGTGGGATGAAATATAATCTCAGTAAAATGGTGGTCATTTACTGAAATTTTTTCAGTGGACTTTTTGAAGGATCCCTAGAAGCTACGTCCAGCGGTTTTGTTTCATTTTCCCACATTTGTGCACTTTCACAAATACTAGACAATTAATAAACCACCGTTATTACACATTTAAACCTGAACTTTTTTATTGCTTAGTTGGGTGGACGAACTCACAGCCCACCTGGTCTTAAGTGGTTACTGGAGCCCATAGACATCTACAATGTAAATGCGCCACCCACTCTGAGATATGAGTTCTAAGGTCTCAGTATAGTGACAACGGCTTCCCCATCCTTCAAACCGAAACGCATTACTACTTCGCGGCAGAAATAGACAAGGAAGTGGTACCTACCCGTGCGGACTCACAAGAGATCCTATCACCAGATACTAAATAGGAAAAATAAAACAAATCACACAACTTCACTCTTCGTGTTCCCGCCAAAAAGTCACAATAATGACGTAATAATGGTTTGGGACAGAATATGCACCTACCCCCGAGCACGCAGACCGCGGAGTGTCGCCCCGGATGTCAGTGCAAGAAGGGCCAGGTGCTGGACACCGCGTCCAAGCGCTGCGTGCCCGCCACCCAGTGCCCGTGCCACCACGCCGGCCGGAGCTACCCCGACGGACACCTCATGCAGGAGGAGTGCAACAAATGGTTAGTGCACGGACTCTACATAGCACCATGTAGCATGGTGGTAGGCAGCAGCTTGGCTCTGCCCATGATATTGCTGACTACTGTAATCACTCGCTATCAGGTGAGAGGTATGCTCGTCTGCCTATTTTTAATTTATATGATTTATTTTATAATTTAGGTCTCCCATTGATTCTTCAATTTCTTTGCCAACCCAAGGTAACCAAAAAAAGTCCTAATACCAAAAGTTTAATGTTTTCGGAGGCGTCGGGTATCGATCCCGGTACTTCTCGCATGCTAAGTGAGCACTTTACCATCTGAGCTACGCCCCCTTGTCTTTCCAACTTTAAAGTTTTTACTGCAGCTCTACCACAGACTTATACCAAAAGTCTAAAAAAAAAACAGATCTTTGGAGGCGCCGGGTATCGATCCCGGTACCTCTCACATGCTAAGCGAGCGCTCTACCATCTGAGCTACGCCCCCGATGTGTTTTAAACTTGAAAGTTTTTACTGCAGCTCTACCACAGACTTGTAACAAACGTCTAGAAAAAAACAGATCTTTGGAGGCGCCGGGTATCGATCCCGGTACCTCTCACATGCTAAGCGAGCGCTCTACCATCTGAGCTACGCCCCCAATGTGTTTTAAACTTGAAAGTTTTTACTGCAGCTCTACCACAGACTTATAACAAACGTCTAGAAAAAAACAGATCTTTGGAGGCGCCGGGTATCGATCCCGGTACCTCTCACATGCTAAGCGAGCGCTCTACCATCTGAGCTACGCCCCCAATGTGTTTTAAACTTGAAAGTTTTTACTGCAGCTCTACCACAGACTTATAACAAACGTCTAGAAAAAAACAGATCTTTGGAGGCGCCGGGTATCGATCCCGGTACCTCTCACATGCTAAGCGAGCGCTCTACCATCTGAGCTACGCCCCCGATGTGTTTTAAACTTGAAAGTTTTTAATGCAGCTCTACCACAGACTTATAACAAAAGTCTAGAAAAAAACAGATCCTTGGAGGCGCCGGGTATCGATCCCGGTACCTCTCACATGCTAAGCGAGCGCTCTACCATCTGAGCTACGCCCCCGTTGTGTTTTAAACTTGAAAGTTTTCACTGCAGCTCTACCACAGACTTATAACAAAAGTCTAGAAAAAAACAGATCTTTGGAGGCGCCGGGTATCGATCCCGGTACCTCTCACATGCTAAGCGAGCGCTCTACCATCTGAGCTACGCCCCCGTTGTATTTTAAACTTGAAAGTTTTCACTGCAGCTCTACCACAGACTTATAACAAAAGTCTAGAAAAAAACAGATCTTTGGAGGCGCCGGGTATCGATCCCGGTACCTCTCACATGCTAAGCGAGCGCTCTACCATCTGAGCTACGCCCCCGATGTGTTTTAAACTTGAAAGTTTTTAATGCAGCTCTACCACAGACTTATAACAAAAGTCTAGAAAAAAACAGATCCTTGGAGGCGCCGGGTATCGATCCCGGTACCTCTCACATGCTAAGCGAGCGCTCTACCATCTGAGCTACGCCCCCGTTGACGTTTTAAATCTAGTAACACCAGTATTTGCATTCTAAATGACTATGATACTATAACATGTATGTTGCGCACAGTAACTTTACCTTTCACTTTATGTAGAGCACGCAATTCGTATTGCGTGCTTCGTAACTGCAGTTCTTTGAACAAGTCGTCAATGTCAACAAGCAACACTTCGATATATAAATAACAGATGTGAATCGAACAATGTTTGATGCGGTACACATTCAGAGCAGTACTTAAATCATAATTAAAACAATTTAACTAAAAGTGATGCTAATTGCAGAACGCAATGATGTACTCTTTTAATAATCATGCAGCTAAAATTACGTGCATACAATTCTGTCATTACATTATGTATTAATAAGCAAAATTTTAATTTAAAACATTTAAAATGTATGTGGTTTTTAAAAGCTTAATTATAAGCAAACGCATTTTATTATCGGTAATCATTTTGTTTATTAAAACTGTTTAATAAGAATATTAATTCTACCAACTTATTCCGAGTTATATTTTCTATGACGATTTTAAGTCCACAGTTTGTCAATTCGACATTGAAACTGTGTCGTAGGTTGATTATTTTCAAAAAAGGAAACCTGATTAGCCATGGTAACCCTGAGGAGTGCTGTATCTGTATGTCGAACATTCAGTTAGAAAATAATAGTTTAAAAAAACTAAGAAAATACGCTTTTATAGAAAATCCAACAAAAAATAGAAAATAAATTTTAATAAATTTAAATTAAAAATAGTGTAAGAAAAAATGATTTTATTGTAAAAAAGCGTGGGGTGCTTTTCAGGATATTATTAAAATAACCCTTTGACTCATATCTGTTCATAAAATATTTATAACTGGGTACTGACACCATGCACCTCACGCTTTTTTTTACAGTAAAATCATTTTTGTATACTATTTTTGATTCAAATTTATTAAAATTTATGTTCTATTTTTTAGCTGAATTTAAATTTTTTCAATTTTTTTTATAATATCGGATTGTCATCGGTCCTTAATAAGTATACCAAATTTCGAGTTAATCTTCAAAATGTCTGGTTTTGAAGGGGGTCAAAATCATGTTCAAAGATTCCGTTACATTCTAACATACGTACTTCTGAAGCTAAAAAAAGCCTATTAAAAATACAATGACATTAGTGTTTGTAGAAAAAGTTAGACCTTTTCGTCTGATTAATACCCTGTGTTTAGTTCCTTAAAATTAAATCGTTTACAGCGAATGCAAAAACGGTAACTGGTCGTGCACGCAGCGCAAGTGCGCGGGCGTGTGCGGTGCTTGGGGCGACTCCCACGTCAACACGTTCGACGGAACACAGTACGACTTCGAAGGAGTATGCACTTATCTACTCGCGAAAGGTGCTATGGACGGAACCGATGGCTTCGATGTCGAGATACAGGTATGTCTGCAGCTTATTTGTTGCTTAGTTGGGTGGACAAGCTCACGGCCCACCCGGTGTTAGTGGTTACCGGAGCTCATAGACATCTACAACGTAAAACCCACCTTGAGATATGAGTTCTAAGGTCTCAGTATAGTTACAACGGCTGCCCCATCCTTCAAACCGAAACGCATTACCTACTGCTTCACGGCAGAAATTGACTGGGTGGTGGTACCTACCTGTGCGGACTCACAAGACTTCCTACCGCCAGTAACTACGTATCAAATGAGTTAGGGTTAGATTATTGGAATGTTCTGGTTCTAGTGTGATCTATTTTTACCGTAAGAGGTCGGATAACAGGTCGGATAATGCTATCTAGTTGTAAGAAACTAGATAGCATTATCCGACCTGTTTAATTTAAAGGGTGGGACTATCGGTTTGCAAAATTGAGACTTTCACCTCAAATATGAAGGCAGGCTGTAGCACTTACGAAACGGTGTCCACGGACTCCCGTAACTGTGTAAAAAAAGTGGTCCGTGCGCTTATCTACTCATTTTTAGAAAAATATCAATATGCAACAGGAAAATAGTTTGCTCTAACGTTTTTAAAAACAAAAGCTGGCTGCTAAGCCGTGAGTCCTAATTAGACCTGGTACTTCATGCAGTATATACGACGAAACCATTTTAAATTGGACCCCAAAATTTTAATTGCAGAACGTCCCGTGCGGCACAACGGGAGCAACCTGTTCCAAATCTGTCACATTGAAGGTCGGAGGAGCTGGAAACGAAGAGATCGTGTCTCTAACCAAAAACGCGCCCATTCCTGATATCTCTAAGCTCAAACGGTAAAATCGATTAATTGTAAAACTGTACGGAAATATAGGTAGATGTGGTATTGGGAATTTTTTAAGTCCATTCAAGACTCAGATATTAACATTTTCCAACTTGCTTCCTCTTGCGTGAGAGCCCACACGACGGGGTCGGCATATCGCGTATTGTAATTCGTATTGACGTATATCTATATAAAAGGACAAATCCTAAACGACCATCCACTTGAGATAAGCCAGGAAATAAAAAAAAAATATGTATACTTCTATTAAAACAAGCCGTTGAATATGGCTCGAGGTAGCCTGGGCTGCACAGGCACATCTTGTAATAAAAGCAAGCAGCAGATTGTTTTTAGATGAGTTGTCAATATTTCATTTGGTATATTTGATAAATAACTACAAGTTCTCTGGAACATTGGCAAGGGATCGCAGGGCTTGCGCAGTGCCCTTAGCCGTAGACGGAGATTATATTCACTACTTCTTTCTACCCATGGACCAGTGTGTCTTTATTAATAAAGTATCTTAATCGTTTAGCACTACAATAATTAACACTTACGGAAGTTGTATATAATATACAGTGTGTTCAAAATACTTTTTTTCTGTCTCTTTGTTATTTTAGTTATTTGTCATGAGTTTCTCGTTATTACTCATTCTCTTCTCTCTCCTCTCTCCCCCTCTCTATTCTCACCACAGTGCAGAGACAATGCAGAGATTTCAAGTGGCGTGTTGTGAAAATGATAGTGCATGCTCTCAAAACGTAGCAATAACTTTAAATCAAGATTATGGCTAATTCAATCAACCCCATAACAGCAGCCCGATAACACTTTGAGAAGGCACGACATGAAAGGCCTCTTGTCGTGACCGCCGGAATTTACATACCCGATCCTGTAGACCGAATGGTAAACAGTCGACGTCGCCCAAATCACATCATTACGGATCTTCCCGATCCATTAACAGTGCTTTTAGGTACCTCAAGCACCGGTCACCGTTCTCGCCGAGCCCATCGCTTGCGACGAAGGTCTCTAAGTGTAAATTAACCCATAGATACAGCCCACGGACTTTCTCGCCGGATCTCCTCAGTGGGTCGCGTTTCCGATCCCGTGGTAGATTCTGCGAAGTATTGCTTTTGCTAAGGCCAGTGTTAGCGACACTCCGGTTTGAGCCCTGTTAGCACACCTACACCTCCACGCGAAGCTGAAATGGCCTCTGAAGGCTATATATAAGCATAGGTAGAAAAAAAGCAGGATAAAATGCAGTGGATGTGTCTGGTTTTTTCCTATGTCAACAACGATACTTCAATTATTATATATCTAGGCAAATGTTGTAGTTAATTAAAGTATGAGCTTTATTCTTGGAAATACGAAGCACAATACAAAAGGGAAAATAAACACTATAATGAAACCAAAGAGGTGTGTGTCAATGATCATTATCCTATCGAGATTGTTGCGCCAAGACTAATAATATTAAATGTTCTTCTACAGGATAAAAATGCGTAAGGCTGGTGCGTACGTGTTCCTGGATGTACCGTCTCTAGGAATGAGCCTGCAGTGGGATCGAGGGTTGCGGGTTTACGTCAAGATCGACACTATGTGGCAGGGACGAGTAAGTAGTCGTTAATAAAGTTTTTCTTTTGCATAGCTTCGCGTGTGATTCATCATCATCATCATCATCTCAGCCTGTCTACTGTCCAATGCGGAACATAGGCCTCTCCAACTGATTTTCAGTGCGGCCGGTCCCTTGCCACCTGCATCCAACGTGACCCAGAAATTTTTACCAGATCATCGGTCCATCTGGTAGGTGGCCGTCCCACACTGCGTTTGCCAGTACGTGGTCTTCATTCGATCTTTCTGCCCTATCGGCCGTCCGATCCTCACGCTATGTGACTTGCCCACTGCCACTTCAGCTTGCTAATCCTCCGGGCTATGACAGCAACTTTGGTTCTTCTCCGGATCTCCTCATTTCTGATTCGATCTCGTAGTGAAATACCAAGCAAATGTGTGATTAATATTGATTTATTTTTTCTAGGTCAAAGGTCTATGTGGTAACTACAACGGAGACATGCGAGATGACTTCCAGACTCCGTCGGGAGGCGGCATGTCGGAGTCCTCTGCTCTGATATTCGCTGACTCGTGGAAACTGAAGCCGACCTGCCCTAAACCTCAACCTGTTATTGTGAGTCTCTTGAAGTCTGCAACTAATTAATATCGTTTAATCTTTTAATTAGGCAGCTTTCCGATATTGTCTGTTTCTTTTTTGTGTAAAACCCATTGATCTTATTTATTCCAAAACAAGGAACTTGTTCAATTTCTGAATGTCAAAGTGTCAGCAAGCATCGTCTGCCATGACACTATTTCTTTTTCAAATCCAGCTGCCAAGAGCGAAGTATCGATTTTATGTTTCTTTTACAGTAAGAATTTAATTTGTTGCTCTTGGCGGATGGAAAACGCAGTAAACTGAGTGCAATCTTAACCAGATTCTATTGATTTTTATATTTTTTACATCAATAACGATATACCATAAGAATAACAACTCTTAACTATAAATATCTGCATGAAAGATTTTTTAATTGTTACATAGAGGCGATAAATTAATACATGACATCAAATCTGGGCACATAAATAAAAACTATCACTACGAGTTGCTAATTGAAGAATGCGCTGTCATTACTGTTTAGGACTAAATAAAAAAGGAAAAGCGTAAATGTTTTTAGGGTTTCATAAAAAAATCTCTTGATTGTTGCAATGGCTGCATGGCGTTAAGTTCGGCTTTGTAAAATATTTTTATGCAATAAAGAATTTTCATTCATTCATTCTGTTAATAAAACTCCAATAATACAACTCGCTTTATAATTAATACTTTATAAATTTGGAAATTAACATAACATTCTTATGAGCGGTGGAAACGTCCCTTGTTGATCGAGTCTGTCGGCGAGCCGCGATCAGCTGATGCGTCCCCCCGCCGCTGTTGTCCACGCGTTCAATGCGTGAACAATGGAGGCCTATAAAATCAAAGGCAGCTTTAGCTGGATTTATCCAATTCTGTAAAATATTGAGGTAAACTACAAAAATCGGCCCGAAACACGTCATTACGGATCCTCCTGATCCATCGAAGTACTGCTCTTGCTAGGGCCAGTGTTAGCAACACTCCCGGTTTGAGAAACTGAAATAACTTTGTTCGGGTAGCTACGATATTCTTTATTTTAAAGCAGATTTATAAAGAATGAGAATATTGCTAATAATCTAAATTTTAATTGATAAAACTTCGTTTATATTTGAGTACAGAGTAAAAATTAAATTTTTGAACTGAATTTTCTAGAGATTTAGCTGCATTTGTTATCATATGAAAATACTAAAGCGTGTCCAACTAACTAAACAAGATGGCGCCATAGTTAATCCATTTTACTACACTATGGCGTTTAGCTGCCTTTGATTTTATAGGCCTCAATTATTCATTCATTGTTTTAGGACCATTGTAAGCAACGTCCGGAGCGCAAGGAGTGGGCGCAGAGCGTGTGCGGCGCGCTGAAGCGGTACCCGTTCAGCCTGTGCGCGGGGGAGGTGGGCGCGGGCGCGTACGTGGCGCGGTGCGAGCGCGACGCGTGCGCGTGCGACGCGGGCGCCGACTGCGAGTGTGCGTGCGCCGCGCTCGCCGCCTACGCACACGCGTGCGCGCACCGCGGCGTCACCTTCAACTGGAGAACTAACGACTTGTGCCGTGAGTCTTCATCTCCTCATCATCTTCATTTGCTTCTCCTAAAACGTGATATCGTAACTATAATATAATACATATATGCATTAAGAAGCTCACATTTTTTGACATAGATCTGTTTTAATGATCATATAGTAGAGCCTAGTGTGTTTGGTTCTTCTTATCTCCATCTCGTGGGTTTTCTTTTGCACATTTTATCATTGAGTTCAATAGTTTATAAGCTTATTAAAACAAAATTTACTAGGTTTGGAATGTCTAAAATGTTTGCAGAAAATTTTATAATTAACCAAATGACTATGTTGACAGCAATGCAATGCGACGAAGAGTGCTCGAATTACGACTCGTGCGTGTCGGCGTGTCCCGTCGAGACGTGTGACAACATACTGTACTACGCCGAGACGAAGGCTCGCTGCGAGCAGGACACGTGCGTGGAAGGTATAACCTCCTTTATGTTCAATCAAGAATTATTCTAGACTTTTGCGGTTATCTACATTACCAACATTATTAAATAATGGGTTCTCACCTTTTTTTTATTCCTACTTATGCTGATAGCCTTGAGAGGCTATATCAGCTTCGCCCTAACATGTAGGTGAGCTTACGGGGCTCAAACCGGAGTGGTGCTAACACTGGCTCTAGCGAGAGCAGTGCTTCGCAGAATCTACCACCGGATCGGAAACGCGACCCACTGAGAAGAGCTGGCGAGAAACTCAGTGGCACTATTCTCACCACAACTACCTCATGCTTCATAAAATTGCAAGCGTCAAAATATCGGGAATTCCTAACTCAAAATCTAAAAATTATCTTTGACTTACAGCGGAAAAAATTAAGCTAAAATAGGAGCATTGTTGTCATTTTCCGTTTTAGTGTCTCGTTTATGTTTGTTTTCTAAAACCATATATTTTTTTTTAGGTTGCAAGCCCAAAAAGTCTTGCCCGGAAGGCTCGGTCTACAAGAATGACTCCACCACGGAATGCGTGCCCCGCGCCAAGTGCAAGCCGGTCTGCATGACCCTCGACGGCGGCAGGGAAGTGCTCGAAGGAGAGATCATCGAGGAGGACGCCTGCCACACTTGCCGATGCTCCAAGAAACACAAAGTGTGCACGGGACAGCCTTGCTCTACTGAAGCGGTGAGTTTGGGATTTCTAACCAACAAAGGGTAGAGTACAGTAGTGAGAACTGGTTAAAATCTAATGTAGGAAAGCTCGAGATATAACCTATACTAATATATAAATCTACAGTGGTTTTTACGGATGTTCCGTTATAACTACTGAACCAAGCATCCGATTGGCTTGAAAACTGGTATCCATGTAGAAAATACATGTACTTAATGGGTAGGCTAATATTCATATGGGTGTTGGACTCCCTGCACCAGTTGCGGGGGCGTTAATGATGAGAATCTTCGTGGGGTTGAGAAATAATAATGCTAATTTTAAATGCCTAGCGAAGCGGACAGGTACAGCTAGTATTATAATAAAGATAAATAACTATTTGTTCATTCTGGCAAACAAATGGAATCATAGTTCTTTGATAATCAAAATCATACAATAGGACCTTTGTGTGTGTGTGTGCATGTGTGTGTTTTATATATGTGAATTTAGTAATAACTTTATGTTTATTTAGGTGTGGATTTGTAGTTTTATGTTTTTGAGGTCACCGCTATATATCACCAAATATCTATTAATGGTTATTTTTAATCAAGAAATTTTCATACTGAGTTATGTCATAATTTCGCCGCTTCAATCTAGATATTTTTGAGCCGAAACCAAATAGGTGGTGTATTCCTTTATGAATACTCATAGAACTATAGACTCATAGAACAATTGATAGTCCCAATTTTTTTATTCTGATAAACACAACTCTCCCTAATTATTTGATGAATTTGCGAAGAATAAACAAATTGAATTATGTTTAGTAAGAGATTATATTTATATTTTTACCTTCAGGTTCAAATTCATTGGAACTATCAAAATGTCCATCTCAGTCGCCTGAGTGGTTGGATCCCGATATTTCAATATTTGTGCGATAAAATTTTGGTTTTTAAGTTGTCTTAACATGTATAAAATAATCTGGATGGAACTATTTTCCAACTAAATAAAATAAGATATAGTCAAATCACATGATATTATGCAAATAGTTTTTCATTAATTTTGCGTAGGTAATTAACACTGTATTATTTGTGTGTGTGTGTGTGTTTTGTCACTAAAATGGGACGAGCTTCGAGTCACCGGAGCCCATTGACATCAAGAACGGAAATGTCACTACCCATTTTGAGACATGAATATCACATGTATTAACAGTACAACAGTTATCCAACCTTCAATGTATAAATAAGCAGACTGGTGGTACCTTGCAGACTCAAACGAAGCCCTACGTTACTGGAACTGGTACGTTACTGGTGGCTTATTGGTGGTAGGACATCTTGTAAGTCCGCGCGGGTAGATACTACCGCCCCACCTATTTCTGCCGTGAAGTAATGCGTTTCGGCTTGAAGGGGTGGGGCAGCTGTTGTAACTATACTGAGACCTTAGAACTTACATCTCAAGGTGGTTGGCGCATTTACGTTGTAAATGTCTATGAGCTCCAGTAACCACTTAACACCAGATGGGCTGTGTGTGAGCTCGTCCACCCATCTAAGCAATAAAAAAATGGTAGGAATACGAAGCTATTCTTCGGATTGGATATCTTGTATGCCAAGAAAATGACAGATAGTAAAACTCCAACAGCCTCGAATCCAAGCGACCTCATCGTCTGCCGAGCCGGCTACAGAGAGGCCTCACGACGAGCCGCTGAAGTGTGTGACTGGCTGGACGCCCTGGATCAACCGGGGACCCGCCGAGATCGGCCCCGATGGACAGTCCGTCGAGAGCGAGCCGCTACCCAAACCTAATGAGCTGGTAACTTTGTATAAGCCGTCAGTTTTTTAAATATCGTCTACCATGGCTATGGAATTTCAATATCCCACTTCTTTTCAAAGAGCTACTTGCATCTTATGCAATCTATCTTAAGCCGTTAATTATTAATTTAAGTTGGTTGTCCCAAATAGATCCTCGTAATATCTATCTATCTTATCTAGTCTGAGCTGTTAAGTTGTATACATTGCAATTTAATTTCGGTAATGAACGATTTTTTATTTGTATTCGATATCTTTATTACTGTATAAGTTGTCACGTATCTGTTCTTGACCGTAATGTTTTTAGACTGGGTCAGGACTTAAAAACCTCAATCACTTTCTCTGAATCCTGATTTCAAATAAAAACTACGGAAACTTTTGCAGCAAATCGGTAAGCCAATGTGCAAACCCGAAATGATGAAGAAGATTGAGTGCCGCACCGTCAATGATCACAAGACTCCGAAAGATACCGGACTGAACGTAGAGTGCAGCTTGGAGAACGGACTCGTGTGTGAGGAGCCAGAGAAAACCTGTCCCGACTTCGAGATCAAGGTCTACTGCGAATGTGAAGGTCGGTTTACTCATTTGTCATCTAATAAATAAAATCTCGTTGCTATAGTAACATTATTTATGTTACAATGTAAAAGCAAACAAAAATTTCATTCAGGGTCTTCGGGGTGAATTGGCGCAGTTATTCTTAGTTATTTTTTTATTATTATTTTGAAATCGGTAACTGAAATCGATATTCGATACGAATGAGCGATTGACCGGTTGTAGAGCCGCAAGTTTGCGTGGAGTCGGTTCGTCCCAGCGAGCCGCACCCCACGGACTGCAGCAAGTTCTACGAGTGTGGCCCCGCCGGGCCCGTGCTGAAGAACTGTGGGCCCGGCACGTGGTACAACCCTCAGTCCATGGTCTGCGACTGGCCCGCCGCTGTGGCCGCGGTCCGGCCGGATTGCGCCTTCACCACCCAAAGTTAGTCGCATCAGACGGAACCATAATGGGCTTTACGCTCTCCAAAGTCCTTCAAGGAATCGGTGAAGTACTAATAATCTAAGCAGTGATATACGTCACAAGGGAGGTGGCAGCCTTTACATAGTGACGCCTATAGACTGCGCTAACCTTTTATACCTAAAGGCAGAACGTGAGCTCACTCATCCACCTACGCAATGTTGGTACCACAGTTACATGAACTTTTATTCACGGGTATTCACAACTAGCCGCCTGCCGGCAAGGTATCTGTTTTTTTTACTGATTTTCATGATAATTTTAGGTAAACCACATCCTCTCTTATTCGCCAGTAGCAGTGTTAACGTAGTAGACGCCGAACGTGATTTAATTTCAAACTCTAAATATATTCAAAGTCAAGATGCTTAGAAATTCACTCTGATCCATCTAGTACTGTGGACAGTCATGGTGCACAGATAATCGACTAGATACGATATTTCACCACATGAAATATTGAGCCATCGAAATGTTTTATCCACAGAAGCCCAGGACACCAGTCCCCCAGTGACTGTCACCAGCGAAGCTTCTTCAGAACCAGGCACGTATCACAAATACCACGTATTAAAAAAGTAATTGGACATATTTCAGACCAGGAATACATTGTCGCACATTGCACAGTCCATTGGAATTTATATTCGGGTTTTTGCTATAATAAAGTTTTTACTATTATTTTAAATACGATTAAATCGCGGTCATTAGATTGACTTGATTAGATTTCAGAACCCAAATCGAAGCTACGTAGAAAATGTACGAAATGCATTTAGATTTTAAAATAAAAGAGCACGGCGTCCCTTTCGGAGTCTGGTGGGATCTTTCCGAAAAATACGCACAAACTAAATTCAATTTGGTAAATATGTAATGATCTACAATATCCTCAGTGAGCACCACATTAGCGACAACCACATCCCGGTGCCCTCCCGGGGAGGTCTACCAGGCCTGCGCCTACAAGTGTGACCGCCTCTGTGACCACTTCAAGAAGACTCTCATTGCGAAGGGCAGATGCATTAGCGAGGTGGGCATTACTTTCTTAATCTGGTTTATGTTTATTTTAATCGTTTTATCTGTACTAGTAGTCCCCCGGTTGAAAGTCGACTATAAGTAATTGAAATTAGAAGTTGGTACACTATTATGATTCTATTGTATTGAGACTATAATATTACACTTCTTCACAAATTTCGCTAAGACCATGTACACTTTAGACAAATATTAATAACGACAATAAATATTTCATGTTAACCATGTTTACAAATGTTTATGATGAATACGGACCTTAATGGTAATATTATGTCTAAAATAAAAACGGAAATTTATATAATGGTGTCTAATGGATCGATTGACATCAACATTTTATCCTCATTAAAACCAAATTCCTCAGTGATGCGAATGCCTTAGCGTTAGATAGAAAATCAAGTCAAGCATTCAGCATGAAGGCTTTTAGAAATAACCTTAGATTGTAAAGTTATGAAGAGCATTGAACATGTACAGATGTGCGTGGACGGATGTGTGGATGAGTCCGTAGCCAGCAATGGGTGCCAGGGCTCCTCGCGCTGGCGAGACGAGCGAACCTGCGTCCCCGTCAAGGACTGCACGTGCTACAACGACGGGCAAATCGTCAAGGTGAGTCGCGCTCCCAGCCCAAGACCCAATGGCGTAACGATCTCGTAATGGGGCGCTATACTTTTTTAGCGTCCTACCCCCCCTTTCCTTACAAATTAACATTTATTATATTACACAAAATTTAAAATATATTTTACAGAAATCAGTTATTATGAAAATAAAATTTATCCAGCAAATATATGACTTTTGGCGGGAACGCGAGGAGTGAAGTTGTATGATTTTGTTTTATTTTGTCTAATTAGTGTTTCTTCAGGTTTAAATGTGTAATAACGGTGGTTTATTAACTGTTTAATATCTGTGAAAGTGCACAAATGTGGGAAAATGAAATAAAGTTGCTGAACTTCTCGGGATCTTCCAAAAAGTCCATTGAAAAAGTCTCAGTAAATCACCACCATTTTACTGAGATTATACATCATCCCATATCATCTCATTTCATTTCATTTCGTTTTTATTTCATTTCATGCCATGTTTCATAATAATCAAATTCATTTCATTTCATAATATCATATTTCATATAAAAAAGTTATCATTAAAATTAAAATAAGACTTGACCTAAAGGTCTTAGTTACCAGGTCATAAAATCCCTTTAAAAAAAATCCAGAATTGCGGACCATTTGGTGCCCCTTTATGAGTAGGGCCTGGGGCATGATGCCCCCACTTGGCAGGTTTGTTTTAAATCATTAATTAACTCACAGATCTTCGTCCTCACCTTATATCTCTAAATCACCTCTGACGCCCACATTGGAGGAGCTACTCGATACCTTTATAAAAGTTATTACATTAGCAATCATAAATACCGGATTGGAGGATAGATCAACTTCGATCCAGTGAAATCGAGACTCAAGTCTTAATATGGCCGGCAGCATAAACGCTGTGAGGTTAAAGACCACGCTAGCCGTGACTTGATACCGTTTTTTTACTACTGCTATTTATAAAATAACTAGCTGAATCCCGCGATGCTACCCGCGGTTATTGTCATACCGCGGGTGACGCCGCGGGTCGAAGCTAATAAAAAAAAAGTAGCCTAAGCTTATACCATCCGCTACATATCAGTGAAAGTCCTGTCACCAGCGGCTCCAGAGATTAGCCAAAACAAACAAACAGACAGAAAAAATAAATAAATAAATGTTATTTTGATATAATGATGTACTGTGTTGTATACATATTTACTTACGCATTTAGTAAAAAGTGGTTATTTTATTATTACAAACAGACACTCCAATTTTATTTATTTGTATAGATGAATCAAAATTAAAGGATGGTACACATGATCATACTTTATTGTATTATTCAATCGCAGCCAGGAGGAGTGACGGAGTCCGGCTGCATCAAGTGTCAGTGTTTGGACAACAACCTGTACTGCGACTCTAAGGACTGTGTCTCGTTGAACATCCCTCACCAAGGGTCCACCCACCTGCCGTACATCGTGCGGCCGGACAGCACCACGACCACCAGCACGACCACCACTACAACCACCACCACAACCACCACCACTCCTGCACCGACTGAGACGACCACCGAGACTACGGTGCCGCTTATAATCAAATCGACCGTGTCTCCGCCCCCAGAATGTTCGCCGGACAAGTAATTATATAATTTTTTAATAATAAAATAGGACATGTAATATTTCAAGTTACTTGTATTTTTTTAGTTGTCTACTAATTTTTTTAATGCACATATCCAGCTATTGACAGTGTCGATACTTCGCAGACAGGGTGTCAATATATACGCACAGCGTATTATTATGTACAATAGACTTCGCTGACTTCACTCACTACACGCAACGACACTGACTGCTTATGATACACCAAATGCTAAATACACAATGCCATAGACTATACTAACGCCAAGTGCTTGGTGCGCTATGTACTAAATGTTTTTATTTTGTTATTGCATAGATGGGTGATCGAGCTCACAGCTCATAGACATCTATAACTTAAATGCCGCGACCCACTTTGAGATATAAGTTCTAAGGTCTCAGTATAGTTACAACGGCTGCCCCACCCTTCGAACCGAAACGCATTACTGGTTCACTGCGGAAATAGGCGGGGTGGTGGTACCTACCCGTGCGGACTCACAAGAGGTCCTACCACCAATTTTATCTCAAGGTGGGTGGCGCATTTACGTTGTAGATGTCCATGGGCTCCAGTAACCACTTAACACCAGGTGGGCTGTGAGCTCGTCCACCCATCTAAGCAATAAAAAAAAAAATATATATATATATTGAAAGACATCATTAACGTTTCCTATTGTCCGTAGCTATATAGACTTGGTAATGGGAGACGAGCCTCTCCCCGACACAGCGTTCACCGCCAGTTCAGAGTTCAGTGAGATCTTCGCTCCGCACAACGCTAGACTAAATCGAGGACCAACGAATTCTGGAGGTAAGCTTTGTCTATACTAATATATAAATCTACAGTGGTTTTTACGGATGTTCCGTTATAACTACTGAATCATGCAACCGGTCGACTTGAAACTTGGTATCCATGTAGAAAATACATGTACTCAATGGATAGGCTAATATTTATATGAGTGTTGGACTCCCTACAGCAGTTACGGGGGCATTAATGATGAAACCTTTGTGGGGTGAGAAATAATAATTTTAATTCTAAATGCCCAGCGAAGCGGACGGGTATAGCTAGTCGTTAATAAATTTAATTAGTAGTTAAAGTTGACATCATACTATTTTCGGAGGTGAAAGTTTGAAAAGCCTTTGTTTGAACTCTTTCAACGTAGATTCGTCTTCAGTGAAGTTCAGAGTGTGTGCGTCTTGAACTTTGGTTACGTCACTTTCTACCAAATAAAGCGCCCCTAACTCGTATCTTTAACTGCAGTTTTACTAGTGGTAGGACCTCTTGTGAGTCCGCACGGGTACCACCACCCTGCCTATGTCTGCCGTGAAGCAGTAATACGTTTCGGTTTGAAGGGTATGGCAGTCGTTGTAACTATACTGAGATTTTAGAATTCATATCTTAAGGTGTGCGGTGCATTTACGTTGTAGATGTGTTTGGGCTCCAGTAACCACTTAACACCAGGTGGACTGTGAGCTCGTCCACAAATCTAAACAATAAATAAATTCGTGGCGGTTTTGCGTGGCCCATTCGAGGTCGCATAAGATCACCCATTCATTCGTTACACCTTGTACAATAAATTAATTATTATTTTTCAATAAATCTTTTGACAGCCGGCAGTTGGAATCCTAAAGTGAACAATGACAAGCAGTACATACAAGTGGAGCTTCCTCGTCGGGAGCCGATCTATGGGGTCGTCTTGCAGGGCAGTCCCATCTTCGACCAGTACGTCACCAGCTACGAGATCATGTACGGAGACGACGGCAACACCTTCTCGACTGTTGACGGACCTGATGGCAAACCTAAGGTAACTCAGACTACTATCACAGGTTCATATCCCAGTGACCTTCGAAGTCCGCTGGCACTTAGGGAAAGATACTTCAATTTGTTGACTTTCAGTTAATGTGTTTGGTATTCTATAGATGTGCATTTTTATTCGCCCATGATTATCTTAATATGTATTAAGACTTACTTTGAACTATACTGAGACCTTAGAACTCATATCTCAAGGTCGATGGCGGCATTTAAGTTGTAGACGTCTATGAGCTCCGGTAACCACTCATAGGTAGTAGCACTAGATGGGCTGTGCGCTAGTCCACCCACATATGCAATAAAAAGAAAAAGAAAAGATCTTTGAGTAGATTTACCTTGTTATTAACAGCGTCTGAGCTTTCAAATAATTGTTTTTGTCACTTCTGAATCAAAGGTAATTTTGGATGTTTCAAAAGGTGATTTATTTTGTGATTCTAGACATTCCGTGGCCCGATTGACAACACTCACCCAGTAAAGCAGATGATAAGTCCTCCCATCGAGGCGAAGGTGGTCCGCATCAGACCCCTGACGTGGCACGATGAGATCTCCCTCAGGCTGGAGCTCATCGGATGCGCGGAGCCCCTCACCACAGAAACTTCGGAGCCTACTCCCACCTCTGTGAGTGTACCTACCATCTCACTCAGAAACAAGTTTTTTTTTTCTTCATAAAAATAAAAAAAAACCTTAAATTTTTTACTTTCGCCATTCTAAAATATGTAACTTTAGTTTGTAGTATCTGTGGCCACCGAGAAAGAAGATTTTATGTGATGAAATTTTAAGAATTTATTAACCTACCTAGTCTAATATTAGAAAACATATCTGTTGATATTTTATGTTTCTCAGTACACAGACTTAATGTCTCTTCGTTTCAAGTTTAAAGATCTCGTGTAGGTAGGTACGTGTAATATTTTTTACAAGCCAATTTTAATAAAACTCTTACATTGTTTATTACTTTCAATGAAAAAAAAATTAACTTTTTCTTTAAAGCAATAAGTCTAATTTATTTATATTGTGACAATTATAATTAGATGTGAAATGTAAATTCCGTGAGAAAAATTTGGACCGCTACCACGGTCAACGAAGTCGAACGAAGGTTCTTGTTGTGAAATAAACACGTGCATAAAAATATTACAGTTTAACCAAATTTTTAGGAATTTTTAAGAAATTTTTAAGAAAACAGTTTTTAGGAATATTGTGTTCTTTTTTTTATAATAAATCATATGATATAGGTAACCTAGTTTAACCAAAACATGTGCTCAAGTGTGACTGTTACGACTAATACTAAACCAATATTGAACGAGATATTATTTAAAGTAGTAAATTTCATTATTAGATTTTAATTAGAAAACTAGAATTTTGCGAAGAAGCTACGGAGTGCTGGAGAAACTCCAAACAAAAAACATGGTTATTTAATAAATATATTCTGTTTACGATGTAAACAGCCGCAAAAGTTTAAAACATTTAATAACACGTTTATATACGTCATTCGCCTGTGAAACGAAATTTAATAGTTATTTAATTCACTGAACCATTTGTTTTTGTCTTTACGAGGCCATCTTTTGATCCATCTATTGATAAGTACATAACGTGAACTTTTATTTATTAATCAATTTGGCGAAGTTACTGATGGCAGGGCGTATTTTAAGCACGCATGGGTAGGTACAATAGTACCTGCTTATAGATTAGGTAGTAGGAAGTAGGTAGAATAATAATTCTGCCTTATTTTGCGCAAACTAATCATGCGTTCTGGATTAAAGAGTGAGATAGCCGTGGTTTGGTGTAGTTAAGATTACCTTTCAAGTGAAGGCGTAGTATGAGGCAGTATGAGCAATGAGGTATCCAGCCACTGGCACACAGTAATTCGATAGTGCGCTGGACAACCATCGTGCTGGAATATCATTCGTCTCCTTGTTTGTAAATCAAAACATTTTTTTATAAGAATTCACTTGCTTTTTCACTTTTAAAATGTTTGACATTCGTGCCAGTATTGGTATTAATAAATGTTAGTTGATGTATTGGTAACTGATAAAAATTCAAACAACTTAATTCAAAACAATAGCATTTTATTTAATGATTTGTTTGCAGTTAATTCGGGATTTTTTTAAACAAAACGAAAAATATTGAATATTTCGATAACGAGACACTTTGGTATTAGGGACATTAGGGTTAATTTTTTTTTAAATTAGATGTTTTATCACATCCCAAGAGGAACACGTCGAATTACAAGGCACCCTGTATATAAAAATGAATTGCTGTTCGTTAGTCTCGCTAAAACTCGAGAACGGCTGAACCGATTTGGCTAATTTTGGTCTTGAATTATTTGTGGAAGTCCAGAGAAGGTTTAAAAGGTAGATAAATATGAAAATCCTCGGATTGAAATAAAAATAACAATTTTGTTTTTCCTTTGATGTGTCCCTCATCGGACGGATTCCTTTTGTTTATTTTAAGTTTATTTTATACAAAAGTTTAGGTCTTTTATTTATCGATTGAGACACTACGAAGTCTGCCGGGTCAGCTAATCGTTGAATAAATATCGTTCGTTTTGGCCATTACTACGTGACACAGGAATGTATATTGCACAGGAATCACCACTACAGTGTACGGAGCCGCTCGGGTTGATCGGAGAGTTGCCGCTAGAGAACATTCAGGTCAGCTCCAATAGCGAGGAGAAGGACTACCTTTCCATCAACGGAAACCGAGGCTGGAAGCCGCTGTACAACACGCCGGGATGGGTCATGGTGAGCTTGTACATCATTGATTATATTGCCAGTCGTAAAAAACAAAGGCCAGTTGTATTGCCAGTTGTACTGCTGGTAGGGCCTCTTGTGAGTCCGCACGGGTAGGTACCACCACCCTGCCTGTTTCTGCCATGAAGCAGTAATGCGTTTCGGTTTGAAGGGTGGGGCAGCCGTTGTAACTATACTGAGACCTTAGAACTTATATCTCAAGGTGGGTAGCGCATTTACGTCGTAGATGTCTATGAGCTCCAGTAACCACTTAACACCAGGTAGGTAGGCTGTGAGCTCGTCCACCCATCTAAGCAATAAAAAAAAACGTGTGGCACTCGGGAACTGCCGCGGTAAAGCTATTGTATAGCATTTTTTATCAACTTATGCAATTATAATTAGACAATGATAATTTAATATTAAAAAATTTTTTTTTTTTTTTTTTTGCCTACCTAAGCTGAGAGCCTTGAGAGGCTATGTCAGCGTAACCCTAACTTTTGTAGGTGAGCTCACGGGGCTCAAACCTGATGACGTTGCTAACACGAACCCTAGCAAGAGTCGTGCTTCGCAGAATCTACCACCGGATCGGAAACGCGACCCACTGAGAAGATCCGGCGAGAAACTCAGTGGGCTGTGTCTGGGAGTTAATTTACTCGTCGAGCCCTTCGTCGCAAGCGACGGGTTCGACGAGAACGGTGACCGGTGCTTGAAGTACCTAGAAGCACCGTTAGTGGATCGGGAGGATCCGAGATGACGTGTTTTGGGCGACGTCGACTGCTTTCCATTCTGTCCGCAGGATCGGGAATGTAGTTACCGGCGGCCACGATGAGAGGGTTCTCGTGTCGTGCCGCTTTATCGAAGTGGCGCATGGACGCCGACTGCAGATACTTACTGATGGACTCTAAGTCCAGGTCGTCATGGAGGTCGACGTTCCTGACGAACCACGGGGCTCCGACGGCTATCCTGCAAAAACGGGATTGAATAATTTGAAAGGATTTTAAGTGTATGCGGGCCGCGTGAGCGAACACTACACTTGCATAGGTCATGACGGGGCGTATGCAAGTTTTGTAGAGTGTCACCTTATTTCTAAGGGACATTTTACTTCGCCTACATATCATCGGGTAGAGACGTCCTAGAATGAAGGCGGCACGGTCGCGTACCGTCTTGATGTGGGGGCGGAATGTCATCCTACTGTCGAGGGTGACGCCTAAATATTTGACCTTCGGGGCCCACGGTATGGGCTGGTCGAACATCGTGATTGGGCGAACGGCGGGGGCGGGGTTATTGACGCGCCTAGTCGGGAGGGGAATTAAAACAAGACCACGCTATATTAAACATTAATAAAAGCAAAACATTAACTGTCCCCTTTACACTCATAAGCTAGACCGCGCGAGAGAGAGATAGGCAGACTTTTCATGATGCGCATGCAGTGTGACGTCACGCCACGCGCTTATTCACAAACACTACACTAGCGCAACGTATGAATGTGTTGAACGCGAGCTACATGGAAGGCGGAGTGAGGAGTGTTAGGTTTTTTTCGTTACGGAATTTCATGATTCGGTCGCCGCGTTCAAGGCCTGCGATAAAAGCTATGCAATAGCTTAAAAAAAAGTGTACAACACATGTAGCATTTTTTTAATATTGTGCAACAATATGGATGGTAACAATAACAAATCACCAACTTTTTACGGTAACCACTTAATATCAGGTGGGCCGTGAGCTAGTTCACCCATCTATGCAATAAAACAAACAAAAAAAGTTGTAAATGTATCTGGGCTCCAGTAACCACTTAACATCAGGTGGGCCGTGAGCTCGTCCACCCATCTATGCAATAAAACAAACAAAATGCAGTGTGACGTCACGCCATGCACTTAATCACAAACACTACACAAGCGCAACATGTGAATTTGTTGAACGCGAACTACATGGTAGGCGGAGTGAGGGGTGTAAGGTTTTTTTCGTTACGGAATTTCATGATTTCGGGCTCAAGGTCCGCGATAAAATCTATGCAATAGCTTAAAAGTTAAAGAAAACGGAAAACTTTGTGCAAGGAAATGTTTGTTTTTATAATCTGACATTGGAAAAATAAAAGTATAATTGAAATTTTTTATTAATAAAATTTCCCACACATTAAATTGCCGTTCGCAGTCAGTCAATTCGCGTCAGTTTTTTTGAGACAATTTTATATTTGGGATTTCTTTGTAAACAACAAAGAAATCCCAAATATTGCCGATTGCACAGCTATAGCTTGGGATCGGTGAATATGGTTCAAATTGCAAATGACGATACATTTTACAATTAAGTTGCCAAACATCAGTTTGCTGCTAAAATAATAATCCGGTTTGGCATTATTTCTCAAAAAAATGTTTATTCATCAGGTACATAAATTCAAGTTGGAGATAAATATTGGCCTAACCAGTTATGAAAAACAATCCTTTTCTATTGACGGCCCCTAATTATTTTAAGCAATCCGACAAATTCTTTGCTATTCAATCTAAATCACACACACACACCATATAAATTCGAATGACTATTACCAAATAAAATATTTTTTGGTTATGTTTTTTGATTCCGTATTTTAAAGTTACAGGCACTAATCACATTTCCTTTCGCCAGTTCGACTTCACAGGGCCCCGTAACATCACCGGTATCCTCACCAAAGGCGGAAACGACGGATGGGTCACCTCCTACAAAGTCCTTTACACCTCAGACTTCGAAACTTTCAACCCAGTCATCGACAAAGACGGCAAAGAGAAAATATTCCCGGCAAATTTCGATGGAATCGTATCGGTGACCAATGAGTTCCGCCCGCCCATACGTGCGAGATACTTGAAGGTTCTGCCGCAGAAATGGAACAAAAACATCGAATTGAGAATCGAACCCATTGGATGCTTCGAGCCATATCGTGAGTTCTATTTTATAGATTAATTTAATAATTCAGTTGTATAAATAGGTATAGGGGGAAGAGGTCGACTGAAGAAGACATGGATGGAGTGTGTGAATGACGATATGAGAGTGAGAGAGGAGTGAGTGTTGAGATGACCGCTGATAGAAGAGAATGGAAGAGAAAAATTTGCTGTGCCGACACCACCTAGTGGGATAAGGTGAAGAAAAAGAAGAAGAGAGTTTTATAAATAGGCCGGCGAGTTCACACTATATCATGCGATGTCTGAAGTCACAAAAACATAAGGATATTAACATTGATAAATTCACAAAATTTTCAATTTGTTTTCTTGCATTTTAATCAAACATTCTTAATACTCTTCTACATGAAAAGCCGGCCTACACCGGGCCCCCGAAAGTTTTTGTTACATCTTAATAATTCTTCTCCCTACGTCGATAATTCTCAATGCTGAGGGTCGTGGCCTCCTTTCATATCTTTCTCCTATCTATAGTCTGTATACTAAATGAGGCGTTCTTTGAAGAATACACACGGCGGGGTCCTGCGTACTTCCACGGATCTTAATAAGAGACTAACCTAATTTCATTCGTAATACTTGAACGTACAGCTGAAATCCTACGATCGCTGCCAGAAGAGGAAGAAGGAAGGGAAGAACCCCAAGTCGTTAGAAAAGAATACGGGATGTCACAGGAGGGTGAAATGCCGAATTGTCACATCTGTCCCGGAGTAGAGGCGAAGGAGTGCACGTGCTCATACCCGGAATACTTTGACGGGGAGAACTGTGTGCCGAGGGCCGAGTGTCCTTGTGTCGAATCATTTATGACGTGAGTTGAATTTTATTTATAGCAGAAACTGCAGTCGACATTCGCTTCCACTGTAGTTTTTATGTGTATGTGTGCAGAACTTTTTTTATAGGCGAACCGATGTTTATGATTATTTTTATTTATTTTTTTATTGCTTAAATGAGTGGACGAGCTCACAGCCCATCTACCTGGTGTTAAGCGGTTACTGGAGCCCATAGACATCTACAAAGTAAATGCGCCACCCACCTTGAGATATAAGTTCTAAGGTCTCAGTATAGTCACAACGGCTGCCCCACCCTTCAAACCGAAACGCATCACTGTTTCGCGGCAGAAATAGGCAGCGTGGTAGTACCTACCCGCGCGGACTCACAAGAGGTCCGGTAATTACACAAATTATAATTTTGCGAGTTTGATTTTTATTACACGATGTTATTCCTTCACCGTGGAAGTCAATCGTGAACATTTGCTGAGTACGTATTACATTACATTAGAAAAATTGGTACCCGCCTGAGATTCGAACACCGGTGCATCGCTAGATACGAATGTACCGGACGTCTTATCCTTTAGGCCACGACGAGTAAACCAGATTTTTTTTTTTTTGAAGGCCGGTATAGAAAACTTTTCAATAGTTCAATTAAAAAATTTTCAAGGTCTGTCCACGAATTTTTAAGATATTATCTTTAATTATGCCTATTTATTTACTTCGACTACATTAATAAATAAAAATAAAATAAAATAAAAATAAAAAGCCTTTTGTTTCTTGCATTTTAAAAAAGTGATATTACAAAAATTATAAAAATTGTTGTATAATATTAGTCGTATCAACATAAAAGATATAAAAAAGGTTATATTAATTTAGCATGCAGGCACGCAAGAACCCCTCTTATATGAGGGTGAAGGCCTCCTCCAGACTTTTTCATTTGTCTTTATTTTTGGCAATTGTCTTCCAGTTTTTACCAGCGATTTTTATTATATCGTTGTCCCAACGAGTTACCGGTCTTCCTTTCCTTCTAATACCTGCAGGCCCCAGCCATAGCGTGAGTCTACAGGTCCAGCGGTCATCGCTCATCCTGGCTACATGGCCTGCCCAGCGCCACTTTAACTTTTGTGAGAAATCTAGTGCATCTATAACTTTAGTCTTTTCCCGTATGACATTATGTGGGATTTTTTGTATTTTTCTCACATTCGTAATGCTTCTCTCCATACTTCGTTGACAAGACCTGATTTTGTTCTTTACGCGTAGCGTGTATTTCCACGTTTGGCAGCCGTAGGTAATAGCCATTAGTTTCTTTTTTAAGTTAATAGGCATCGTTCCCTTTAGTGTGTCTTTTAGACTCCAGAATTTTTTCCATGCGCCTGAAATCCTTCGTTCAACTTCGAATTCATTGTTTTGTTTTCCAAAGGAAATTTGTTTGCCTAAGTATATGTAGCTATCTACGTATTTTAATGGTTTTTCGTCGAGATATATTGGATGTTTTATACTGTTCGACATAATTTTTGTTTTATCTAAATTCATTTCCAAACCCACTTCATAGCTCATAGTTTTTAGCGAGTGTATCATGGATTCCATCTCTTTAGCAATTTCAGATAATAGAATAATATCGTCCGCAAATCTTAGATGGTTGATGAAATTGCCGTTAATATTCAGCCCTTTTCTTTCCCAATTTAGTTTGCTGAAGACCATCTCCAGTACCGCTATGAAAATTTTCGGAGATAGTGGGTCGCCTTGCCTCACACCTCGCCTTATGAGTATCGGTGGTCCTGTCGTCTCAAGTTTGACTCTACTTGTGCAGTTGTTGTACAAATACTTTATTATTTCTATATATTTGTGTTCAACGCGTTGTGAGATTAGGGCGGTCCATATAGAAGAGTGTCGGATTGTGTCGAAGGCTTTCCGATAATCGATAAACACAACATAGAGTGGTTTCTGATATTCATTATATTTTTCGACAANTTTAAAAGAGCTACTCGCTCTGATATTCCATTAAAACTGACGATGTTTCTGTTGTGATATTTCATTACAATAAAGCCAACACCATATAATCCTCGTGTTTCTCCCTTATAACAAAATATGAAATCGTCGTACTCCCTGACCGATGTTCCGACACGTCAGATCTCAAAGAGGCCGACTATGTCATATGTTGTGTTTTTCAAAGAGTCAATCAGTTCTATTAATCGGTGATTTGTTGATAAGGTTCTCACATTATATGTTGCCACTTGGAATAAATCGTTTTTAGTGTGTTTTCTCCTGGTAGGGTTTTCTGGAGGGTTTTGGTCGATCTCTCCCGCGGTGACCGGCCGTGGTGGGAGATGAGGTGTTGGAGGGGCCTTTTTTAATTGTTATTCTTTGTTGTTGTTAATTTGTGTTCCATTTTTTTGTTTGTTTTCAGGCTGATCGTGAGAGGTTTCAGTGGGAATATAGTTGAACTTTGGTTTTTGTATGATAAAATCCTTCATGTTTGATGTCTTGTTCTTTTTGTACGTTTGTTTTTGATCTTTTTTTACTATTTGGTTGTTTGCATATAACTCTGGTGATTCAGATAAGTTTCTTTTATTATTGTGACTACGAGGATGGTGTTGTTCTTTATCCTTTAATATGATTAGTTTGTCATAACTGAGATAGGCCATATTTCCTAATTGTTTCTCTTGTCTCAGTTGATCAAGGAGCTCTTTACGCTTATTTAGGATATCTAATGGGTAGTCCTCTTTCAAGTAATATGTCGTGTTTTCCAGTAGTTTTTTATTTTCAGGATATTTATTTTTAATCCCATTGTGCTGAAAGTTATTTTTATTGGTCTAATTTTATCCTTCTTTTTTCCTAGTCTTCTCACCTCTTCTATACTATAATTATGATATTGGAANCAGTTGATCAAGGAGCTCTTTACGCTTATTTAGGATATCTAATGGGTAGTCCTCTTTCAAGTAATATGTCGTGTTTTCCAGTAGTTTTTTATTTTCAGGATATTTATTTTTAATCCCATTGTGCTGAAAGTTATTTTTATTGGTCTAATTTTATCCTTCTTTTTTCCTAGTCTTCTCACCTCTTCTATACTATAATTATGATATTGGAAGTTAAAATGTGTATTTATTAAATTTATTATGGTATTCTCCAACTCATGATATGATTTCTCTTGTTCCTCAACGCCGAACAATATTAGATTTTTGCGTCGAATGTATTTCTCAAAGTTTTTTATCGCTGTGTTTTGTTTTTGGATTTTTGTTTCGAAAATATCTTGTTTCGCTTCAAGATTCGCAAATTTTTCGTTTAGACTGCTAATAATAGTTGTTTTTATTTGCTCTTTCATTTCTAACATTTCTTTTTTTGACTGTCTAATTCCTTGCTGCATATTCTCCAATATTTTCCTCCCGATCCACTAACGGTGCTTTTAGGTACTTCAAGCACCGGTCACCGTTCTCGTCGAACCCGTCGCTTGCGACGAAGGGCTCGACGAGTAAATTAACTCTCAGACACAGCCCACTGAGTTTCTCGCCGGATCTTCTCAGTGGCTCGCGTTTCCGATCCGGTGGTAGATTCTGCGAAGCACGGCTCTTGCTAGGGTTCGTGTTAGCAACGTCATCAGGTTTGAGCCCCGTGAGCTCACCTACAAACGTTAGGGTTACGCTGAAATAGCTCCTAAGGCTATCAGCTTAGGTAGGAAAAAAAAAACCAATATTTTTTTTATTTCTTCCATGTTCTTTGTTTTTGTGTCTGTAGCCCTATCTCGTTGATATTTTCGAAACTAGTTGACGGCCTTAACTTCTGGCGTCTTGGTGTGAATAGATTATGCACGGTCGTATCGATTAGTCTGAAATGTAATTTACGATTTCCGCTAGGTGGCGATATAGCTTTCTTCAAGTCGATGACAACAAGACGAATGTGTTTTATTTGTGGCCTGATCTTAAGTTATTGCATATTTGTACTAGATGGCGTCAGTGGAGTTAACTGAGTTACGGTTCAATTATAATTTATTACTTTTTTATTATTCACCGTCTATACAAATCATCTGTTTTGTGGATCAACAAAGTACACAGGATTTTAGATGATGAAGTTTGTAGGTATCCCGTAGCACTGAGTTTTATTTTGTTTTTTTAGATTTTGCACAAGCTAGTTACACATTTCACAATTTGTTTAACACATATCATGTAGTCGCGACCATGTAACTGTCAATATTAAAAAATATTTCGCGGGCGGAGCCGAACGTATTTTTATCACTCAAGTTTTCCTGATTTTTGCTGCTTTGACTACGAACTGAATTATGTCCCGGTAAATCACTGCTAAAAAACCACACAACTTGACAGTTTTTATTATTTTTTGTTCACTTTTATATTATTATTTAGGATTTAGATACGTATCCGATGTCGACCGTGCCGCTGTCCGACTACCCTCTATTTTCATTCGACTACGTTGCTATTATAATATTCTCATTTTATTTTAAGGAAATCGGTTTTATTTTTGTTAAATTTTTGTATTGTGTATTAAATTTTGCTCTTTTTGTTATTACCATTTTTTCAAGTAGAAGTTAGAAAAAGTTGTTCGTCATTGTAATAAAACAACACTAAGGCTCATAAATATCCATTAATATATTAAATCGATTGACAAACAGTAGAGAAACTAGAACAAAACTGTTATATTTTTGTCAAGCTATTTACAAATTAATATTGTTTTCCCATTACTTTAAGCCTATTTACATTTCGGCTTAGGGAACGGTTCCAATATACCTGTATAATGCAAATTGAAATCGATTAAAACATTTGTGACCCACGGATATGGATTACGAATAACAAAGGTTCGAAAAATAAGTACTAACAAGGGAATCGATTCCAATTTAGCTACAGAACCCTAACCAAACTATTATATATTAATAATATTATAATAAATTAAAATTGTAAATTAGTCTAGTTCTGGTTTAATCTAACTATTCATTCTATTCATATAAATAAGCGTTACAGTTCCACAGTGTTATTTTGATGGACACAACATAAGACCGTACACCTTGAATAGTTCGCAAAAATACTTTTGTTTTAATGATGCTGTTGCTTATTATTGTCATAATCATTTTATATTTATACACTACGAGGAATCATAATTATTGGGCCAAAAGAGGAGTGAAACATGAACGCCCTATTCCGTTCTTCGGAAACCATTTGCCCAATATTTTGCTGCAGAGGGATAATACAGACCTGGGCCTTCAGATGTACAACGCATACGAGAACGAGAAAATCGTCGGATATTACATCGGGAATATACCGCAGCTTATCATCAGAGACCCTGAGATCATAAAGCACATGCTTAATATTGACTTCAATAGTTTCAGCGAAAGAGGATTGAACTTGAATCCGAAGAAAGAATCTCTTTTGAATAATTTATTTTTTGTGAGTGGCGACAACTGGCGTCGCATGAGGAACATTTTCTCAGGAGCTTTCACTTCCGTCAAACTGAAAGCCGTGTTTCCATTAATTGTTAAATGTACCGATAAACTCGTGAAGAAGACGACGATGCGACATGTAAGTGACGAGATCAAAACATACGAACTGATGACTGGATACACAATGGAGTTTATAGCGTCTTGTGGTTTTGGTGTGGACGTCGATACGATTTCTGAAAGTAACATGCACTTTGTGGATGTTGCTAGATCGTTTTTTGATAAGACGAGTCTACAGACTTTCATGATTAATCTTGATGAAATATGTTCCATTTTAAAAATAATACCCGGCACTTTTGAAGTTAACAGTGAATTCAATTCATTTATTTTAAACATCACTAAGAAGGTACTGGCGGAGAGAAATTTTAAGCCGAGCGAACGGAATGACTTTGTGGATCATTTGCTACAAATGGTATATTGGAATGGTAATGAAAAGCTAACAACTGAAGCTGACCTTGAATCGGATTCTTGGTTCGTTGCTGCACAGGTCTTTCTTTTTCTCGTTGCTGGTTTTGAAACATCAGCTGTTGCAACTAGTGTAGTGTTACACCAACTCGCTTATAATCAGAATCTGCAAGATGAAGTGCGGAAGGAGATAGATTCTGCTTTGAAGAAGTACGATAACAAACTATGCTATGAGGCAGTGTGCGAAATGTCTCTACTGGATATGACCTTGAAAGAATCACTAAGAATCCAGCCACCAGCTGGTTTTATTAGGCGAAGATGCATAAAGGAATATAAAATCCCTGGTACAAATATAGCCATTGATCCCGGCGTGAAGATTTTGATTCCAATCAAAGCATTAAATCACGACCCTAAATACTTCGATTGCCCAAGTGAATTTCGTCCTCAAAGGTTCTCTCCCGAGGCTGAACAAAATATTCCGAAATTCGTGTATATGCCATTCGGAAGTGGTCCTAGAACATGTCCCGGTAAGAAAATATCAAATATTCTTAATTTCCCTGTTTTTTTTTTAAATTGGAAAACTTATCTTATTTTAATTCGACAGGTGCACGTCTGGCAAGTTTGCAATCAATGGCTGGGTTAGCTTCCTTGTTACATCACTTCGTCGTTGAACCAACGCCAAACACGAGCCGACACTACAAGATCAAACGTTCTGCGTTTCTCGTTCAAATTATTGAAGGTGGAATACCACTTTACTTTAAACCGAGAACAAATAAATAAAAACACTTAGTAAATGTATTATGCAAATGTATATCTATTATGCAAATCAAATATTCTTAAAACGTCTTGTAAATTTATTGAAATGTGTTTTATTTTTTTATGCGTCTTTAAATCCAATATTTATAATACGTACCATCGATTTGTATAATTGTTGTTCTAAGAGTCGCCAATTTTGAACTTTCTTTTGTTTTTATCGTGTTTCATTTTTTATATTTTTCTCGTTGAGCGTATCCTATTTATTGTTCTATTTCATTTGTCAGCATTTCAGTATGTATTAGGCCAAATTTAGGGCCGTTTCATGTCCCAACTTTCTTTAATGATAGGCTATAGTCTCCTTTGAGTATTTGTTTCAGGGATTTCGTTTTAATACTAAACTATAAAAGAACAGGTCTTTTGGTAAGTTAGGCGAACTAAGATGCCAAAGGCCAAAATAAAATGCACCGGATTTCTTTATCAGGTACCCTGTAGGATCTACGTTCAGGGGCGCGAACTGTGACGAATGTGTCTGCAAACTAGGAGGGACCACCGAATGTAAACCATTCAAAGAATGCCAGTGTGACGACGAAGTAAGTACATACACGACATTATAACAAAACTGAAACTATTGATGTGACGATATCTATCGCCGAATACAAGAAATTTGACAAAAACTTAACTCGCATGTACGCTAATTTCAAAAAGTCTTATAAACTTACAAGATTCGAAGAGCATCGGATTGATTCCATTAAAGATCTTCAATGCGAAATACTCCCAACATGATTTTGTATAAGCTGAAGATTACAATATATTGATGGTTTGCTAATTGGGATAAGTAGCAAAGACACTCGATATAATGTACACTTGTCTCAAACAAGTGAATCTACAGTATTATTAAGGTTTAAATGTGTCATCACGCACTTGAACATTAGACCATACAAATATATCTATTAAAATCTAGGCATATGATTATAAAACACGGCTTATTTTATTCACATTAAAGCAGTCGTATGATTCTATCATGCTATTTATCAAAATTGTGTTCTCCGAATACAGTCCCTAGTACCGAAACTTTCTCCGACGACTTGCGACTGCACCTGCGAGCCCTGTACAAACGGTACCAAGATATGCAAGACGAGCAAGCTGTGCCTGGCTCTGGAGTCGTGGTGTGACGGCGTCCAGGACTGTCCGGACGACGAGCGGGACTGCACGACCTCGACCGCCCGGACAACGACCACGGAGCCGACCGTCGTCACTACCGTAGCGCCCACGCAGGCTGCCACTGCACCTCCCACGACCACGACCCCCAAGCGTGAGTTCTTGAAATTAATTAACGGTACTTAACTAACAATAAAATGGAGGGCTTCTAGATTTTATTGTTGTAAAAATACAAAGTTTGCGGTCACAAGTCGATTTCAACGTTTGCTATTATTACTTAAGCTTTGATGGTGGCTAGAAAATTACGGAATTTCAGGTCTGCCCCTTAAGAAACAAGCGCACAAGTCACACTACATTGATCGTCCGAGAATACATCGACCAGGTCCAAGTAGTTATTTATTTAATTTAAAACTTCAAAACAAACAATTGAACAACAAGCTAAATACGTTCCAGTCTTTCTGAATACATTTTCTATACAAACGAGAATCCGTAAAGGAAAATTTATCCACCAAAAACATTTAACTATACTTTTTTTTTTGTTTATTGCTTAAATGCGTGGACGAGCTCACAGCCCACCTGGTGTTAAGTGGTCACTGGAGCCCATAGACATCTACAACGTAAATGCGCCACCCACCTTGAGATATAAGTTCTAAGATCTCAGTATAGTTACAATGGCTGCCCTACCCTTCAAACCGAAACGCATTACTGCTTCACGGCACAAATAGTCAGGGCGGTGGACGCGCGCGGACTCACAAGAGGTCCTACCACCAGTAATTACACAAATTATAATTTTGCGGGTTTTACTTTTACTACACGATGTTATTCCTTCACCGTGGAAGTCAATCGTGAACATTTGTACGTAATTCATTAGAAAAATTGGTACCCAATTGGTACCCCGGGCCTGGGATTCGAACACAGGTGCATCGCTCAACACGAATGTACCGGACGTCTTATCTATTAGGCCACGATGACTTCAACATTAGATACTTATTGCGGAGACAACTAATGAGAAGATGTAAAATAAAATTCTTTTTTAAGCCTTATCTTCTCTTTTAGCGGTCGTCGAATGTCCGAAAGTGGAATGTCCTCCCGGTTACATCATCAGTTACACCACCGGTTCATCATCGAGCTACTCCCGCGCTTTCTCATCAGACCTGCCTCCACCTAGGCCCAGGTACTCGTACCAGAGGTACTACAGAGGACGTTCCACAGGAGGGTACTCTGGTTACGCCAAGACTGGTTATTCAAAAGGAGGATTCTCTAAAGGCGGCTTCTCAAAAGGTGGATATGGTGAGCATTCCATTTGAATTATTATTTCATTGAATTTGTCGTGGCTTGCAACCTCTTTGACAGGACCTACAACGACTAGACATAGACACAGACTAAGACAGAGACTTGACAAAAATTCGAAAAGAAATAGAACGAGGGCGTACGTGACCAGCCAGTACATGTTTTGACTTCCTTTTTTTATTGCTCTTGTCGGCAGACGAGCGTACGACCCACCTGATGGTGAGTGGTTACCGTCGCCCATGGACTTCAGCAATGCCAGGGGCAGAGCCAAGCCGCTGCCTGCCTTTCTTAAACATAGACAGACACAAAATAGACGACAAGGAACGAGCCGACCGTTCTCATATACATATAAAAATAGTCGACAAAAGAACGAACCGACCGTTCAACTGATCCTTCGACCGTTCACAATTGTTAATTAATTTAAAAAAAAAATTTAAACTAATTTATTGTTTCCTCAAAGGTTACCCGTCGATTCCACGTTCGAACCAAGCTTTCACCCTGGACAAGCCGGCCCTTACGAACAAACAGCCCACTTCGAAGGAAGAATGCGCCCAGTTCAAGTGTATACCCAAACTGCCGGCCTTCAAGCCCGGCGTGGTGCCGCCGCCGGTTGCGTGCTCCGTGGTCACGTGTCCCGCCGGATATACCCTCAAACTCGATAAAGTGCCGACCGGATATAACAAATGCCCGCAGTAAGTAGTTATAATAATAAGAATTAAATATATATTTTTTACCATGCAAAAAGCCACAGTTTTAAATACTTGCCGAATTGTTTGGAAGTTTTTGCCGGACGAAACATCATACGAAATTAAAGCTGAAAATGAACTCCACTTTGCTTAGGTTCGTGGTTTTCAGTATTTACCGAAATTCATAAAAAATCGCGAATAAAAACTTTGTACGTAATAACAATAACAATATACCTTTTTATTTCTGGTTTTACAATCTTACATTAAACAAAAAATATGACTTTTGTTAGTATGCTAACTTAAATTATGTTAGTAACGTAAGTACGTGTATTAAAATAATTATAAATTAACAAGAAATCCCGGTTGGGGTAAAGTAGTAATAAAGTAGGGTGGAGTAATAATATACTAAAAATTCAAAATGTTCGAGAACATTAGTAACTGACAATGTTTCTGTGGTTTCGTTTGGATACTCACGCCCAAAAAAAAAATTACAGTATTTGTAGTTAAATAATAATAAATGTAAAATAATGGGCAAATCAACGGCTTTAATATTCTAAACAGGTTTTTTGTTCTCGATAAAAACAATGACTCAATTATTAGCCTCATTAATTACGAACTGGTTATTGAAACGGGTTGTTTAAAACTGGTTATTTACAATAACAATTTATTATAAATGTAAAATAGTTTTATTGTCGTCTATTTAATAAATAAACATGAAAATGAGGAATAGCGTGTGTTATTTTAGCTACATTAATGGCGTCGAGCACAGATGTGTTTCTTTAGTATTCATCTTATTTAATTTCATTTTTTTGATGTTCACTGATACCGTTTACTTTAGGGGTCTATTGTACTGTTCCCTAAAGTACACAGCTCCACACATAAAGTGGACTTGTCAACCGTCTCCTAATGAAAGGATTTAATAGCGCGGCTTCCAATTTGATATTCAATAATAGCGGTGTAGTGGCCACTATGGTGACCTAAACTTCAGACACAAAATCTTGGATCAACAAATTGCCTCTATAAACGCGGGTTTATCGGGTTCTTACTATGTACGATTTTCTTTGTAATTAGTTTCTTTGTGTTTAGACGTTTTACAAGAGCCACGAAAAGTGCAATTAGACAGTATACGGAAAGAAACTATCGGTATCATAAGTATATATATTGTTGAGGCGAATCACCGAGTGTTCCATTTCTGAACGCCATTATAAAAGAAGTGTCAGCGAGCGACGTCAGCCATGACACTTTTTCTCTTTCAAATACAGCCGTCAAGAGCGACGCAGCGATTTTATATTTCTTTATGTATTCAATCTTTAATTTGTCATTTAAGGAGAAATAAATATCCCAAAAACAATAAATACAGTCCACGCTCATTTACCACAACGCAACATAGATATTTAATGGTAGCACCCAAAATGAAACAGAAAGAGTGTAGACAGATTTATCTGCTTCGCCCTACTTGCAATCTTCAGTCTACTTGAGATCGTTGCGTTTCTTGACAGTGATATATAGCAATATGGTATATAGCAACATATCATTGCTATGAAACAATTACTGGTGGTAGGTCCTCCTGTGATTCCGCACGGGTAGGTACCACTACCCTACCTATTTCTGCCGTGAAGCAGTAATGTGTTTCGGTTCGAAGGGTGGGGCAGCCGCTGTAACTATACTGAGACCTGAAACAGAAAGAGTGTAGACAGATTTATCTGCTTCGCCCTACTTGCAATCTTCAGTCTACTCGAGATCGTTGCGTTTCTTGACAGTGATATATAGCAATATAGCAATATGGTATATAGCAACATATCATTGTTATGAAACAATTACTGGTGGTAGGTCCTCCTGTGATTCCGCACGGGTAGGTACCACTACCCTACCTATTTCTGCCGTGAAGCAGTAATGTGTTTCGGTTCGAAGGGTGGGGCAGCCGCTGTAACTATACTGAGACCTTAGAACTCTAATCTCAAATTGGATGGCGGCATTTACCTTAAAGATGTCTATGGGCTCCGGTAACCCTTTAACACCAGGTGGGCTGTGAGCTCGTTCACCCATCTATGCAATAAATGTATAAAACCGATAATTCCCACAGGTATGAATGCGTGCCACCACTAGAGCGTCCAGTTTTCTGCAACATGACCGGAAGGACTTTCAACACGTTCGACGGCATGGAGTATAAGTACGACGTCTGCTTCCACATGCTGGCCAGGGACAACAAGTTCGACGCCTGGCTTATTATCGGTAAGCATTACACCCGGCGGCCGGCGGTCCGGCGTCTGTAGGACGGCGGGATGGATATAATAGTCTCTGCGTCAACCCTGTCCCGCCGTCACAATAGCCCCGACTGGACTCCGGTCTGGTCTGAGGCAGGGCGCCGGTTGTGAGCAGCAGGAGTTTTTAGTGAGGTTCAACTCCCACATATCCCAGGTGCCGCGCGGGTGGGGATCTGGCGATTTTCTCCTGTTGAAAAAAAATTACCACACAGTCTGTTATGTAAAACAAAAGTATTCAACGATGTCATTAACTAAAACTCATCATCATCATCATTCTCCTACCCTTCTCCCAGTCACTTGGGGGCGACGCAATATATTTTCTCCTTCCATACTTCTCTATCATATACCATTACTTCGCTCACTTCCCTCTTACACATATCGTCTCTCACACAATTCATTCATCTCTTCTTACGTCTCACTCTCCCTCTATATCCTTTCACATTCATAATTAACACTCTCTTACCAACCATTAACTAAAACTGCTAGAATAAAAAAGCCCTTTTTTATCTTCGTAAGGTTCACAACGGATTGAACGGTAGCGATAAAGTATGAATTTTCATTTTCCGCAGTCCGAAAGAACTGCCGCCTGGACGGTTGCACTAACGAATTGATCGTAATGCAAGACGATCAATTGATTCAAGTGAAACCTAACATGATGGTCACGTACAACAACTACGAGTACACAATCGAACAGACAAAGAAGATTTGCTTCCAGAAGAACAGCTTCGATGTGGACCGCCTCGGAAACGGAATCTCTATCACGTCGAGAAAGTACAATTTCACTGTGCTCTATAATAAAGAAGGAGATGTTAAGATTGGGGTAAGTATTTATCATCCATACACACGCATAACTCGATTCTCACCTTGAAATAGTCTCTAATCCCCTAGGGTGCTATTGTGAGTACTGGCGTGGTGATAAGTGATCACCAGACCATAGACATCAACGACATAAAAGCCCCCTTGAGACATGAGTTCTATGTCTCAGCCTTTACAGTACAACGGCTGCTCCACCCTTCAAATCGAAACGCATTACGGTTTTACAGTAGAAATAGGCAGAGTGGTGGTACCTACCCGTGCGGGCTCCCAAGACGCCCTCCACGAGTACTCGATAGTTTCTTCTTTGTTTTCTTTCTGATGAAAAATATTTTGTAATCAATAACAATAACGTACCGTAGATTGAGGGAAATCGGGACCCCTTCCAAATCCAACACAAATTTTCAATGGTTTTTCTTAGGGTAATACCAATGAAATTGAGATTCTAATGGTTCCGGAGGCTTAAATTTTTATATACGATCCCCTATTATACATAGTTCATTACAAAATGTACACAAAAACTGAAGAAAAATAGTTTGACCCAATTCACCTTGGCTTTGGGGTGAATCAGGCGCTACTTATGGGGAGAATAGAGTTTTTCGATAGGGCTGGCATTATTTAGTTGTTAGGTAGGTACCTAACTTTAGCTAATTAACTTTTTAATATCTTTAATGAGTTACAAAACTTTGATGACAAAATTAAACTATTTAATATTCTTAAACACTAAATAAAAGTCATTTTCAGTTCAACAAAGTTAAATCTAACAACTGAACAAAAGTATTGTGACATCCCAGATTTGTCCCTATTCTAACTCTACTTTCTATTCCCTCCAATCTTCTGTATACGAAAAGTAAGTAAAGGAAAGTAGTATTACGTCGATATCAATATTGTCCTAAAGGTATTGAAGAAGCACATGGGCGGAGTGGACGGTCTGTGCGGAGCCTATGATGGCTCGTTGGCCAACGAGCGGCGTCTCCCGGACGGCCGGGTCGCGACTTCGATAGACGAGTTCGGTCGCAGTTGGGCCAAGCCCGGCGTCCCCGCCGACGCCTGCGCCCCGCGAGTCGCCTCCGCGCACAAACAGCGGAGAGCTTGGGACCTCTGTAACGTTATTACGTAAGGCTTCATTTACTCACTCCGCTTTTTTTCTCCTACCTATGCTGATTGCCTTGAGAGGCTATTTCAGTTTCGCCTTGACGAGTAGGTGAGCTCACGGGGCTCGAACCGGGAGTGTTGCTAACACTGGCCCTAGCAAGAGCCGTGCTTCGCAGAATCTACCACCGGATCGTAAACGCGACCCACTGAGAAGATCCGGCGAGAAACTCAGTGGGCTGTGTCTGAGGGTTAATTCACTCGTCGAGCTCTTCGTCGCAAGCGACGGGATCGACGAGGACGATGACCGATCCTCACTCCTCACTTTTGTCGCGTGCATTTAAGTGACTACAATGTGGAATGCTTAACGACGAAGGAAAGATCTTCCACCGAGCGGGTGATATTGCTCGGTAGACCGACGGTCCGAATGTTGTTGTTCGGAACCTGTATATATGCTTATCTTGAAAATGTCGTAAGCGAGATTCAGGCGTCTGTCAAATATCTTGCGTTGTATGATGGCTACCCGCCACATACAAACCCTATTCTTTACTTTTTGGTGGTTAAACTGCGCCTTAACATATTTGCATACAGGGTGTGAGAAAAACGAAGTGATTTATTTCAAACCGTTGAATTGAAAAGAAAAACGGTTGAGTAATTACTGTACAACGAACATTTTGTTTTGATATATTAAAAAAAAAACATCTCGAAACCTTCTGGTCTGCTTCGTCTCCGTGCACTGCTGAAAGAGATTTCAATTTGAAATGAACAGTCAACTGTCAAATTTAATGAGAATCATTATTGTTTACATAAATAAGTACTGAAAATCAAGTACGACTAATTTGCAAAGCGAATCCCCTGTGTTACATTTATTAATGTATCAATTGACGGGCGAGGAGGAAACTTCTTGAGTTAAGCCGCTCTGCTAGTGATTTAATTTGGAAAAATTATTTAGTATCTGTGAGGGAATAAACGACACTGGCCTAAATTTTTTTTTTTATTGCTTAGTTGAGTGGACGAGCTCACAGCTCAACTGGTGTTAAGTGGTTACTGGAGCCCATGGACATCTACAACGTAAATGCGCCACCCACCTTGAGATATAAGTTCTTAGGTCTCAGTATAGTTACAACGGCTACCCCACCCTTCAAACCGAAACGCATTACTGCTTCACGGCAGAAATAGGCAGGGTGGTGGTACCTACTAAGTGAAATAGTTTCGTCCACTTCGGTCGCTAGTACTAAGAAATATTATCCTCATCAGGGAAGAGCCGTTCTCGCAATGCGGCAAAGTCCTGAACTTGGACAAGTGGCGGCACATTTGCTTGGAGAAGATCTGCGAGTGCACCGACCTCGTCGTCAACGGCACCAAGCGCACCGAGGAGCAGTGCCGCTGCCTCGTGCTGCAGCAGATGGCGGCCGAGTGCCTCGCGGCAGACGCCGGCGTCGACCTCGCCTCCTGGAGGCTCATGATGGACTGTCGTGAGTGTTTCGTTTATTTTCCACTCTCCTACTCTTTCATTAGTCTTGAGAGGCTATTTCAGCTTCACCCTAACGTGTAGATGAGCTCGCGGGGCTCAAACCGGAGTGTTGCTAACACTGGCCCTAGCTAGAGCCGTGCTTCGCAGAATCTACCACCGGGTCGGAAACGCGATCCACTGAGAAGATCCGATGAGAAACTCAGTGGGCTGTGTCTGTGGGGAACTCTTTCATATCGAGGGGCGAAACGCTATATGGCTTAAGCGACATTTTTGCAACTTTACAAGAGAGCTCTTTGAAGTTTAAAATTTAGAAAAAATATCAATCATACTGTTACGCGCTGGTGTTCGGAATAAGGAAAAAATTCTACCGAAGTATAAATTAAAATTGTATTAACACTTAGAACATTCACAGAACAGTTTGAAATTCTTAATTCACTTCGAGTCTTATCCTTTAGGCCACGACAACTTCACAAGATAGTTTAATAAGTAGTAACAAAAATTGTCTATATGAAACGTGGATTTGTTACAGCGGCGGACTGTCCCCCGCCGCTGGTGCACTACGACTGCTACCGCAAGCGATGCGAGGAGACGTGCGCGCCCTACCCGAACGCCGCGCGCGCCTGCCCCGCGCAGGAGGGACAGTGCTCGCCGGGCTGCTACTGCCCCGACGGGAAGCTTCGGAAGGGAGACCAGTGCGTGCTGCCAGCGGACTGCTTGGACTGTGAGTTCTTCTCTTTATAACCCGTTGAACTACGCAATTTGTTATGCAACGTTCTAGTCTCTAGAGCTCTAGCTGGTGGTAGGACCTCTTGTGAGTCCGCACGGGTTGGTACCACCTCCCTGCCTATTTCAGCCGTGAAGCAGTAATGCGTTTCGGTTTGAAGGATGGGGCAGCCGTTGTAACTATACTGAGACCTTAGAACTTATATCTCAAGGTGCGTGGCGCATTTACGTTGTAGATGTCTATGGGCTCCAGTAACCACTTAACACCAGGTGGGCTGTGAGCTCGTCCACTCATCTAAGCAATATAAAAAATAACTTACCTATATATACTAGGAAGAATAAAAAGTAGTGAGAATGAGACAGAATATAATGACTATTGATAACATAATAATTTATTTTTCTAATAAGTCTTCGAGTCTCTCTACATACCGAGTCCAGCACCTTTCCAAGGCTTCAATCCCTTTCAAAAAAAAGTTTTGTCTTGGTCCTGCAAAAAGCTCTCCACGGCATCCATCATCGATCATTATCGCCTTCGTACCTGTTTTCCCTTAAGTATTCTTTCAACTTTGGGAACATATAAAAATCGCTAGGCGCCAGATCTGGTGAACAAGGGGAATGGTCAACCAATTCGAAGCCAGCTTGCTGAATGGCAGCCATCGCAACTGCCGACCTGTGCGCGGCTGCATTGTCGGGATGAAACAGCACACCCCTTCGAAGTTTCCCTCTCCTTTTCTCTTTGATGGCATTCCTCAACTTGGAAATTAAATCTGCATAATATTGGCCTGTAATAGTGGCTCACGCTCCAGGCAATCAATCAACAATGTCTCTTTTGAGTCCCAAAATATTGAGGCCATAACCTTGCCAGCCGATGCCACGACACGAAACTTCTTCGGGGTCTGTGATGATGGCCGTTTCCATTGCGAAGATTGCTGGTTTGTCTCGGGATCAAAATGATGGACCCATGTTTCGTCCATTGTTACGAAACGAAACAAAGAGTTTTCAGAATCTTCTTGAAACTTGTCCAACATGTCGAATGCCAACAAAATGTCAAGTCGATTTTGTTTCTGACTGTCGGTTAACGTTCTCGGCATCCATCTTGCGGAAACTTTTCTCATATTCAAAGATTGTTTCAATATGAATTGAATACTTTCATATGAAATGCCCGTTTCTTGTATTAAGTATCGGATGGTAACTCTTCGATCGCTCAATACAATTTTCTCGACTATCGCAATGTTTTCTTGGGTGAGTGACGACGATGGACGTCCGTCTTCGATGCTTGTTCTCCCAATTCGAAATTGAGAAGCCCACCTTGCGACAGTGGAATACGGCAGAGCAGACTCTCCTAATGTTGCTTCCAAATCGCAATGAATATCTTTCGTCGTTAACTTTTTTAAGCAGAGATATTTAATAGCGGCTTGCACTTCGTTTTTATCCATTTTCGAAAACACGTTCCGACACAAAGCAAAGAAATGACTACGTTCTATTGTCAAAGGCTATTTATTGCCTTTGACAATAGAACCATAATAATGTTCAAACTTATAATTTAAATTAATTATGGTCTAATTTCGACTACTGGGCGACCACTAGTTCAATACAATTGATTGGATCATACATCCTAGAATTAGCAAATTTCTACTATTCTGGATGTGGTCAGCATAATATTGCACCTATTTTAATATGTTTTTTTTTTTAATAAATTTATTTTGATTAGGATATCAATGTCGAAAAATAATGGAAAGATTAAGCTCCAAAAGCTTTTGCTGAAACGTGTATCCTGATTTTGAAGATTTCAAGTTCTAGAACTATGTTATTTTCTGTCCAGGCACGTGTACAGGAGTCGGTACACCAGCTAAGTACACTACCTTCGAGGGCGACGACCTTCCCTTCCTGGGCAACTGTACCTACCTCGCCTCTAGGGATAGGAACCAAACTGGAGAACATAAATATCAGGTAAACTGTTCGAAATCATTTACATTTTTACATGTGACGGAGAGGCTGGTTCCATTGTGTTTTTAAACGATGACGTCAGCGTTGTTGACGCTATTCCAATCCAGACGCCATTCCAGAATGTTTTGTGCGACAATAGTTACTCGTATTTATTACAAGCGGCCCGTTCCGGCTCCGCTCGGGTTTTTAACAAAAAAATTAACTATATTTGACGTTGTTTTATTTTTTTAAATAAAATAACACTTATTGCGGCATAACTATAATAGTTAGACATAATAATATGCTGTCGCGAAACTTTTAATCAATAATAATGTGTTCTGCAAAGTCGTAGTATCGTTATTTTATTCTATCATCAATGGTTTTCGGATGGCACGCGATGTAAAGAATATTTTAAGTAATTTTTTTACACCTTGGGTTACATTATTGGAGTTTTAGTAAGGATCCCTATTTTTTTTTTTTCAAAAAAGATTGTAGCTTATGTCACTCGGGAGTAGTGTAGCTTCCAAACAGTGAAAGAATTTTTCAAATCGGTTTAGTAGTTTCGGAGCCTATTCAATACAAACAAACAAACAAATCTTTCCTCTTTATAATATTAGTATAGATATATATATTTTTTTTTTTATTGCTTAGATGGATGGACGAGCTCACAGCCCACCTGATGTTAAGTGGTTACTGGAGCCCATAGACATTTACAACGTAAATGCGCCACCCACCTCGAGATATAAGTTCTAAGGTCTCAGTATAGTTACGGCTATCCCACCCTTCAAACCGAAACGCATCACTGCTTCACGGCGGAAATAGGCGGGGTGGTGGTACCTACCCGTGCGGACTCCCAAGAGGTCCTACCACCAGTGATTACGCAAATTATAATTTTGCGGGTTTGGTTTTTATTACACGATGTTATTCCTTCACCGTGAAAGTCAATCGTGAACATTTGTTGAGTACGTATTTCATTAGAAAAATTGATACCCGCCTGCGGGATTCGAACACCGGTGCATCGCTACATACGAATGCACCGGACGTCTTATCCTTTAGGCCACGACGACTTCCTAAAATAGATAGAATAGCTTAGTCATGAATTCCCTTGAATACCATCTTAAACCATTGTTGAAATGCATAACATTAAGGAAATAGTTAACTTTAACTAATCTTAGTTAACTGAATGGTGACGTTGCGTCGACAAATAAAATACAACTTAAACTCTTTATAAAACAAATTTTCATAAATATTGTTCAATTTTATATAAATATTTTATTTTTAGTCCCTATACTGATTCTTTTAAAGGCATCGTTTAACAAAAACATCTGCTTTCGGATGGTCAAATGATGATGGTATGTCTAAGACTTCACAGATGGCCCACGCGCGCCCAGCCGTAGTCACATGTCTATGTGCAAGTCTGTAGCATCAGATATATGTTTTATTCCAGGTGTACGCTACGAACGGCCCGTGCGATGACAACGCTAATATTGTGTGCACTAAGATCGTGCATCTCATATACGAGAAGAATGTTATCCATATCAGCAAGGATCCCACAACCAAAAAGGTAATTATTGTATTTTAGAAAAGAAAAAAAAACATTTTGTTTGTATTGGTTGTTGTCTAAGCATTCTACCATAAATTCCATTTCATATTGTGTTTGTTATGATGTCTCATTCCATTATGCGGTATTGTGATGACATAGATTCATGCAAATGATTTATCAATTAATAATGTTTGGGCTTGGTTCTTTAGTTTTGTTTTTGTCTTACATTTAGAGCGCAATCGATAGGATTTTGGGCAAATTGGTTATTTGGTGGGAACTCACCTTAGGTCTGTTTCATTGTAGGTATAATAATATTTCCAGCACCACTCTTTTCTACTTTTTATTACACTTTTATGAACACTTTCAGTAGTTCAATTTGAATTAATTAGCTTGAGACTTAGTCTTAATATATCACTATTTTTCGCGATCGCACAATATTGATGCGCACGATTCAAAAGTCAACTTTATAATAATCTTTTTTTTTCAATATACGGTGCGATAGGTATGGTAAAGCATAATAGGCATCATACCCAATCCTATAGACCGAATGGTAAACAGTCGACGTCGCCTTAAGCACGTCATTACGGATCCTCCCGATCCACTAACGGTGCTTTTAGGTACTACAAGCACCTGTCACCGTCCTCGTCGAACCCATCGTTTACAACGAAGGGCTCGACGAGTGTATTAACCCATAAATACAGCCCACTGAGTTTCTCGCCAGATCTTCTCAGTGGGTCGCGTTTCCGATCCGGTGGTAGATTCTGCGAAGCACTGCTCTAGCTAGGGCCAGTGTTAGCAACACTCCGGTTTGAGCCCCGTGATCTCACCTACATGTTAGGTTGAAGCTGCAATAGCCTCTCAAGGCTATCAGCATAAGCAGAAAAAAAAGCATAATAGGCATTGATATAAGAGAGAAAGAAACGGGACTATCATCGATGCGCTCTCAATTCCGTTCAAAAACATTTTTAAGCGATGTATCCTTTGCAGATAGCGTAACCAAATAATGTTAATTTTTTTGGCTTATAAATTTCGACAGCTTCGAACAGTGATAGGGAAGACCGCGGTGTTCAAGTACCCGGTTAAGGAGAACTGGGGCACCATCAGCTTGCTCAACGGACAGGATGTCTCCGTCACCCTACCGGATATACACGTGGAGGTATGTTTACAGGGTGCTCCACATATGCCCCGCGTCGAGGGAGGATATTGGACATTTGTAATTTTACCGCATAAAAGACCATTGATAAAACAAACTGCTTCAGTAACGTAATCGCAAAAAATTTTGCTAATCTATTTAAAACGAAGCATCATGTTTTTTCTCGGTTTACTTGAAGTTGCATTGGCACATCGTTAATTAAATTTTCCGATAAATCGTTACCTTTTTTTATACTTCAAAAATAAAACAATATAGATTTACTTAAAATCTTAAAATCGTATTGCTCGGAACTGTGCGCGATCCAGATTGTATAAAATGAAAATTAAAATATCTTTTACCCGTAAAGTTAGTACAAAATCAACCATATATTTTCTATAAATTTTGTAATCAGATACTAAAATGTAGGATAGAAACTATTTATCTATTAATTATTCATTTTAGTCAATTAAATTAAGGATTTCGATTTACATTAATCGGAAAACGATATTTATAATTCGAAATTTTTCTTTACTTTCAAATGACGCTCTTTATACACAATAACGTAATGCCAAATCTAACTTGCTTCATCAATTATTATAGTGGTCGCACACTCGTCGAAACTCAACCATAATTAATTTAAATTATAAGTTTGAATATTATTATGGTCCTATTGTCAAAGGTATATTATACTTCTATAATCACAGATTTCGCCAAAGTATAGACAAATAATATTAAAAAGAAACAATATTAATCTATTCAAATTAGACCACAGACTTTAACAATAAAAAAGTGTATATTATATGCGTGTGTGTAATGTTTTTTTTTGTATTGATTTAATGTATTTTTATGCCTAATAAAAAAAAATCTGCACTCCTTCTCTCTAATCGTGTGGAAAATTACACACTTCTCTGTCTGCGCGATTTTCGTAAAAAGGGATACAGAGTTTTTGCTTCACGTATTAATTAATGTATTGATATATGGAATGTTTCAATTAGCTGACAGTGTCGCAACTGAACCTGGAGTTCGCCGTCCGCGTGCCGACCTTCCTGTACGGGAACCGAACCGAGGGTCTGTGCGGAGTGTGCGCCGGCTACCAAGACTTCCTCGTCACCAGCAACGGAACTGTCACCGATGACTTCGACTCGGTCTGTACTCATTCAGCTTAGATAACTCCAGCTATTTTAATGTACATAGGCAATCGACCCGTCGCTTACAACGAAGGGCTCGACAAGTAAATTAACCCTCAGACACAGCCCACTGAGTTTCTCGCCGGATCTTCTCAGCGGGTCGCGTTTCCGATCCAGTGGTAGATTCTACGAAGCACGGCTCTTGCTAGGGTTCGTGTTAGCAACGTCGTCAGGTTTGAGCCCCGTGATCTCACCTACTAGCTAAGGCTACGCTGAAATAGCCTCTCAAGGCTATCAGCTTAGGTAGGGGAAAAAAACACCGCAAAATAAATCCAGTCTCCTGCCTTGAGGCTTGAGGTCGAAGTCCGAATTATGATATAATACCCGTAGTTTCATTTTTCAAGTTATAGGCAGGAACAGGCGAGATGGAGGTAACCCTTTAAGGATAGGCAGGAGGTTGGCTCTGTTGCTAGCCTGGAGGGGCTATTTTGACTTCACCTTAATTTGTTGGTGAGTTGACGGGGCTCAGCCCAGCCTGAAAGAGTTTGCTAACCTGTACCATACAAAGAGCTGCGCTTCGTTTAATTCACCATACCGCAGTAGAGTTCATCCATACTACCTGGAGCCACAGTGTCCACAGTGCGTTTTCAGAGACCTTTTCTGCCACGTACCATCCGGCTTTGGAATGAGTTCCCTTTCACGGTGTTTCCCGAGCGCTATCACATGTCCTTGTTCAAACGAGGCTTGTGAAGAGTACTTAACGGTAGGCAATAGCTTGGCTCTGCCCCTAACATTGCTGATGTCCATGGGCGACTGTATCTACTCATCATCAGGTGGGCCGTGTGCTCGTCTGCCTACAAGGGCAATAAAAAAAACCTAATCGTGTGAGCTAACAATGTGTATACCACTTTACATCCCTGCTTGGGAAGCCGCACCGATGTAAACTTGTGTTCTGATGTGTGGTTCCAGTACGGCAAGAGTTGGCAAGCGTCTCCCGAGAAGCTGACGGAGCTGGAGGTGCCGAGCGACGAGCAGTGCGACGCGCCGCCCCCGCCCGCCCCCTGCACGCCCCCTCCGCCCGACAACAACACCTGCTACCACCTGTACAACGCCGACAGATTTGGAGCCGTGAGTCCCTTTGCCTCCTCATCTAAACGCCTTTGCTACACCTTCGTCAATCGTATCGAAAAAAGCAGGTAGAATCTATCATCGGTATTTCTTTTCACGCAGTTCCTATTTATAATGTAGGAATAAAATACACCGCATCGGTGCAGACGTTTCTTGCCCCAAATCTTTACCAGACTACATAAAGAGACGATGTGCTTAATATATTTTAAATTAACAACAACAGTGTACTACTACCTTCTTATATCATATTGTTATGTTTATAGAAAATTCGAAACTCAAATGCGCTTTACGGATTTTTTTAGGGAAACAGCTTCTTAAATCAATGACGTTATCTTTTTCTCCTACCGATGCCGAAAGTTCGGTTTTCGTCCCGCTGTACAGGGAGGAAAGTCTAACTTTTTCTCCCTGGGTACTGAAAAGTGCGCATGCGCGTTAGTGTCTACGTCTGTTCTCACGCACCTAAAATTATTATATACCCTTGTGCTCGGGTAATTATTCAATTAGTAGTAGTTTATTTAAAAATTAAAAAACAGTTAAACTGTTTTTTTTATGAGTGCCAACCCTCCGCCAGGGGTTCGCCCCTGGACCCCAGCTTGTTACTCCACAGGTGCTAAGTTTTTTACAAAGGCGAACTTTCGGCCTGGTAGGAGAAAAAATAAGAGGTGCACCGCGGGAAAAAGTAGGACATCTCATCCCGCGTATTTGCCCCCCTTGCACAATGTACTATTTCATATAGCATTCAAATATTTCTGTAGTGTATGTGTTCGTATTAAAACTGTATGTTGTAATAATTTTGGAACTGCTACGTTCTCAAATAGGGCTTTTGCGCGTTTGGATTTGTTTGTAAGAGTTTTTAATAACAGTGGATCTATATGTGAGCAGTGCCACGCGCTGGTGGAGCCGCAGCCGTACGTGGAGTCGTGCGAGGCGGACGAGTGCGGCGGGCGCGGTCCGTGCGACGCGCTGCAGCGATACGCGGCCGCTTGTGCCGAGCTCGGCCTGTGTCTGCCGGACTGGCGGCGGGAACTCTGCCCCTATCCTTGGTCAGTATACCCATCTCAGTGTGTGAGCCGTGTCGTCCCAGGCGAGGTCACGCCCCTCCTCCTCCTCGCGTCGTTTTCCTCATTACTGAGGGTCGTGACACCCCCGCTGCATCAGTTTCTCCCGTATGATTTCCCTCCATCTGCTGCGATCCTTAGCTTCATGAAGGGCATTGTGGAAGTTGATGTTTAGAGAAGATCATATTTGGTCCGACAATCTCGTGGGACTACTTCCTCTGGGACGTTTGCCATCTACCTTTCCTGTTTATAGTGTGGATGGCGCTAGACTGATTTCGCTGAATGTAGATCTATTTAAAATATTTAGTTAAGAACTAGAAACGTGACCAGAATTCGCAGATATAAAACATATTTTTTTTTAATTCTACCCTCAAATTAAAATTGGCAGTGAGGAACCGTTCGTGTACCGAGCGTGCGTGGACTGCGAGAGGACGTGCGACAACTACGAGCAGTTGCAGACCAGCCCGGAGAAGTGCACCAACAAACCCGTCGAAGGATGTTTCTGTCCCGAAGGAAAGGTCTGTCGACTTTGTGAAGGTTCCTTTAACATTAAAATTACGAATCGACGAACTGTGATCAGTGTGCTTAGGGCGATTTTTCTAACGTGCTCGATAGCTTTTTTTTTCCTACCTATGCTGATAGCCTTGAGAGGCTATTTCAGCTTCGCCCTAACGTGTGGAGGTGGGCTCACGGGGCTCAAACCGGAGTGTTGCTAACACTGACCCTAGCAAGAGCAGTGCTTTGCAGAATCTACCACCGGATCGGAAACGCGACCCACTGAGAAGATCCGACAAGAAATTCAGTGGGTTAATTCGCTCGTCGAGCCTTTCGTCGCGAGCGACGGGTTCGACGAGGACGGTGACCGGACTCGATAGCGTTAAAGTTAGCTCATATTTGTATGGAATGGGATCGTTTGCGTACGTTTGCCGCTAGGGGCGCTGTTCCAACTGCATACAAAATTGGGTTCACTTTTACGCTATCGAGGACGTCAAAAAACTCGCACTAAGCACACTGAACGAACCTTGTGTGTCGGCAGGTACGCGTCAACAACACGTGCATAGAGCCCGGCAAGTGCTTCCCCTGCGGCGTCGACGGACACTACGCGGGCGACGAGTGGCAGGTCAGACACGCGACGGTTTAATCAAAATCGAAGCTGAGGCTTTAGGAAACGAAGGAATCTGGCTAAATATGCGCGCCTATATTTTTTTAAATCTTCGATAGTGACATCAACAGTGCAGATCGTCAACCGACTTAGGTTTTAAGTTGGAAAACGAGCCTCGAATTGAGAACTCCTTCGTTTCCCAAAAGTTGTTCGTAATAACAAAATAGTTAGGTTTTTGACTCTACCAGTGGTCGGCAACCTTGTCATCCAAAACAGCCAAAATTAAAATAACTAAAACTTATTCAAAGTGAAAGTTTACTTATGTTATTTGTTTTTTACTTACTATACAAATGTTTACTCTGACAAGGCAAGATAATAAGTAATATTCCGAGTCTGAACTAAACATTTCACGGAAGAGCCGATTAATGCTCTATATGAATTATAATTATTAGATAGAATGATAGAACAGCAAATACTGTTACGCGCTGGGGTTCGGGATAAATAAAATTTCACCAAAGTACAACTTATTCAACACTTAAACACTTCACAAACACTTTAAAACACTCAACAAACACTTTAAAACTCTCAATTCGCTTGTTCCGCTGCGCTTTAGGTGATCCGTTCGTTGTTTCGCTTCGAGTAGTTTCGATTACTGACTCTGCGCGCCATCTCTAAAACGCTTTTATAGCCGATACCTCATCCCTAGAATTATCGAGAATATTCTACACATCTCTAGTATCAGTTTCCGCTATCTGTAAATAGATGGCGATGTACTTCTCGAGCGTTCTGGGTGCTACTAGATCCTTCGATATTCGTTCGACTATTTAGCGATAGATGGCGTTACTCTTTATCGGCGTAACAAGACGTTCAAGGGGTACGACCTCATGCCTCAAGTTGTGTGGAGGCTCATCTATCCTATATGTTTGTCGTAAGTAAGTGTGTGTGTGTGTGGGCGTGCAGGAGGACGCGTGCACGTTGTGCGCGTGCGCCCGCAGCCCGGACGGCACGGCGCTGGTCGGCTGCCGCGCCACCAGCTGCGCGCCGCCCGTGTGCGCGCACGGGGAGGACCTGCGCACCGCGCCGCCGCCGCCCGGACAATGCTGCCCGGAATACGACTGCGGTATGTGGGACCTGTCTACTGCACACTATACTATACTAATCTCTTTTTTTTATCGTGCCTATTCTAGTAACCTCAAAGGGTTATTCTAGATTCACCGAACTAGTAGGTGAGCTCGCGGGGCTCAAACCGGAAGTGCAACACTGGCCCTAGCAAGAGCAGTGCTTCGCAGAATCTACCACCGGATCGGAAACGCGACCCACTGAGAAGATCCGGCGAGAAACTCAGTGGGCTGTGTCTATGGGTTAATTTACTCGTCGATCCCTTCGTCGCAAGCAACGGGTTCGACGTTCGCAGTAATATCGTTTAACACGCGGCGAGCCGTGATCTGATGCAGATGTAAAATAAGTGGTCTTACTTTTATAAATCGAAGGGTGGGACAGCCGTTGTAACTGGGGTAAAATGCGTTCTGGAAACCACTTAACCCCAGGTGGGCTGTGAGCTCGTCCACAATAAGAAAGGACCGTACTCGTCATTCGGTATGGTCACGAAACTAAATCAATTGGGTGTCATTTTACAGTCGCGAAACCCGAAGCACAGTGTAAAGAGACCAAGAAGATTGTGTGTGATTACGGTCAAGTGCTGAAACAGAAGACAAACCCTAGCGGCTGCAAGGAATACTTCTGCGGTGAGCTTATTCGAATCGTCTAATATTATACAGGGATTTTTTTACTGGTGGTCGGACCTTTTGTGAGTCCGCACGGGTAGGTACCACCAACCTGCCTATTTTTGCCGTGAAGCAGTCATGCGTTTCGGTTTGAAGGGCGGGGCAGCCGTTGTAACTATACTAAGATCTTAGAACTTACATCTCAAGGTGGGTGACGCATTTACGTCGTAGATGTTTATGGGCTTCAGTAACCACTTAATACCAAGTGGGCTGTAAGCGCGACCACACATCTAAAAATAAATTTAAAAAAAGATTAGGTAGTATGCAGCGACTTTACTGTGCCCCTGGCATTGCTGACGCCCATGAGCGACGATAACTATTTACCATTAGGTGGGCCGTATGATCGTCAGCCTACAACGGAAGTAAAAAATATTTCGATTCTAGCCATTGTAGTTGCTTTTTCATAATCCCAACATAATGGTACTGACCTCCTTAACTCCTAACCTGAACCTCCACTTTCAAACGAATGGTGTACAAGTGGCATTGTTTTATATTACGGAAAATCATACCACAACATTGATACAGGTTCCCTAAGACGAAAAAAAATAAATAAATTATTTTCTTAAACAGAAAGCCATTGGTCAAAATAATGAGTATTTTGTCGATCTGAATTATAATGATAACAATAATGTACCAATAATAACAAGTCACATACGATCACCCGGACTGAAGTTTGGACTCCCGTAACATGGAGACTATTAAAAATATTTTATACATGTAAATTAATACATTTAAATTAACATATCTATACTAATATTATAAAGCTGAAGAGTTTGTTTGTTTGAACGCACTAATCTCAGGGACTACAGGGCCCGATTTGAAAAATTCTTTCAGTGTTAGATAACCCATTTATTGAGGAAGGCTATAAGGCTATATAACATCACGGTAAGACCAATACAAGTGGATCACCAATAAATAATGTTTCAAAATAGGGGTTTAAATAGCTCCTTAACATTCTGTAATTCAAAAATATTTTCACTTTCTACGTAAATGAAGTGTGGGGTAAAATTTAGCGTTATGCCAAAGTAACTATTTCACGCAGACGAAGTCGCGGGCAAAAGCTAGTATAAGAATAAACCTGTTCATCACACCAATGTTTACCCAATGTGTGAATAGCTCATGACTCTCTGTCGAGCAGATAGAGGCGCTAAGTACTGTACCAACTAGTCACTCTTATTTACAAGACCAAACCATCAGTTTGGTTTTAACATTGTCAGGACTGGAGGAAGGGAGGTTGCGGGAACAACTGTTTTTGACTGCTTCCTTCTGGCGCTTGTTTTTCTAAAGATACCAGTGTTTTTGGTAATCATGATAAATCATATTGAATTAAAACATTTCCGTCTTATGGAACGTGGACAAAGATGACCACTAAGGACAGTGCGTAATATCATTAACTCCACACGACTCGATGCCACTAAGAAAAGCGCCATAGTGAAACTAAAGCCACGTTCTTATATCTCAGAATGCAAGCCGTCCAGTGAATGCGAAGTGATTCCTCCGGAGAGTGAGGTGGAGATAGTCGAAGCTGGTATCCATCGTGAGATCGACAACTCTGGATGCTGTCCGCGCGTGTCGCTCGTGTGTCGCCCCGAAACGTGTCCCAAGCCACCGCACTGTCCCCAGTTCCAAACCCTCGCCACTGTCAATATCACCGGCAAGTGCTGTCCGGAATACAAGTGTGGTGAGTATTACTATATTTTCACACGTACTTTTCATGTGTAGCTATGCTCATGTGTAGATATATAATACTTATCGGAGTCTATGAACAGGATTCTTACTGTAGCGGTACGCTCTACCAATATTTAGGGAGTTCATGTAACTGACTATAACGCCCATAGAGGCAATATTTTTCGATACAAATCTCAAATTATCTTTCAAATATCTAGTTTAATCTATTAATTATAACTTGACCCGATAGTTGAACGTCAGAGTGGACGTAACAGAGATCTCTTTGTTTCCAGAACTACCTAAAGACAAGTGCATCGTCACTCTAGAATGGGAGGCGGCTGCAAAAGGCGGCGAGAAGCCACGAGAAAAACCACAAACTGTGCTCAAAGATGTATGAATGTTCTTTATTTATTTATTTATTTAGAATCTTTTGTTCATCACTTACTTGTGATAAATTCGCAGGGTTTTCGTGGTAGTTTCATGGAGCGTTATTATTTTAGATTTCTCATTATTTTATCTGTGTTCAAAGTTAAAAACGTTTTGGTGGTAGGACGTATTGTAACGTCACACGGTAGGTACCACTGCCCTGCCTATTTCTGCCGTAAAACAGTAATGCATTTCGTTTGAAGGGTGGGGTGGCCATTGTACTGCAAAACTGAGTCTTACAACTCATGTTTCAAAGCGTTGGTGTTTATGAGCTCTGGTAATTTTAAATATTTAACACTAAGTGTACCGTGGACTCTTCTGTATTCGGGAACACATTTTAAGCCATGCACATATTTATTTATTTATTTATTACACTTCATGTAAAATTTACATTGGCGGACTTAATGCCTATGGCATTCTCTACCAGTCAACCAAAGGTAGTGCAGAGTAAATAGTGGTAGGTGCAATGAAATTTATATTTAGTTACAAAAAGTATATACATACATACATAATAATATATAAATATATACATACATACATACATACATACATATATACATACATACATACATACATACATACATACACATATGATGGCGGGAAATCTGAAATAATAGTAGTAACTAGTATATAACCCAGGTGCTGGCGGAAAGCGGCCCGTCAATGCTTCCTTCCCTATATTTATATTTTTATGTGTAATATCTCTCGGTCAATGCCAAAAATATAATTAAAAATTCCAAAATGAACTTGAATAGCGTCACATCGATCCAGGATATTAGCAACGCACAAAGAAGTATGTTCGTAACAATACAGTTTATAAACTAGTGAAATAAGCAGAAGTGCTACTAATTGAGATCTTATAATTTAGAACTTAAGATTACTAATAGCCTGATTCAGATTTTCCAATCCTCTTTGCTTCTTTCAATACTGAGTATCCTCTGGCAGAAAACTTACATTTACGCCTTGGTGATTATTATTGCTATGTATAAATCTGTGAGCCAACAATTGGTCTTATCAGAGTACACGACTAGCAAACTTGCATCATGCCCACGCAGAATGGAGAGGAGCATGAAAAATGTGAAAAAGTCAGATCGACTGAGTAACCGTGTAATAAGAAACAAAATAAAGGTTGTAGACATAGCGTGCAAAATTAGAAGGCTTAAATGGCGTTGGGCAGGCCATATTACTGACGGTAGGACCTCTTGTGAGTCCGCGGGTACCACCACCCCGCCTATTTCTGCCGTGAAACTGTAATGCGTTTCAGTTTAAAGGGTGGGGCAGCCGTTTGTAACTATACTTGAGAACTTAGAACTTATATCTCAAGGTGGGTGGCGCATCTACGTTGTGGATGTCTATGGGCTCCAGTAACCAGTTAACACCAGGAGGGCTGTGAGCTTGTCCACCCATCTAAGCAATAAAAAGAAAGGCAAATGGAGCAGATTTGTGACGCGATGGTATCATAAAAAAGGTAAAAGGAAATGAGGTAGACCGCAAAAAAGATGGGATGATGACATAAAATAAGTAGCAAGTGTCATATGGAACAGAGTGGCTTGAGAAATTCATGATTGGAAAAGGTTGGAGAAGGCCTTTGTCGATTGACAAACAGATCTACAGAAAATAAGTGAAATTCAATGAAGAGACTAGATTAAGGTTCATATTAAATTTAAGTTTTTCAATATTTCATCATACAAGCGTAATATGGTTCTGAATAAAAGGCTATTGATTGATAAGTCTGTGATCTGAAGTATCGTTACCGGTTCAGCTGGAGGCCGTGTGGCTGGACGGTCCGTGCCGGTCGTGCGAGTGCGCGCTGTCCGGCGCGGGTCCGGCGGCGACGTGCGCGGTGTCGGCGTGCCCGGCGGTGGTCAGCTCCGAGCTGTTCGTGCTGGAGCCGCGCCCCGTGCCCTTCGCGTGCTGCCCGGAGCCCGTGCAGGTCGCGTGCAGACACCAGGATAATGTCTACAAGGTACTCTCTATACTTTATAATATCGGTGGAAATCCATTAAGAATTCGTCGCGTCATTTCGGATCCTCCCGATCCACTAACGGTGCTTTTAAGTAACTCAAACACCGGTCATCGTTCGACGAGTAAATTATCCCACAGACACAGCCCACTGAGTTTCTCACCGGATCTTCTCAATGGATCGCGCTTTCGATCAGGTAGTAGATTCTGCGAAGCACGGCTCTTGCTAGAGTTCGTGTTAGCAACAACGTCAGGTTTGAGCCCCGTGAGATCACTTAGTAAAGGTTACGCTGATATGGTCTCTGTAGACCATCAACTTAGGCAGGAAAAAAAAAGAGAATCTGTCTTCCCAACGGTGATACAACTAACAAAAATTAAAAGCTCATCGAGTCTATTCATTCTATAATTACGATTTTTTTATAGCCCGTGTAGGCAGATGAGTGTATGGTCCATCTGATGGTGAATGGTTACCGTTGCTCACGGACGTCAGCAATGTGAGGGACAGAGCCCATCCGCTGCCTACCGTTTAATACTCTCGTTTGAAGAAGGACATATCATTGCTCAGCAAGACTCAATGCTACGTTAACTCAGCTAACGACGCCCTCTGTGTTGTCTTGCAGGTCGGCGAGAAGTGGAAGTCCCCCACGGACGTGTGCGAGACGTACGAGTGCGCGGCGGACGGCGACGGCAAGCTGCAGCGGCTCGCGGCCGTGCAGCGCTGCGACCAGCACTGCCAGCCCGTGAGTGTCTGACAACAAGCTCAATGCATTATTTCAATGGTGGTAGGACCTATTGTGAGTCCGCACGGGTAGGTACCACCACCCCGCCTATTTTTGCCGTGTAATGCGTTTCGGTTTGACGGGCGGGGCAGCCGTTGTAACTATACTTGAGACCTTAGAACTTATATCTCAAGGTGGGTGGCGCATTTACGTTGTAGATGTCTATGGGCTCCAGTGGGCTTTGGGTTTTGTGAAGACGATAATCGCCGGACCTCCGCTCTCCATTGGAGGGCGGGGGCATGTCGGACTCGAACTGACGCTCGAACCTTCTGTCGCTCAACAAACCAGGCCCGAACCTCGCATGAGACAGAACTCATGAAAGACAAAGGGGGGAAAGTGGAGTGTTCAGTGCAGAGCACATCTCTTCCATCATCCTCCCCCTCGGGACGCCAGACCAGCGGTCGTTAGCGCCACGACCACCAGCCCTCTCGGTCGACAGGGTATCCGAAGCCCGCCTAGATGGCGCCGGTTAGAGAAATTCAATACTGAACTAGTTATTCAGTGACCTTTTTTGAACCCATAGACATCTACTACGTAAATACCGCCACCCACCTTGAGACACGAATTCTAAGGTCTCAAGTTCAGTACAACGGCTGCCCCGCCCTTCAAACCGAAATGCATTACTGCTTCACGGTAGAAACAGGCCGGGTGATGGTACCTAAGCGTGTCTAGTTAATGTCCTGCTAGTTTAATGAGACTGACTCTTGCACGAGTCCAACAGTTGTCGCGCTTGAGCGTAACTTCTGATGTGTTCAGAATGTCTCGTCGCTAAAGCACACTGAACATAGGTTAACCGACATACTAAGGGTGTAGGCTTAAAAGATGGGGGTTGGTATTAAGGGGAGACAAATATAATATTTTGTTGGCTTTTCATCGAAAGACACAAATTATATGGTACTAGCGGACCCGGTAAACGTTGTCCTGCATATATAAAATGAATGAATGAATGCATACACAACAATTCATTCAAGTCGATCCAGCCGCTTAGTTGCAGTATAGTTAAATAACCTAGACACCGACTGCAGCGCCATCTGCCGGGCTGATTTGTGAATCCAAACCATCCAGAGCGCCATCTAAACGCATACAAAAAAAATTATTCAAATCGGTCCAGCCGTTTAGGGGGAATTCAGTGACATACACACGTACATTATACTTATATACATATAAAGATATTATGCGAGCGATAATTTTGTTTTATCATTTGTGTTCGTTGTGCCCTAGTGTAGTAATATGCTTTTGTGAACATGCACCTCATGTGCCCAGGGTTGGAAATACGTCCCGGCTGAAGCCGATAGCGGTCAGTGCTGTGGGAAGTGCGAGCCCGTGGCCTGCGTGGTGGATGGAGAGGAGAAGCCAATAGGCGAGAAGTGGACGTCCTCGGACTTCTGCACGAACTTCACCTGCGTGAACCTCAATGGCACCGTGCGTATATATTAACGAAAATAATTTATTCCAGCGACCACCTCGGCCCCCGCCGGCGACGGCTGTCACACTGTTACCTTTATGTCCCTCCGTAAGCGCTTGTGGCCAGGTGTGCCACGAGCTCGTAGACTCGTCTGCGGCAAGGGACTCCCAAGCGAGAGGTTGCCTGGTGGCAGAAATTCCAAGGACAACAATAAAGTTTAGGCGAACACTGGCTAAAAAAATATTTTTAGTTATTTTGTGTAATTAAGAACTTCTAGTTTCAAAGAAAAAATTAAAAAAAAGTCCATTCAATTTTAAGTCTGCTTCCACACAGCTCCAAGTCCAAAGCTCGAATGAGACTTGCCCGGAGATATCCGATGCTGAACGGAAGCAGTTCGTGCTGAAGGAGCAGAAGGTCCCAGGGAAGTGCTGCCGCAAGATCGAACGTGAGGCGTGTCGAGCGGGAGATCGGATATACCAGGTAGCTTATGAGTAGGCAGCGGCTTGGCTCTGCCCATGGCATTGCTGAAGTCCATGGGCGACGGTAACCACTCACCATCAGATGGGCCGTATGCTCGTCGCCTACAAGGGCAATAAAAAAAAGTCTTTTGAGAAAACTCAAAACGACCTTCAGAAATTGAAATCGGATGAGGTAACAGTAATTACTTCAAGTAGTGCTCTGAGGGATTGGTTGAGATGATACTATCATCTCGTTTTTACCATCGCACCCCCCGCCACTGGAGTAGAGTTCATCCATACTACCTGGAGCCACTGCGGTAATCCACAGTGCGTGTCCAGAGGTATTTTCTGCCACGTACCATCCGGTTTTGGAATGAGCTCTCCTCCACGGTGTTTCCCGAACGCTATGACATGTCCTTCTTCAAAAGAGGCTTGTGGAGAGTACTTAATAGTAGGCAGCGTCTTGGTTCTGCCCCTAGCATTGCTGACGTCCATGAGCGACGACTCACCATCAGGTGGGCCGTATGCTCTTCTGCATACAACCTAACATTTATAATATTTCCAAACCAGGATTTGACTCGTTTATTCGTGGTAACATTCGCACATAGACATTGCCATTACCAGAAGCGCAGCCAGACATTGTCAGTCAATCGCGAATTCGAGTATTTTATAATTCACTTCCCTGCATCCACGACCAGGTCGGCGAGAACTGGACGTCGACCGAGAACTTGTGCGAGAACTACCGATGCGTGCGGGACGGGGGCGGCGGCCTGCGCTCCGTGGCCTCCGAGCAGCGCTGCGAGACCGACTGCCAGCCCGTGAGTCTTCTTCCACTGAACCCAGCCGCCGTGTGTCCTAGTCGCTTTTGTGTGGTCACCAAAACCCACAGACCTGGGGACAAGAGGTCTGCATTGTACGACGGCGGCCCCGACCTCCAAACCGGAACGCATTACTGCCTCGTGACTGAAATAAACCCCACGACGTCTAAACATGCATTTAGTAAACATCCGTGAGCTGATGAGTATTTATATCGAGTGACACGACTTGCTGGAGTTCGGAGTTTAATACGCAATGTCCCTTTTTTTTACCTATCCTAGTAAACTCGAGAGGTTATACTAGATTCGCAAGATTAGTAGGTGAGCTCGCGGGGCTCTAACCTGACGACGTTGGTAACACGAGTCCTAGCAAGAGCAGTGCTTCGCAAAATCTATCACTGGATCGGAAACGCGACCCACTGAGAAGATCCGGTGACAAACTCAATGGGGTGTGTCTGTTGATTAATTTACTCGTCGAACCCCGTCGAAAATCTACGAAAACCAATAGGTTCGACGAGAACGATGACCGGTGCTTGAGGTACCTAAATGCACCGTTAGTGGATCGGGAGGATCCGAAATGACGTGTTTAGGGTTAGGGCGATGTCGATTGTTTACCATTCGGTCTGCAGGATCGGAATGTGTAATGTCATAATCAAATATGTACCTACTGAATATCCATTAAAAATATCACAGAATATCAATTGATTCTAGTGCCAAGGAAGATCGAATGATGCAAGTAGATACGATTCTAGTAAAATATAGTTTTTATTAGTTTAGAAGATGGTATATTATTTAAAATAGAAAAAAAACATAGCGACAATTAAATAGTCACAATAGACTACCAAGTAGTCCACTAGTGGGGCCAGCGTCACCAAATGTAAAGACATCTCAGTATGAGCACCTAACGTCCGCCCCAGGGCTGGAAGTACTTCCCGGCGCCGGCGGAGTGCTGCGGCCGCTGCAAGCCCGTCGCCTGCGTCGTGGAAGGGCGGGAGAGGCCCGTCGGGGAGAGCTGGACGTCTGCCGACTTCTGCACCAACTACACCTGCGCCGACCTGCACGGGACCGTGAGTATGGCCATCGCCGCCCCACCATTTGCGGGCCCAAACCACGCGTCCACTTCGGTGTCTTCTAGACTCAGTGTGACCTAATGTCAATAGTCCGAATATTTCTGTAGAAACTCTTCTATCGCATCCCAAGGCCTATGTAAGTATGACGAAGTCTAACTATTTAGACTTCGCCATACTGTCCCAAGCTGAAGTTATTCATTTAAATCAAATTAATTACATAAATTCAAATCATTTCAAATAAATAAACAAAAAGAATTAATCTAGAGAGGTTTTTGTTTTGTTTTGCAAGCCGTACTTGTTACTCGTGCGGCTGTTGCTCTCGAACTGTGCACGCTTTACATTGCGGACTCGCAACATAAGAAAGTAAAAAATATAGTTTAATTCATATATGAACATCGATTGCCTATAATTTATTTTATTTATTTTTTATTTTATTTTATTTATTGGGTATGTACCAACATGTTATACATCAGCACAGAACATTACAGGTATCATATCATATTAAAGTCAATCTCAGAAGAAAACTACCTTATATTCCACACATAGAGTTCAGATTACGTTTTTTTTTACATTCCAATCTTGAATACCACTTTACATATAATTTAGGATAATAGATTAGGCTTTTTAATCACGTCCGACCTTACTAAAAATATTTTGAACGATTCTCCTTCTGATGTTGGAATCTTATGGGAACGTACGCCTCGTGTATCCGCAGCTACAAGTGCAAAGCTCAAACGAGACTTGTCCTGAAGTGTCGGAGGCTGTGAAGAAACAGTTCGTGCTCAAAGAGGAGAAGATCCCGGGCAAGTGCTGTCCCAAGGTCGAGCCGGTCGCGTGCCGAGACGGCGACAAAATATATCAGGTACGTGCGATCAAGGGCTTAAACAACATCACGTTTAGTTATCTAAGCTTTCCTTGTCAGTAATATGTAATAACTAGAGACCCGCCCTCGCTTCGCTTCGGAAACATTAAATATTATTATTAATAGCTGAGTCTCGCGATGTTACCCGCGGTTATTGTCGTACCGTGAGTGACGCCCCGGGGCGAAGCTAGTCTAAAAAAAAGTAACCTAAGTTACTCCTTATATCATCAGCTACCTATCAGTGAAAGTTTCGTCATAATCGGTCCAGCCGTTCCAGAGATTAGCCGGGACAAACAGACAGACAGACAAAATTAAAAAAAAAAAAAAATTTGGTGTATGTACATATATTCATATACATGTAGTAAAAAGCGGTTATTTCAATATTACAAACAGACACTCCAATTTTATTTATATGTATGATTTCAACATAAAGTTACAGTCTGGTTCGATATAGGCGACATAACTTCTCAACTGGCGTTTCTCTGGGCCAATATTTTCAATACTCGATACTTTGATGTTTTGATACTAATAACTAGACAGAGGAGAATTGACAGATACATGGACTATGCCAAGTGTTATTAGTAAAAAGAACGTTTCATATTTCCTAGTTCCCAAATATCTTCGGATAGTCGGTACTTTTTTAATGAGGTATTATTTTATTAATGTTTTTGAGTTTTGGACTGAAGATATATAATCTCGGAATTTTTTAATCATAATTAAATCGTTTCGTTAACCATGTTTCTAATGGCGTCATGCTCTCGTCCAGGAGGGTCAGGTGTGGACGACGCCGGACCCCTGCACCAATCGGACGTGCAGGCGGGAGGACGGGCAGCTGTCCGTGGGCCGCACGGTGGAGCACTGCGAGCGACAGTGCAGGCGCGGCTGGACGTACTCACCGCCCGCCGCGGACCGGTGCTGCGGGCGCTGCGTGCAGTCCGCCTGCCTCGTCGACGACCAGCTCAAGGAACCCGGTGCGTATACGCGACCAGAACCGAGGAGTTGCCGCGATTCATGATACGTGCATAGCAAAAAAACAATGCTCAACACGCGTTTTGAAGTCGTCGTGGCCTAAATGATAAGACGTCCGGTGCATTCATGTTCAAATTAAACCCGCAAATTTATAATTTGGGTAATTACTGGTGGTAGGACCTCTTGTAAGTCCGCGCGGGTAGGTACCACCACCCTGCTTATTTCTGCCGTGAAGCAGTAATTCGTTTCGGTTTGAAGGGTGGGGCAGCCGTTGTAACTATACTTGAAACCTTAAACGACGTCCACGACGACCACGACGACCATAAAACAAGTATAGAGAGGGCGGGGGAAAAGCTGGGGCGGAAAGGTAGTGTAGGATAAACGGTGCAATTCTCCCACAACTGCAACGCGACGTTCCTCGCGACAGGCTCCACGTGGTCCTCGGCCGACAACTGCACCACATTCAGCTGCGACCGAAGCGGGGAGGAGGTGTTCGTGACGTCAGCCACCGAGCACTGCCCCGACGTGTCGGCCTGCGACCCGGCCGACATTGTCAACACCACCTGCTGTCAGATCTGCAACGAGAAACCGCAAGCCCTCAGTGAGTATACCTAAGCTATCATTTCACCATTCGCAGTAGACAGCGGCTTGGCCCTGCCCCCGTCATTGCTGAAGTCCATGGGCGATGGTAACCACTCACCATCAGCTGGGCCGTATGCTCATCTGCCTACAAGGGGCAATAAAAAAAAACGAGCAAGAAACAACCTTCGTCCTTACTAATAGTAGTGCAATAGGGTGCATGGTATCAGTAGTTATAAATATTTTATGAACAGATATGAGTAGAAGGGTTATTTTGATAATATCCTGAAAAGCAGTCTACGCTTTTTTTACAATAAAATCATTTTTTCTTATACTATTTTTAATTCAAATTTATTAAAATTTATTTTCTATTTCGTAGTTGGATTTTCTATAAAAGCATATTTTGTTAGTTTTTTAATTTTTAATTTAATTTTAATTTTTATTTATTTTTTAGTTGAATAAAATTTTATTCATATTTTTTTAATGTTGAATTGTCATCGGTCCTTAATAATTATACCAAATTTCCAATTAATCCAACGTTTTGAAGCGGGTCAAAATCATGTTCAAAGATTCCGTTACATACTAACATACATACGTCTAAAGCTAATAAAAGCGTATATTAATAATCAAATAATTTTCGTTCGTAACAGGTAAATGCGTCCCTAAGAGCATCCCGAGCTCAGAGACGGTAGGACTGATCCGCATCCCGATGGGAGCCCACGGCCTGTGCGTCAACAAGTTCCCCATCACCGGCTTCACGGAGTGCCACGGCTCCTGCGACTCCGGAACTATCTATAACAACCGTGAGCCAAAACTTATTGCTCTTCATTCATTCCTTATGTTAACTTTACTCATTACCCTTTTTCAGTTTTTAATTTTTTATTTTATCGCCTATAAAGGTGTATCTGGTTCGACAGTCTTGAATTTTTGTGCAATATTATATCTACATTATTGTTTAATTTCATTCTCGAACATACATTTTTCTTGTCAAATAACATAATAAGTTTTTTTAAAGGGATTTTATGACATGACAACTAAGACCTTTAGGTCATGTCTTATTTTAATTTATATTTTTATTTTTTTGATAATACGGAGTGAAATGAAATGAAATCAAACGAAATTAAGATGGAAGTAATTTGAAGCATTAATCAACTGGGACGAAATGAAATGAAATGAGATGAGATGATATGGGATGAAATACAATCTCAGTAAAATGGTGGTCATTTACTGAGATTTTTTCAGTGAACTTTTTGGAGGATCCCGAGAAGTTACGTCCAGCGGCTTTGTTTCATTTTACCACATTTGTGCACTTTTGCAGATATTAAACAGTTAATAAACCACCACTATTACACATTTAAACCTGAAGAAAACTTAAATAAACAAAATAAAACAAATCACACAGCTTCACTCCTTGCGTTCCCGCCAAAAAGTCCCATTAAGTTATAAGAATGCATGATAAATGTTGCCAGTATTAAATGGTAAGTTGTATCTGGCAACAGAGACCGGTACGCACGAGTCTGCGTGCGAGTGTTGTCAGGCCGCGAAGTACAGCGGCGTGTCCGTGCGACTCACGTGCGAAGACGGGACGGTCCGACCGCACCGGGTCGCCACGCCGGCGCGCTGCCACTGTGCCGCCTGCGGACCGGGACTCACTAAGCACCCTAAACCTGGTAATTACATTTAGTCATATATTATCAATAATATACGGAAATAAAAAATTTTATTCCAATGCAATGGTAGAAAAACGAAATTCATGTTAAATGATGTGTCTATCTATGCGTTCCGGTAATCCCCTACTGAATCCTAAAAAATCAAAAGGGAATTTTGTGATTGTTTTTATATTTATAATTTGACAGCAAGAATGCTACACGTCTTTTTCAAATTCTGCATGAAAACTATAATCTTGAGATTACAAAGATCCTACAGTAACTTCCCATTCTATAATACGTTGTCATCAATTTACCAATTATCCCAGTACAAGAATCTATCGGTAACATTTTTAACTTACAATGTTCTAAATTATTGTACTATTTATTCCTCAGGTCACGCATCCTACACTGGTACCAAGAACCCAGTACAGCCGGAGCGGGACAGGGAGTACGTGATCCCGGATATATTCCAGCGCTTCGGGGGAAGCGAGGAGAAACCACGACTCTAATTACATCACGACTTTGATAATTAGTTTTTAACGTTTAAGTAATTAACAAAAATATAAAATTGTAGTAGTTTTAAAAAAAAACACCTGGCAACATTAAAATGTTGATGCATTTAATTATATAAAAGTGCTCAAAATATTTTTTCATCAAATGAAACAAAGTTTTATTTGATCAGTGATATATTTTTATAAATAAAAAAAATAATTCATAAAAACTTTTGTTTTATTCAACAACCAGTCAACGTAACATGTTTGTGACGTTGTCTTTGAGAAATGTAGATTTGCAGAATACCATTTAAATGAAGAGGAGATAAAGACCTATTGATAATGAAATTTTATAAAATCTATTTCGGAATCCAATTTGTATTTAGCTCATACTTTTAAGTTCAACTCTCTAAACTTTGGCCCTTATCATTCAGAAAAAAAACGCATTTAATTATCAACCGAGCAATTTATATTTCGTAAACAATCTGTTTTAGGAAGAGTTGTCATCGTTCGTTTCTTCAAAGCCGTTTTGTGTGACGTCACCATTCTCCTGACTCTGCCCTTCATCAACATCTTCTTCTTTGTGCTTTTCTTCTTCTTCTTTCTGTTTTTGTTTCCTCAACATGTCTGATAAATATTTACATCGTTGCATGCATTCCTCCTAAAAACAAACACAAAATAAAAATTTTAGGTCTTAATTAGTTGAGGCACTACGAAGTCTGCCGGGTCAGCTAGTTATTAATATAAATAACTTGTCATTTCCAGTAAAATGAAAGGTTTCCTTTCGTTCACCTTTGTCTTCCCGGGAACAGAATTGGAGATCTTCTGCCACCGGTCGCCGGCGCCACCCTTCGGGTACTTGGCGAGGGCTGTCTCTAGAGCCTTCTGCTGGCTCTGGGACCAGGCGCCGCCGCTACCTGTCTCTTCTTTCCGTGTTTTGACCTGCGAAAACATTGTTGGTACTAATCACGTTAAATCTATTAATAATTTTACGTTGACTTTAGTAATATTATTTTACCCGCCAATATGATAGCAGCTATTGCAACATAGAAGCTATTTGACAAAAACCTAACCTATACAAGGTCTACGGAGCAGTGACTCCGGCTCGATGGGAGATTTTATTTCTCTCGTTAACCGCGGTATAGGAATTTAGTGGAAAGTTTACGGTATCGTCTGGCTTAAGTTAGTTAGTAGATCTAGTAGGAGCAGTAGTAGCAGTGCTGCTTAACTAACTGTATTGGGTAGTCACTGACACGAAGGATGTGTAACACACTGAGTATGAATATACACCGCCCGCAGTTTCCAACGTGTTTTGATCAACAATAATGGGTGGTGGCCTAAAATCACAAGCGACAGCGATTTTGTCGAATTGTAAGGCGGTTGCCCAAGTAGTGGCGAATAAGTTGCCACGATCTATATAACTCACGGGCGGGGGAACTTTTTTAATTATTACCCCAAAATNCACGAAGGATGTGTAACACACTGAGTATGAATATACACCGCCCGCAGTTTCCAACGTGTTTTGATCAACAATAATGGGTGGTGGCCTAAAATCACAAGCGACAGCGATTTTGTCGAATTGTAAGGCGGTTGCCCAAGTAGTGGCGAATAAGTTGCCACGATCTATATAACTCACGGGCGGGGGAACTTTTTTAATTATTACCCCAAAATATTTTTGTGTATGTTGATATTGCGAATGGCGAAGAACAAAAAAAAACGAAATCGCTTCTTCTTAGCATCTTTCATATTATAGCCCCCAATAAAATACCTGGGTCAATCACGTGAACTTTGTGTTTCCAAATAATGTGTTCTATCTTATTCTCTCGCCGGCTGAATCTTATACATTTATGTGTTTGTGTTTCTATGGACTTATTTTTTCGTTTCGTTTCATCGAATTTGAAATCACAACGATTTTGAAGAAGTTTCACTTCAATATATACTTTTTATACACAAAAGTTTCATTTTTACCCCCCAAATTTCATTTTACCCCATTCGGGGTAATTCACCCCGGTTCCCCGACCGCTGATATAACCTTTTTGGGCGGCTCCACGTATTCCGGCTGCGGGGGCTCGTGTCCGGGCGGGCGGTGCGGGCGCTCCTTGAGCTTGGCGGCCATGTGCGCCACCTCGGGCACGGCGCGGCGCAGCGCGGCGGCGATGCGCTCCCAGCGCTGCGGGGCGCCGCCCGGCACGCGGGACATCAGCCGCGCCAGCTCCGCCAGGTCGTCGTCCGTCCACAGCCCGCCGGATATCATCGGGGAACTCTGCACAAAACCCGAACAGCTATGACAAACTCTTCACGCTTTTAACCCGTGCAATTAATATAGAACAATCAAACACAGACATTACGTGCCTGCCACGATCCACTCCGCATTGAGGCAAACAATATTGCGTTGAGGCCGAAATAAGCAGAGAGGTGCTCCTACCCTTGCGAGATGTTCCCGTGTCCTCCCACCACCATTACTTACAATGGAAATTCCAGTGAGGTAGAAAACGGAAACTGCTACTACAAATGCCATGGAAATGTTACAATATTGCAGTTCAGTAACTTGACTGTGCCTTCACCACAGTTGATGTCCTTCAGCATCGGCAATTGCCTCATTAACTGGGCCTTAGTCCTGAGAGTTGTCTATTGTAATAACACTATATATCGCATGTTATTTTATTCTGACAAATGATAAAAATAATAGTAGCATAACGGCACTTTATGATCACTAAGATGCTTGCTACTAAAGTTATATGCAATTAAGTCGGTGCTTTTGTGTGTGTACGCAAACACCGGAAACTATTGTTGATGTATGACAGTTCGGCTCCGGCTGTCGAGTTCTCCATCCTAACAATGGGGTTACCGGTTTATCCTCGAGGGTCGCGGCGGGGTCGTGCGGGGGGCGCGGCCTCGCGTCGTGCTCGAGCTCCGGCGGCACGAACCCGCGCCGGCGCCGCGTCCCCGCCGCGCCCGCGCTCTCTCTCTCCGCTGCAGCGGCAGCCTCTCGCTCTAACCTCTGCTTCTCTTCCTCCTCCCTGAAGATTACATCACAATTTCGAATTATTCATATTGAAAGAGAGCACTGACCTGGAAAGCGTCTGGCATAAGGAAGAGAGGACGTCCCAAAACCACTTGGCGTCGCTCGGTGGAACAGGAGCTTAGTGTCTTGGGCATGGCGTGGGAGGTGGTGAACAGACAGCCCAAGGCCGACGTAAATGAATGGATTTGATTCGGGCCCTACACCCCAGCAGAGGTTAATAGGAAAGAATGATAATGAATATTGAAAGAGGATGACCTATTCCAAGAGAAAAAAACAAAATATACATCATATTCCAAAATGGACATCACTACACCTCTTGCAGTATCCATGAATATCAAGCGTCTTTGAAAATTATTTAAATAATTTCGTGAAGATAAAATAATTTAATTCACCTTTTCTTTTGTCGCTTAGCTTCTTCTTCTTTCTCTTTCAGCTGCTTTTTAATTTCTACGTAGCTCCGCGGTATCGCGGTCACCGTCCACCACGCCAGTCGCGGTATTTGGAACGGCAAGGTGTCCTTCACACTAGGTTTGGGTAATTGGTCTAATATCTCAGAGAGACCAACGTCAAAGCCAGTTTTTTTTGACTTCCTGCCTCTGCTGTTTAAAATTTGCTCCTGAAAAATAAGTTAAAAGGTTCTGATAAAAATTAAATTTATCCAGGACATTGTATATATATCGACGCTTGAAAGGCAAACGTGACTAAGCGACAATAAGTGCTTTGTACATAAATGATAGGCAATAACTATATTCGATGCGCAAAAAAATTTATTTCTAGGTCTATTAAAATCATATCAATCCTACAGCTAGATTCGTTAAAATAGAATTTTTTTCAGGTATTTCTCAGATATATTTTATATTAATTTCAACTTTAAATTAGTCTACTGTAAAGTTCACGCACTGTCGCTTAGTCACGTTTGCTTTTCAAGCATCGTTATATATTATATACAATAATATATAGGGTGGTGAAGTTATGAGGATTTGAAAATGCCTGTATAGGCCTACTTGATTAAAAAACATATTAAAACTGCTTTTAACATAAAAATAACATCTATAGTTATTGAGAATAAAAAATAATAAATTATGAATACAATCAAAAAAATATTAACATTTTATTCTCTACAATTCATCTATGTAACAAATACCTATGTGTGTGTGAACGAACCCCTTTGGGCTGGAAAATGTGATTCTTTCGCAGCACGAATGAGCAGGATAGCGGTACTACTGTGAAACTACTTTTTTTTTATTGCTTAGATGGGTAGACGAGCTCACAGCCCACCTGGCGTTAAGTGATTACTGGAGCCCATAGACATCTACAACGTGAATGCGCCACCCATCATGAGATATAAGTTCTAAAGGTCTCAAGTATAGTTACAACGGCTGCCCCACCCATCAAACCGAAACGCGTTACTGCTTCACGGATGAAATAGGCGGGGTGGTGGTACCTACCCGTGCGGACTCAGAAGAGGTCCTACCACCAGTAAGCATTACTCATTCATGTACTGTTCTATGAAATTTAGCATTACATATTCAAACCAAGCATCTAAAAATAAACTTACTGCCGTGTACCTCTTCTCGACGTATGCAGCCCAACTAACAGCATACTGTCCTAATGAAATGATTATGAACAATATTATGGAGGCCTCTGCCAAGCCCATCTTGCGTAGATGTCGATAGTAGTATACTGCTGAGCGCCAGTTAGGTAAACCATTTTTGAGGACTTCATTGTACCTGAATAACGAAAAATCCATTTACACTTCAAGTTTTAATGTATACCTTTTTTAAGGCAATGTTCACAAAGATTCTATGTGTGAAAAAACAATTTATTGTTAATAATATTTATGAGATTTCAAGAATGTAATACGCTTGTTCGTAATATTAAAGATGTCAAATATAACAGGATGCACATGACAATGGTTAGGAAGATCCATAGGTTCAAAATTATGCTCGACAATATTTAGTGGACATATTTAAAAAAAAAAAAAGTATTTTATTACCTATACATACAAATGAGAACATTTACGCTCAAATCCTAAATGCTAAATATATGTATGTAAGAATTCCACATTGAATTCTTACTTTACTATTAATTAACTAATTAATTAACTAATAATTTTCGGGTGGTTAATTACTATTAATTAACCACCCGAAAAGCAAGGCAATACAACTTTAACATACTCTGTTTTGCAAAGAAAAAAGAAAACACCAAAGGGAGTGGTAAGTCAAATAGTCAAGATATTCAAATTCCGTAAGCTTTACCAATGTCACTATTAAATAAGGTCCATCAAGTTGTATGTGTCATCAATCAATTTAACATACTTACTTTTCTCTCTTTCCAGGGTCTTTAAGTACATTATGCACAGAAACCAAGTTTCTAAACTGTACATCAGCATCTGGAGAATCATTTTTGTCCGGATGCAGTTTCAGTGTCAGTTTTTTGAACGCTGATTTTATTTGTGCTGGCGTCGCATCCTTCAATCAAAATTTAAATATAATTTCAATCAATTGATATGTGTAAAAGTTTAGTTTCAGTTTCAAATAATAGTGTAGGTATTCCATTAACATTACCTTAAGCAAGAAAAATAAACTTTTGAATTTTAAATGGTCGCTCTCATTACATATGCATACTCTAAATTATATATTTAATGATTATCGGACTGATAAGAATTCTAATTAATAAAACTTATTCACATTCATAACCAAAAAAACTAATTGAAATTTGACCAATTACTGTTACCTAATTTACCAAGATAAGCTGGCTTTTTTTAAATATACAACTATCAATCACATAGTCACCGGTCAGTCTACTTCTTACCTGACTAACTCCCATCAGTTCATAAAAGTTCTGGTTAACTTCTTCCACCACGTCAAATACTTCTAAATCATCATCGTCCCACGCAGCGACGCTCAAAACAAACGTTAACAACAACAAAAATATCCAACGCATTTCTTAATTGAAGTAAATAATATTTTTTAATTTAAAAACAACATGATACGAACACGTAGAAATAAAATTTGTAGACGAGGCCTGGCTCTCACAATACAAAATATGAAATTGACAATCTATGTGTTGACAAATGACAACTTGCCAGCTGTACGACATAAATGAGTAATAGAGAGGCGCCCGCGATATTTATTCGTGCGTATCGATTACGTATGTAACGTTTCAAATCGATGCTTAGTGAAGAAAGGAGAAGAAGTTTAAAAAGGCTAGTGTTGTAATTATTTGGAATCAAATATGTCACATAAAATTAACAAATTATATCTCCACTTTGATCGCAAGTAAAAAAATTGTTGAATAATCATAAAAGGAAGTGTATTGGTTTATTCAAATCTGTTGTGGAGACAGACATGTTTAAGCGTTATTATTGTAGATCACTCGTAAATATATACCAGTTAGTGAACAACTTAAAGTTTATGTTTATCCATTATGCGTACATATACACACATACACATGCTATCATCATGTATGATTGCATATATGATAGGTAGAAGTATAAGGTGATTCCCTAAAGAAAGTTTCTGTCGACTATTATTATTTTAAGCTCTCGAAAAATTTCAAGAAATCGATATTTTTAGTTACTTTTTATAACAATTTCAACATGATGTTTATACTTAATAGTTTAAACATCATGCTGGAGTAAATTGCCTTAAACATTAGTTAGTACCAACCATTACTAGTAATAGTCTAAAGAAGAAAGAGAAGGTGTTTACGTAAATATACAAACAATCAAATGTGCGGCTTGTAGAATGAAACACCCGTAGTGCAATAAAACTACAATTGAAATTCCGACTTCATAATATGTCAAGACGGCTTTGACTTTGTAATTTTCACGGGCCGAAAACCACTTAAGATCAGATGTAATATGAACTCTTTGAAGGAATGACGGAAAGTTATCGCATGAGTTGCGACCATTTCACATGAACTCAGAAGCTATAAAGGACTTTTATTTTAGCTGGCCAGCTTCCAAATTCACTTTTATGTTAAACTTATTAATTATGTACTGTATGACTTCTGTTATGACTTCTGTAGTCTGGGGACTGTACATAATATATCGCTGTATTCGTGTGAAGTTCATAGAGTAAGATACAACATTCTATTTAGCAGTGACGTTGAAGACTGCTCAAACTTTAACGCATACTTTTATTTGAATAAGGTGCACATCGGTTAACAAATGACAGAATAATTAAAACATTCCTTAATAATTCCGGAGCAGCCGAGTTTGAAAAATGTGTCTTAAATTATCTATATCTATACCTACTAATATTATAAAGCTGAAGAGTTTGTTTGTTTGAACGCGCTAATCTCATGAACTACTGGTCCGATTTGAAAAATTATCAGTGTTAGATAGCCCAATTATCTAGGAAGGCTATAGGCTATATAACATCACGCTAAGACTGATACAAGCGGAGCACCAATAAATATTTTTTCAAAATCGGGTATTTTTTATCTTTTGAGAGCTTCTACTGCGTGCGCTGCGGAAACGGTTAAAGTTTCGCTAAAATAACGTGTGTGTGAATTATTCCCCATGAAAAGATCTAAAAAAAGTCCGCAACAGCATATGTCTATATATTAAGGTTGGCTCTCTATAACGTTTTTTATGCTAACCAAATTTGTTCTAAAATAAACCATTATTTGTGAAGGTGTTTTTATAGAGATGATCTTCTACGTAAATGAAGAGGCGGGTAAAATTTAGCGTTATGCCAAACTAACTATTCCACGCGGACGAAGTCGCGGGCAAAAGCTACTTAATATATAAAAAACTTAGATTTTTTTTGCCGTTGTAGGCAGAAGAAGGTACGTATCGCCTGATATTAAGTTCTTGCCGTTATAATGGATGTCAGCAATCAAAAGTCCAAACCAAGGCTGTACTGCTGTACATTTTGCGCATACCTCGCTTTAAGAACTACATGGCATAGCACTGAGGCAACGTCGCGGAAAGAAATTTATCCGAAAGCAGGTTGGCACGTGACAGAAAAGATCTGTGGAAACGCACTATGGATGAACGAAGTAATTCTAAGTAGTTTGGATAAACTCAAGTAAGCTGGCGGGCGGTGCAATAGTAACCAGATATGAAATTATCCATCGTAATTTAAAGTGATCATCTACGAAAGTAGTCGTCGTGGCCTGAAGGATAAGACGCTCGGTGCATTCGTATCTTGCGATGCATCGGTGTTCGAACCCCGCTATTTTTCTAATGAAATACGTACTTAACAAATGTTCACGATTGACTACCACGGTGAAGGAATAACATCGTCTAATAAAAATCAAACCCGCAAAATCATAATTTGCGTAATTACTGGTGGTAGGACCTCTTGTAAATCCGCACGTATTTTTTTTTTATTGCTCTTATAAGCAGACGAGCATACGGCCCACCTGATGGTGAGTGGTTACCGTCGCTCATGGACTTCAGCAATGCTAGGGGCAGAGCCAAGCCGCTGCCTACCGCTTAATACTCTCCATAAGCCTCGTTTGAAGAAGGACATGTCATAGCGCTCGGGAAACACCGTGGAGGGGAGCTCATTCCATAGCCGGATGGTACGTGGCAAAAAAGATCTCTGGAAGCGCACTGCGGATGACCGCAGTGGCTCCAAGTAGTATGGATGAACTCTACTCGGGCGATGCGATGGTAAAAACGAGACGTTGGTATCATCTCGAACAATTCCTCAGAGCACTCCCCATGGAACATTCGGTACAAAATACAGAGGGAACCGAAGTCCCTCCGCAGACCCAGAGGCTCCAAGCGATCCGCCTATTTGTCTTATAGCAGTAATGTGTAAATCCATAATCGAATAGTGAACTTTCCCTTGAAGTTTGTTAAAATGGATGTTATCCTTTTTTATTTTTTTTAAACTCGAAGACATTACGTGAATTTTCATTATAACCTTTAACCTTAAATTAGAGATTAGGGGAGGGGGAAGGAGTTGAAGAAAATCTTACGAAATCTCACCGTGGGGGTCGAAAAATTCTCAAAAATGCCTCACGTAATCAATGGATGCCCCCTTTCAGCCTAAACATAATTTTTGCAGAATCTCGCATGAGATTAGGGGGAAGGGGGAGTGAGTTGAGGAAAATCTTACAAAACCTCATAATATGAGACAGGGTGTGTAGAAAATTTCTCAAAAATGCCTCACGTAATGAATGGACGCCCCCTAAATTACAAAGCTATCGTTTTTTTTTTATCGCAACAATTCCAATGACAGATTAATATAACACTTAAATCACAAAACGTTTTCACGCTGTTTGCCCTTCATTTCTACTTTTACTACTCTTTTTAATATGCCCCCAGTCGTGTTCGGAATGCGAAACCAATGAAAGTAGGTCACGAACCAAATAGAAAATACAAATCTACTGCCAACGTTTACGTCACCGTTATGAAGAAACAGAAATTGCAGATGACAATAAAGAGCAATGTTTGCAATAAAAAAAAATTGGGTAGTCCAATCTTCTCATTAAAAAGGGCTCTTACTATTAGTTACTTTAATAATATTTCACTTTGAACTAGAGATTGCAATGCTTTGTATTTTACCAGCCACAGCATGCATGTGGATTTTATTAATTGAAATTTTTTGAATGTAAATTTATAAATTTAAACGTATTTTGGAGTGAGGCGGTCACGTGTTAAGGCATTATCGACACTTGAATCTTTTGTCTTAGGACAACAAACCTTTATAATTTTATGTTTGATTGTGATGTGTGTGGGCTCGCGTAGGTAATCAAACGCACGTAAATTCGAAATTAAGCGATCCCATTTAAGACAATACATGTATCAATGAAAGATTATCCTTTCTATGCTGATTTCGCAAATGCACTATTTCATGTAACTTGCGTAACATGTTCAGACTCCTACTTCTCCAAAGCTTCCAAAACTTATTGGCAGGGAAATATTCAATACCCGAAAGGGAGTACAAAATGGCTTTGAAGAGTTTGTTGACTCCAGGACACCAGACTTATTCAAGAAGGGCATTAAAAAATTTCCAATGCGCTTGCAGAGATGCATCGATGGCTTGGGTGCATATTATATGATGCATATTAATGATGACTTTTGGTATGCTGAGCGGCGTTTGCATAGAAAAAAACTTTTGCATAGAAAATATATATCGTGGCTTAAAGGACAAGACGTCTGGTGCATTCCTGTTGAGCGATGCACCGATGTTCGAATCCCAGGCGGGTACCAATTTTTCAAATGAAAAACGTACTGAACATTTTTTTTTTTTTTTTTTTTTTCCTACCTAAGCTGATAGCCTTGAGAGGCTATGTCAGCGTAACCCTAACTTTAGTAGGTGAGCTCACGGGGCTCAACCTGACGATGTTGCTAACACGAACCCTAGCAAGAGCCGTGCTTCGCAGAATCTACCACCGGATCGGAAACGCGACCCACTGAGAAGATCCGGCGAGAAACTCAGTGGGCTGTGTCNCGGGAAACACCGTGGAGGGGAGCTCATTCCATAGCCGGATGGTACGTGGCAAAAAAGATCTCTGGAAGCGCACTGTGGATGACCGCAGTGGCTCCAGGTAGTATGGATGAACTCTACTCCGGTGGCGGGCGGTGCGATGGTAAAAACGAGACGTTGGTATCATCTCGAACAATTCCTCAGAGCACTCCCCATGGAACATTCGGTACAAAATACAGAGGGAACCGAAGTCCCTCCGCAGACCCAGAGGCTCCAAGCGATCCGCCTATTTGTCTCATAGCAGTAATGTGTAAATCCATAATCGAATAGTGAACTTTCCCTTGAAGTTTGTTAAAATGGATGTTATCCTTTTTTATTTTTTTTAAACTCGAAGACATTACGTGAATTTTCATTATAACCTTTAACCTTAAATTAGAGATTAGGGGAGGGGGAAGGAGTTGAAGAAAATCTTACGAAATCTCACCGTGGGGGTCGAAAAATTCTCAAAAATGCCTCACGTAATGAATGGACGCCCCCTAACAAAGCTATCGTTTTTTTTTTATCGCAACAATTCCAATGACAGATTAATATAACACTTAAATCACAAAACGTTTTCACGCTGTTTGCCCTTCATTTCTACTTTTACTACTCTTTTTAATATGCCCCCAGTCGTGTTCGGAATGCGAAACCAATGAAAGTAGGTCACGAACCAAATAGAAAATACAAATCTACTGCCAACGTTTACGTCACCGTTATGAAGAAACAGAAATTGCAGATGACAATAAAGAGCAATGTTTGCAATAAAAAAAATTGGATAGTGCAATCTTCTTATTAAAAAGGGCTCTTACTATTAGTTACTTTAATAATATTTCACTTTGAACTAGAGATTGCAATGCTTTGTATTTTACCAGCCACAGCATGCATGTGGATTTTATTAATTGAAATTTTTCGCATGTAAATTTATAAATTTAAGCGCATTTTGGAGTGAGGCAGTCACGTGTTAAAGCATTATCGACACAGAAGTCGTCGTGGCCTAAAGGATAAGACGTCTGGTGCATTCGCGTTGAAGCGATGCACCGGTGTTCGAATCCCGCAGGCGGGTACCAATTTTTCTAATGAAATACGTACTCAACAAATGTTCACAATTGACTTCCACGGTGAAGGAATAATATCGTGTAATAAAAATCAAACCGGCAAAATTATAATTTGCGTAATTACTGGTGGTAGGACCACTTGTGAGTCCGCGCGGATAGGTACCACCGCCCTACCTATTTCTGCCGTGAAGCAGTAATACGTTTCGGTTTGAAGGGTGGGGCAGCCGTTGTAACTATACTGAGACCTTAGAACTTATATCTCAAGGTGGGTGGTGCATTTACTTTGTGGATGTCTATGGGCTCCAGTAACCACTTAACACCACGTGGGCTGTGAGCTCGTCCACCCATCTAAGCAATAAAACAAAACAAAAACTTGAATCTTTTGTCTTAAGACAACAAACCTTTATAATTTTATGTTTGATTGTGATGTGTGTGGGCTCGCGTAGCTATTCAAACGCACGAAATTCGAAATTCGAAATTAAACGATCCCATTTAAGACAATACATGTATCAATGAAAGAGTATCATTTCTATGCTGATTTCGCAAATGAACTATTTCATGTAACTTGCGTAAGATATTCAGACTCCTACTTTTCCAAAGCTTGGACAACTTATTGGCAGGGAAATATTCAATACCTGAAAGGCAGTATAAAATGGCTTTGAAGCGTTTGTTGACTCCAGTACACCAGACTTATTCAAGAAGGGCATTAAAAAATTTCCAATGCGCTTGCAGAGATGCATCGATGGCTTGGGTGCATATTATATGATGCATATTAATGATGACTTTTGGTATGCTGAGCGGCGTTTGCATAGAAAAAAACTTTTGCATAGAAAATATATATCGTGGCTTAAAGGACAAGACGTCTGGTGCATTCCTGTTGAGCGATGCACCGATGTTCGAATCCCAGGCGGGTACCAATTTTTCAAATGAAAAACGTACTGAACAAATGTTCACGATTGACTTCCACGCCTTCACCGTGGAAGTCAATCGTCATAAAACCGTGTGATAAAAATCAAACCCGTAAAATTGTAATTTGCGTAATTACTGGTGGTAAGACCTATATATATTATATACGCCTATGTTTAGAAAGTTGTTTGGCTCTTTTACTCTTTCTCTTACTCTTTAATGGTTTATGATAGCACTTAAAAACAACCGAGGAGGGAAATGAATCCTAAAGCCGAGTGAGAGTTGAGAAAGATTATGTTTTTAATGCACTGTATTCCATGATATGAACCACGGTGAACAAAACGGTTCCCTGTATTCAGGATGAGAGTTCTGCACTAAGGAGCGGAACTAAAACTAGTGATCATCCCAAAAACATCCTTTGTGTGTTTCTCCTAGTACATACGTAACATAACCAGCGAAAACCCATAATCTATTTGCCATTTGCCTTAATATAATTCGAAATATTACGTCTATCATAAAAAATTTAGAACAGATTTAATTTTTCTCACCTAATTAGTTCAATCGCCAAAACTAGTTGAATTAAGCCAAATAAAACATTATGCAATTTTCTTCACGATGCAATATTCGATATATCGTTACTGAAGTAACTTCTAGGCGAGGGGAAAGCAGGGGGTAACCGCCCCTTGGTGGGCGCCAACAATATTCAGTCCGTTGCTCGCTCTCCTGCGGGAAACAGATGGCGCTGCAAAATGCCGAGTGTCACGAATAACTCGGAAATCTCACGGCGGATAGGTGCACCGTGCACTGTCGCGTTATCCGACAAATGATGTGAACTGAATCCGATGTACAACCGGACCGCGCTGCTCACGTCAATCATGATTTTCGCCTTTTTCGCTTTGTGTATGCTCGGACTTTTAATTGTCAATCAATCAACGCCCGTAAGTGTGAATTTATCCACCTAGTTTGAAACTATGAAACCTATATGTACTTAGTTAAAAAGAAAAACGTTTGAATCTTTAAAAGTAGTTACTAAAATATTTCAATGTAATATGTATCGTATTTAAGTTTATTCCGTTAATTCGACTTTCAGTTTAAACCATGAGATGTCCTAAATTTTAAGTATTATTAAATTAAAAAACCAGTTAAGTGAATATTCTAAACGAACATGACTACCCGTACAAAATAAGCAGTGCAATTAGTTTATAAATTGTTAAAAATCGCAGACACTAAGCCGATTTATATTAATTTATAATGAGATGTTTGCTAAATCTGTCGCAAATCCGGTCACGAGGTTGAGAGGTACTTGTGGCATCGCGTTTCCTACATTTGACAGTGCGATCGATCGGCGGGATTCATGCGCCGTGCTCTGAATAAGCACGTGGCGGTTGTATTCCTTTAATTTGCAGAAACTGGTTCACATTTCACCTTTAGATCTAAGTTAATTCAATCTATCTATATATATAAAAATGAATTGCTGTTCGTTAGTCTCGCTAAAACTCGAGAACGGCTGGAGCAATTTGGCTAATTTTGGTCTTGAATTATTTGTGGAAGTCCAAAGAAGGTTTAATAGATAAATAAATATGAAAATGCTCGGAATTACATAAAAATAACAATTTTGTTTTTTCTTTGATGTGTCCCCCGTCGGACGGATTCCTTTTATTTGTTTTAAGTTTATTTTATACAAAGGTTTACGTTTAGGCACTACGAAGTCTGCCGAGTCAGCTAGTACAAAATAAAAAAACAGTTCCGTTTACCCTAATATATTAATGTGATTTTTTAATTCAAAATCGTAAAAATCGATTTTCATACGAACGTAAATTAGCAAAAAAATATGAGGTGTTGTTGTATATTGCATATACAATACCCGATTGTTGGAAGACTACGGGGCTATTCCCATTACGCGTGGACTGGTAGGTGAGCTCGCGGAACTACACCTGAGAGGATACTAACATTAGCCTCAGCAAGAGTAGGGCTTCGCTGGATCTACCACCGGATCGGAATCGCGACCCACTGAGAAAATCCAACGAGATACTCAGTGGGTTTGAGGAATCCTGTCTTTTTGCTATGCACGGAGTTACGGTTTAGATTTAAATGGATACCGGAATGTGTCGCCACACACTTTAAGCCGCTTTCAGACTACGCTATAATATAATAGTATATAGCTCATAGCACAACAATATCGCACACCATACATTATTATGGACACGTTCACACTGTAGGTACTATATATTATTGGTTAAATATACGCTATATGACACTATAGTATAGCGTAGTCTGAAAGCAGCTTTATGTCATAAGGTTGAAGTTTCAATCTATATACTTAGCCTACTTATAAATTATATATCTATTTCCGTATGCAAATATAAAAGTTTATGTGTTTGGATGGTTTGGTTGGTTTTTAAATTTGGCCTGGATAAGTACATAGAATACCTACTTCTAGTCAACAAAAACTACCAGACCGCTACCCTGTTTCCTGATTTTACGTGACTTATAACTTTACTCGTAGTTTATCCGCCAGATAATGACACAAGGAATCCATTTTAGCGGGAAAACGCAACGCTTTTCATTTCTAAATTACAAAAAAAAAGGTATATTGCTAGTGAAGCCGCAGGGCGTGTCTAGTAGTACAATAATGAAGAAGAATACGTTATCCGTGAAAGTGGAACGCATGAATGTTTCCGCAACGCGTCTGAAATAGGCAGCAAATTTTCACCTACCCGTGAAATTTTATGAACCACACCATTTTAGATTTCGCTGTTTTCAAAACCCATCTCTTAGCAAAGTTTTGCGACGTAGGCTATGAATGCCTAAACGATCTTCTTTAGAAATCGCTTGAAAAGTCCGTTTGAAAAAGATATGTTGCGCCCTGGGGACGTATCTGTCTACGTGCTTAGAATTTCAATGAAGCTCCTTTCAAAAGTATACAAAGTTCTACTATTTTTAAACAACATTTATCTAAAAAACGCATAAGTTTCCAGGAACGAAGGCAAACGTATTTATATTTTGAAATTCTTTCACAAATGGCTTACGAATAGGAGAAACATTTTAGCGGCAAGCGAATATACTGTTTTATAGTGAGGAACACACTTAAAACGATAAGTTACGTGAGACTGTGACTTTATTGTTTTTTTTATTGCTTAGATGAGTGGACGAGCTCACAGTCCACCTGGTGTTAAGTGGTTACCGGAGCCTTTAGACATCTACAACGCAAATGCGCCACACACCTTGAGACATAAGTTCTAAGGTCTCAGTATAGTTACAACGGCTGCCCTACCCTTCAAACCGAAACGCATTACTGCTTCACGGCAGAACTAGGCAGGGTAGTGGTACCTACTCGTGCAGACTCACAAGAGGTCCTACCATTAATTTCCTTTTTTTTACCTACCTAATCCCCGGTAGCCTCGGTAGAGCAAGCTCATGGAGCTCAGCCTTTGTAGGTAGGTATATTATTCTAATTAATATTCTAAATAATGATAAACTGTAATGCCGTTTACATTTGCAAGATTGTTGCAGTGTGTGAGCGAGCCGATTTGTCCTGAAGGATCAGGCTGCTTGCCTGGATGCTGCACGACAGCTAACGTACCGCCCGCTCGCCGAGATGACGAACAGATCAAAGACTATGTGTATCCCTGGTATGCTCAATGGTGAGGTTACAAGATAATACTAACTCTATGGTTACAATAGTTTACTTTTTTTATTAGCACAATAATAGGCATACGATTTCACCACTAGAGCTAACTACAGCTCATAGTCATTGAGATATTTTTATTTTATTTTGATGAGAGTGAAATTTTACGATGCGCGCGCACCGTGACACGAAATTAAGAGAATGAAGTTGCCCACTAAATCGCTCATTACAATACGACCGACGTAACTTGGCGAGTCTGAATATAGCCGCAGGTGAACTTTCCGAACCGTACCGAGAATTACCGAATTTATACGACGTCAAGAAAAGGGATGTCCAATATGCGTGTTTGAGGATGTTGTTTAATCGATTTTTTTTCAAATTGATTAAAATTTAAATAAAAGAAAAAAAAAATTTTATAAACATAAAGTATAACTTCTTACCCGCGTACATAAGTACACGCACCCTTTTTTTAACTTAGGTAGGTGGACGGGCTCACGGCTCACCTGATACTAAGTAGTCACCGGAACCCATAGACATATAGAACGTAAATGCCGCCACCTACCTTTGAGATATTAGTTCTAAGGTCTCAGTTTTTACAATACAACGTTTGCCCCACCCTTCAAACCGAAACGCATCACTGCTTCATGGCTGAAATAGGCAGGGTGGTGGTACCTACTCGTGCGGACTCACAAGACGTCCTACTACCAATAAAGATTATTTTCGATTATTTTCAGGCCGGTGCTATTCGTTCTTGGCACACTCGGGAGCATCTTAGTGTGCTGTGTCTGGTGTTTGTTCTACAAGCGGTCACAATCAGGATTTTACATGTGTTCGTTTGCGTGCTGCGTCCGGAGGCCGGCCTCGGAACGTGACTCCGCCGGCTCGGTGTACCCCCCGCCGCGCTACAGCCGATGCGGCTCTTTCCATCAGCCACCGCCACCCTATTCTGAAGTAATTGGACTATTTGGAATTAATTGAAAAAGTTATTGGAATTTAGAGTTGTTGTGACCTAAAGGATATGACGTCCCGTGCATTCGTATTTAGCGATGCAACGGTGTTCGAATCCCGCAGGCGGGTACCAATTTTTCTAATGAAATACGTATTTAACGAATGTTCACGATTGACTTCCACGGTAAAGGAATAACATCGTGTATAAAAATCAAACCCTCAAAATTATTATTTGTATAATTATTGGTGGTAGGACCTCTTGTGAATCCGCGCGGATGGGTACCACCCCCCTGCCTATTTCTGCCGCGAAGCAGTAATGCGTTTCGGTTTGAAGGGTGGGGCAGTCGTTCTAACTATACTGAGACCTTATATCTAACTTATATCTAAAGGTGGGTAGCGCCATTTACGTTGTAGATGTCTATGGGCTCTGGTAACCACTTAACACTAGGTGGGCTATGAGCTCATCGACCCATCTATGCAATAAATAAATAAAAAACGATGCTCTCCTAATATGCGGACCGATTTGTCAAACAATTGAAGAGCCTCACGACCGCTATGGTGTTTACCGCTTTCCGGTATCCGCATAGATATCACATTACGAATACTGATACCCAGCTGAAGACACAAATTCTTGGTTACAATTCAAGAACACGATCCTTCTGACCAGAAAACATCAAATAAACGGACCGTTTAAATTAAATTTGGATTAGGGTTAGGATAGTTGTTTTACAATTAAAACTGCAACCTCTAAGGTCAAGGTGGTTGTCAGCATGTAAAAATACTCATGGTCTCCAGTATCCACTCACCACCAGGTCTACAGAGAGCTGGTTAACCAATTTATACCACAAAAAAACCTAACAAATATTAACTACTTTTGAAATTGAATACAGTTTTTCCTTTGCCTTAGTACAGTTTTTTTATTCTCAGTTAAGGCTTGTGGAACGATCTTTATACAGCCTCTATTATACCTACGTACCTAATATTTGCAGGTCACTTCTAAACCGGACCTGTATCCTCTAGTCATTACTTACGGAGACAGTGATGCTAAATCAGGAGGGAACTATCTCATGGTGCACTATTTCAGGAATTACGTGATCCGTGCTCCAGGTGATTATAATTAATCTAATTAGATATTCCGCTTAGGCAGTGTTTATTGGTTCTTGAAGGTTGTGAAGAATTAAAGTAAATAAAAGCGTCATCAAATTGATTTCGAGCATCAATTGAGCTAGCTTTTGCAATGAGCTTTGAAAATAAAGTAGATTAAAAAAAAAAAAAGAACTATTTTTAACCCGTCGTTACTGGTTACGGTATTAGAAAGAATATAAAAAAATTTTTTTATTGTCACCGATCCTAGATGCGTCTACGGATTGTCAAGTCAATCGGACCTCTTGAAGTCTGCGAAAATGACATTCAAAAATACCATTACATGCAAACAAATACAACTAAATATCAAGTTAACAAAAGGTAGCTATAAAAGATATAAAAGGTTGGCAGCGGCTTGGGTCTGCCTCCGGCATTGCTGACGTCCATGAGCGACGGTAACCACTTACCATCAGGTGGGCCGTATGCTCATCTGCCTGCTTGGGCAAAAAAATAAATAAAAAAAAATAGTCCTGGGGATGTTTTTTGATAAATAGCCAAGGAACTGGCCCTGGTCACGGAACTCTCAAGAATTAATAAAGCTTTCTCTTTATTTCTGACACGTATTTTGGGTATTAAGAAAATATATCTATAAAAAATTATAATAACCGACGAATATTTTTCTATCCTTTCACGCACTAATTGGTTTAAACGATTGCACATGCAAAGGGACTAATTTAATTATACAATTACTTACCTCAGCATCCGACAACAGTCGTTCTCTGAACTCGCAAACATAAAACGCGTCTCGCAAAATGTTAGATCTAATCAGAGACGAAGTTAAAAAACACGAGGGCGCATTAAAATTGACGAAACTTAACCTTACCACTGTTAGTTTAGATTTATTTTTATTTTTTATTCGTTTATACGAATATAATAAATTTTCAGACATAATTCTATATAGTTTGTTTTAATATTAACAGGCTCTTTATCGGCGGCGAGTACTGCAGAATCTCTCAATTCCAGTTTCTTATGCAACGCAACAAATGAGGTGACTCAATTTTACTTTAAAAATAAATAATAGCTTAAAAAAACTTAATGTTTCAAAAAATACAATAAAATATTTTTTTCTTACACTATTTTTAATTTAAATTTATTAAAATTTATTTTCTATTTTTTTGTTAGATTTTCTATGAAAGCGTATTTTGTTAGTTTTTTTAAACTATTATTTATTTTTCATTTTTTAGGTGAATTACAATTTTTTAAATATTTTTTTTCTTTTTTTTAATATTGAATTGTCATCGTTCCTTAATAAGTATACTAAATTTCGAGTTGATCCGACGTTTTGAAGGGGGTCGAAATCATGTTCAAAGATTCCGTTACAAACACATACATACGTCTGAAGCTAATAAAAGCGTATTAAAAATTAATTGACACTGTATTTATTATATTACGGAGGTGTTGAGCTTCTATTTCTCATTAATAAGACTATAATACACTCGTGCGTAGTAAAAACGTAATGACGTCCACGAACATCGACAAAATGTAAAGGACCATCGCTGAAGACGACAAACGTAGCTACCTAATGAAATTTACTTAATATCAAAATCTTGCCAATGAGGTCCAAAGCGAGGGCAGCTGGTAAACGCTTCGCGCGTCACACTAGCTCTCTGATTCTGCGTATCACCACATTTACAGACAACCAATGAGGTGGACTGATGACCTGATCAAAATAGTTGGTAAAGACTGAATGCGAAAGGCAAGAGACCTAAAATAATGGGGTGCAAGAGACCCACACTCAGCGCTGGGTGGACACAGGCCGAAGAAGAGAAAAGAATCACCTCACTTTTAATTCTATTGTGTTCAGTGAAAACCCTCACAGCCCATGGCGATCCGCTTAGTTAGCAGCATCCCTTAGCACTTCAACCTTATGCCTCCTCCTCAAGGTAGAAGGTGGCATTAAAGATAAAGTCTCTATACGCTCCAGTAATATTTCTTCATCGTGTCGTCCTTGAGCTCGTCTGAAAGTCTTCTATTGGTAAATAAATACAGAAATCAGTTTTGCATTGCTTGCTGATCTGTTCTACAGTTGATCCGTCTGTGATTCCCGTAATTGTACTGTGCACTGCTATAATTGTACTGTGTATTGTATTTGTACTGTGTACTGTAATTTTACTATGTATTGCATTTTAATGTGTACTGTAATTGTACTGTGTACTATATTTGTACTGTGTACTGTATTTGTACTGTGTACTGTAATTGTACTGTATACTGTAATCGTACTGTGTACTGTAATCGTACTGTGTACTGTAATTATATTGTAATTGTGTTCGGACAGGCGAATTCAGTCATCCCGCCTCCGTACTCGTGCGCGAGCAATTACGAGGAGTGCGGCGCCGTCGGCTGCGGGCGCTCGCTGCTACGTTCGCTGTCCTCCCTGACGGAGCCGAGGGAGCCGCGCACCGTGCTAGCCCGACCTCGCCCCGTACCTGAATCCACCACCTCACGACCTCATGAACCAACCATCGGCTTCCGAGAGAACCTCATCACATCACCTGTGCAATCCTTAGTAAGATTTTAAATCATTCGCCATTCACATAATTAGGTCTATCATCATATTACTGATAAGGCCTGCTTTAAGCTGTCAAGTTTGTAATTAAAAAACGACTGGTTAGATAAAAGATGTTCTTCTAATTAATTTTAAAGGTTATATTAATATCAGATGCTAACTTTTAATAACTTATACACCGTTTGATATCTATGTATTACTGTAAACATGTCCCAAATTAACACAAACGTAAAAATAATTAATTATAATGTCTTTCGCATATTAAAATATGTTTTTTATTTCACCAGGGTCATTCCTATGACTTCGAAATGGAACTGTTAGATTGTGAACTATATTGTGACGGTAGCTGTAAACCAAGACTAGGTGCGTCTCCTCCAGCTCTCAGATCACCTTCGGATCATAGTGAATCAGCTGCTGACCGCGAACCTTTAGAGTTGAGGCACCTATTCCGGTGTCCGTCACCCGAATGCGAGTCACCACCGCAGCCCACCAGTCCTACTCAAGTCTCCAGAGAATCAACGCTTCAAAGACCACCTGAAGAGAGAAGATCTCGACGCCTGGAAGCCGCCAAGAAAGCGCTTAAAACAAGAAAATCGAGCTTATACATGCCATTGACAGCAGCGTACCCGGTTAGGACTTCAAGAATATCGCCTGGTGCGAGGCTGTCGTCACGATCAGCGCCCGCAACGCCCTGCAGTTCCATCGTGCCCAATCTACTGACGTTTACTCAAAGAGTGTCTGCCTCAAGGCACAGCTCGAAGTCATCGAGACTCGAAGAAGAGAAGGACCCATTACTGAAAGAATTAGAAACGCAAGGCGATCACAAGTTTTAACGAACAAAACAAAAGTTATTATGACAACAATTACAGAGTTCTCAGTCTGAATATTAAAAGATAGATGATTTTGATACAAATTTCAGTGATACAATTCTCTGTGGCCTAATTAGCTAAATCTTGCCTTTAAAATGTCCCGAGCGGCAGAAATATCTCAATTCTGAATGTTGTGATTGTTCGTGTGCTCATTTTGTAGAGCTGAAGATATTAGTTAGTCAAATTAATGTAATTCAATTATACTTATGGCGTGTAAGAAAAGAGCTTGTTGGACCATTGTTCACTTGCCTTCTTATAATAAAATTCTAAAAATATGTGTTATTAATTTTATTTTGTTCGTGATTTCAAACTATCTTTATTTACCTTTAAAACCACTTTATCCTATAAACCAATTATATGAACATCTAAGACTAAATTTAATAATAATTTCATTGCACCTACCATTATTTACTCTGCACTACCCTTGGTTGACTGGTAAATAATACCTTAGGCATTAAGTCCGCCGATGTATATTTTACATGAAAAGCAATATATAAATAAATAAAAAAGCCCAGCGTGTCAATTATCTCCTCGGTGAAGGTATATCGTGGTGTAATAAAGTGATGTCCGTAAAAATTATAAATTTGCATATTTACTGGTGGTAAGGTTATGGTGGTAGCCCACACGGGTAAGTATCTTTTTTTTCTATACCTGTGTGTAGATAGCTTCTCGATTTGAACGGTGGTACAGCCATACCAACTGTAATTTTGATCTCAGTCATGAGGTAATCTCTTCATTTGAAGAAATACATTATCAATGAATCGACTACAGTGGTTTCTGAATAAAATCTGGCATTATTTTTGTGTGTATTAATCTATTTTTCAAAATACACCAGAACTAAAATAATTAAGGATAAAACGTCCGGTGCATTCGTATGTAGCGATGCACCGGTATTCGAATCCCGCAGGCGGGTACTAATTTTTCTAATGTAATACGTACTCAACAAATGTTCACGATTGACTTCCACGGTGAAGGATCAACATCGTGTAATAAAAATCAAACCCGCAAAATTATAATTTGCGCAATCACTGGTGGTAGGACCTCTTGGGAGTCCGCACGGGTAGGTACCACCACTCCGCCTATTTCCGCCGTGAAACAGTAATGCGTTTCGGTTCGAAGGGTGGGGTAGCCGTTGTAACTATACTGAGACCTCAGAACTTATATCTCAAGGTGGGTGGCGCGTTTACGTTTTAGATGTCTATGGGCTCCAGTAACCACTTAACATCAGGTGGGCTGTGAGCTCGTCCATCCATGTAAGCAAAAAAAAAATGACAATTTGTTGACGAATAAGAGTTTAAATTGTCTTACAATGGCATCTTCACCGCATCAAACTTGTCCTTGGAAATTATATCGCATAGGTACATAAAACAATATTACAAAATTAAATATAGGACAATATTAAATGTATAACCTATGTATAGGACATCGTTGCCAACTTTGAAAGTCAAACTGACAATCTTAGCTGTCACTGAACTATCAAATGTCCGTGTCAAATTAGTGAAATATTCAAATTTGGTTTATTTATAGTTAACTATATTGTTAGTGTATAATCTATGATATTGTTTACATAAATTCGCCGACTGTGAGGTTAAATTTCATTCCGTACGGAGAATTGCAATTTATTACACAAACAGTCAATAAAAACCATTCAAGCTGTCGTCCAAAGTGGATATTGATATGAGCCTTACGACAGACTTCGGGCCAGATTCTGGCGGCCGTGTGAAGGTACGTTCGTATCGCGAATTTGAAGATTGTTTTACTAACAAATATATTTTTGAACTCCCAAGTCAAATCTTACAATGTTATAAACCAATAAATTTGTCTGTTAGTCCAATCTAAGCGTGGTAACAAGTTCCGTCACTTACAAATTAAACATATTTTTGGCAGGGACTAACAATAGTAAAGCCTATAGTTTACGGTAATATAGCCCGTTACTTCGGCAAGAAACGCGAAGAGGATGGTCATACACATCAATGGACTGTTTATGTAAAACCTTACGCAAACGAGGATATGTCGACTTATATAAAAAAAGTTCACTTTAAACTTCACGAAAGCTACGCGAACCCCAATAGGATCGTGACCAAGCCCCCTTACGAACTCATGGAGACTGGTTGGGGAGAGTTCGAGATCGTTATAAAGTTATACTTTCATGATCCCAATGAAAGACCAGTAAGTATTGTCTTGAATTTTTTAGTAATTATGAAATATCATATTTCTTATCATCAAAATTAAAAAGGGTTAAACCTTTTTAGAGTAAATGTAACCTGCAGCCCACTGCAAATAAGTAATTTACGGTAGGCAGCATGTTGGATCTGCTTCTAGCATTTCTGACCTCCAAGGATGATGATAACCACTCACCATCAGGTAGGCCAAACACCTACAAGGGCAATTTAAAAAAAGTTATGTCATATTTGGTTCAAACTCAAAATACACCATTTTAATGATAAAACATTTTATACTTGTAGTAATTCTAAAATAGATAAAACTTGATTACAGCTTACTCTATACCACATACTGAAATTATTCCAATCGCCGGTCACTGAAGGTACTCCCCCAACATTTGGACATGCTCTCGTCAGTGAATCTTATGAGGAAATAGTATTCCAAGAACCAACTCAACTAATGCAGCATTTGTTGAAGAATGTCAGACCAATTACGAATGGACATTGGAAACATGACACGGACTGTAAGTTTAAATTGCTATACATATTTTAAAGCAAATAATAAAGAATAATAATTATCACTTTATATATTGTACCAGTACTAAAAACACTTACATAACATAACATCGTACATTGGAACACTAAATCTTTAAATTTTTTTTTTTATTAATGACAGCTTATGACAGCTGTTATTAATATATATTTCTCTCTTATCTTTTCATATCTATTTTGTAACCTTTCATGTTAAAGTGTACAGGTGAAAGGTCACTGATATTACCCTACCTTTTTTTTTATTGCTTATGTATGTGGACGAGCTCACAGCCCACCTGCTGTTAAGTGGTTACTGGCGACCATAGACATCTACAACGTAAATGCGCCACACACCTTGAGATATAAGTACTAAGGTCTCAGTATAGTCACAACGGCTGCCCCACCCTTCAAACCAAAACGCATTACTGCTTCACGGCAGAAATAGGCAGGGTGGTGGTACCTATCCGCGCGGACTCACAAGAGGTCCTACCACCGGTAATTACGCAATTCCTTCACTGTGGAAGTCATTCGTGAACATTTGATAACTACATATTTCATTTGAAAAATTGGTACCTGCCTGCGGGATTCGAACACCGGTGCATCGCTAGATACGAATGCACCGGACGTCTTATCCTTTAGGCCACGACGACTTCAAACTACGACAACTACTTCTGCCGCCCACAATCTCATGGATTGTCCAGGATTCTTCCATAACAAATAATAGTTTCTACATTCAACTTGCACCTTAGTTGTCCTACCTATTTGTCAATGCACTTGCAATGCACTTGATGTGATTTTATACTGGTGGTAGGACCTCTTGTGAGTCCGCACAGGTAAGTACCACCACCCTGCCTATTTCTGCAATGAAGCAGTAATGCGTTTCGGTATAAAGGGCGGGGCAGCCGTTGTAACTATACTGAGACCTTAAAACTCATATCTCAAGGTGGGTGGCGCATTTACGTTGTAGATGTCTATGGGCTACAGTAACCACTAAACACCAGGTGGGCTGTGAGCTACCCAACTAAACAATAAAAAAAAATGTGTGATAAAGTTTTTCATGATAATGTTTATCACATTCTAGTTGAAGAGAAGAAAGAGAAGACTTTAGAAAGAATAATAGAAGCACAAACAAAAGTGAGGACAGAGATATCAGAGCTGAAAGAGAAACTTAGTCTTGCAAAGGAAACCATAGCTAAGTTCAAGGAAGAAATTGCCAAACTACAGAATAGTTCAGGGAACAATATTATAATGATGTAATTTTAAACGACAAATGACAAAGACCATTTTACAAAAAAAAAGTTGTAAAGCTTGTAAATAAGTAAGCATATTATTGAATATTTAGTGTAAGTGTCTTCCATATGAAAAAAGGGGATCAGTGATTCACAACCCTAACCTAATGAATGTACTATCTGAATTTATTTATTACTGAACTTATTACTGAACTATTACTTATTACTGAACTATTACTTATTACTGAATTAGCTTCCAAGTGTAATCAGTCTATGCTAAAACCAAAAAAAGGAAAAAAGGCTGTCATTACGATTACGGTATTTCGTGTTTTTATTTGGATGGCAGTTCATATATTGTAGCCATTTGCCTTATGTTTGGTAATTGTTTATCCAAACCATCTAATATGTAGTACTAATTACGAGTTCGGGTTTGAAGGGTGGAACAATTATTATACTACAAGTATACAATTGAGATTCACAGATAATTTCACATCACAATATCTATACACTGTGAATACTGCTTAATACGCGATAAAGAAATTTATATAAATGAAAATTCAGAAGACTATTCCCAAATATAAAGACTGAACAAAAAGTCAATGTAGTTTGAGTGAAAACTATTATAGTAAATTTAAGTACTTTAATGAGAATTTTTCTGTTAAAATTGAAGAAAACTGCTCAGACTGAAAATCCATTTTCAAAGAGTTTTAAAATCGTCATTTTCTCTTCCACTAGTTCCTCCTAAATAGGAATTCTTTATTGTATAATAGTATTTTTTATTTATTTATTTATTTATTTATGTACACACAGAAAACAAGACACAGTACAGAGTAATAGGAAAATTATGTACAAAGTATTTAATATCATAGGTATAATTATATTAAATACTAGTAGGCAGCGGCTTGGCTCTGCCCCTGGCATTGCTGAAGTCCATGGGCGACGGTACCCTCTCACCATCGGGTGGGCCGTATGCTCGTCTGCCTACAAGGGCAATAAAAATAAAAATAAAATGAACATTTTTATTTATTTTGTGTGCGGATGTTTAATATCTAAAAACATATCTGTTAATATATGTTAAATGTATATCAGTTGCCAATATCAACAGGACAGGGCACAGGACACAATTTGCCAGGATTATTTTCGTAGTAAAATTGATTAAAAGAAATTCTGGTATGTCAGTAGTCGATCGTATGGTATGTGAATATTTCTACTAAAATACTAATAACTGTTATCTAGGCTAGAAATAGGGGAATACATTTAGACGGACTAAACGAAAAGTCTCTGAGGCATAGTTAATTGGCCTAAAATTTGCCAAACATGAACGAAGGTAGGTGTATTTATTTTATCCTTAGCTTTGCAAACGATTGTTTTTTCGTCTATACGAAGACCACCCCGTATGCAAATTGTAAAGTAAAACCGCTGATTACAATCAATGTGCTATTGTATATTTATTATTTACAAACTTATAAACGTTTATAAATAAATAAAATGTTTTTAATATACTATCAATCAATAATTCACCTATGTAGTGTAATGAAAAAAATGAGTATTATTAAAAATACATTTACGGGTCGATCCCGTGTCTTTCACTGTATTTATATCGTTTCGAATACTTTACAGCTTTACAGTTCATACTGTGTGCTTAGTGCGAGTTTTTTAACGTTCTCGATAACGTAAAAGTTAAGTCAAATTTGTAAGGAGTTTGATCGTTTGCTGTACCACAAAGCAGTCATTTAAGGAAATTAAGACTTTGAACTCGTATGTCTCTAATGGTAGCTTCACGTTGTCCACTTTACTCCAAGAGAGGCGTGAGCACGTTTTTTTTTTGAGCCCATTGACTGACTTGATTCTACAACGTAAATGCCGCTATCCACCTTGAGAAATGAGTTTTAAGGTCTCAGTATAGTTACAACGGCTGCACCACCCTTCAAACTGAAACGCATTACTGCTTCACGGCAGAAAATAGGCAGGGTGGTGGTACCTACCCATACGGACTCATGAGGTCCTACTACCAGCCACCCACTATGCAAATAAAAGGAATGCAGACAACGTAAGGCAATTAAAAATCTACTGACTAACTTTATGAGGCTTACGGCTCGACAGTCCGTATAGTCCAATTGACGAAGTTGCTGATCTACCGCCACTGTTCAAATAATATTCATGGAGGTTGAGAAATATCTGTGTCCTTATAACGGAGGCTCTAAGTCGCGCGCATCGGGTGAGGAGGCTAATGTATCAGCATTCATTTGGTCACTCAGTCGCTTCAAAATACCGGGGTAGCGAACCAAGCAGGACACGCGCAACAAAACAGTTTAGTGTTTCCGTACAATCTTGACAGAAATTACACGCTGCGATTTTCAGAAGAGCGCAGATTGCAGTCCTTAAGATAAACACGTGTGCCTCAAAGAGTCCCATGGACCAAACGGTTCATCTTGGTATAAAGCGAAGAACGCACTGACACTCCAAGCTCTCGGTAGTAACCGATTAAAAGAGCCAGCAGCCGCCATCAGGCTAACATGCTAACCATTTGGGGTGTAAAGACAAAGAGAAGATCTTCCACCGAGCAAGTGAAACTGCTCGGTAGACTGAAGGTCCTAATGTTGTTATTCGGAACACTACAGCAAGCTACTAAACGACAAAAGTCACTAACGAGATTCAGGCATCTGTCAAATACCTTGTGATCAAATAACCTCCTGTGAGGTGTCCGCGCCTACGGGGCACGCGGGGTATGTGGGACTATGATAGCTACCCGCTACAACATATATAAACTTTCACGTCAATTCGGTTTCAACATTTCCTAAGACGCTGTGAGCTTCGTTCGATAACGCCCGTGGCTTGGAATAGCTGATTTTCGCAGCGTTACGGATGGTACAACAAGCTATAAGTAATTTCGCCAACTTACACATTTTGAACGTTTTACCATTTGCAATTTGCGCCATGACGTTGATGTTTAAATTGCATCGTAATTGTAATAAGAACGCATAACGACTTCGTGACAAAAAAGCGAAGGATGATGGCAACTACCCGCGTCGGTTTAAAATACGACCAACAGTTTGATTTAAATCGGATAACAATGATTAGAGACATACCTACCTATCCACCAATGTACGGTTAATTAAAAATGAATTTAACATATTTGAAGTCGTCGTGGCCTAAAGGATAAGACGTCCGGTGCACTCGTATGAAGCGATGCACCGGTGTTCGAATCCCGCAGGCGGGTACCAATTTTTCTAATGAAATGCGTACTCAACAAATGTTCACGATTGACTTCCACGGTGAAGGAATAACATCGTGTAATAAAAATCAAACCAACAGCAAAATTATAATTTGCGTAATCACTGGTGGTAGGACCTCTTGGGAGTCCGCACGGGTAGGTACCACCACCCCGCCTATTTCCGCCGTGAAGCAGTAATGCGTTTCGGTTCGAAGGGTGGGGTCGCCGTTGTAACTATACTGAGACCTTAGAACTTATATCTCGAGGTGGGTGGCGCATTTACGTTGTAGATGTCTATGGGCTCCAGTAACCACTTAAGATCAGGTGGGCTGTGAGCTCGTCCACACATCTAAGCAATAAAAAAAATAAAAAAAACATCCGTACGGTATCACTGAAATAGTTTAGTGTAAACATAAATCAAGAATTCGTACCTAATTCTTGAAACTGAACTGTGTCAGTTAAATTTCCGTTGCACCAAAATGTCAATAGCTCGATACATATTATTTGGATAGTCCTTGGACTGGTAAATGAAGTGTGTCAGTTACTGTATAAAAAACACTATTATGCGGGTGCGTGACACAATACCTATAGAATTGATTTTAACCTTACATGAACATTTTATCGCTCAAATTTTAACCATTTCCTCACCTTCAGTTGTACGATGTTAGTGAAAAGTAATGTAAAAAGTGCGTGCTCCTTTAATCTGTGACCAGTCGTAAAAAAATTATCTTATTAATTAAATTTCTGTTATCAGCGCAAATTTAAGATATATTTTTGAACCGACATAAGAATGGAGGAGGTTTTCAATTCGAATAATTTTTTTTATTAACCTCAGAACTTTTTCATAGGTGAACCGATTCTAATGATTTTTTATTTTCTATTTTTTTTTTTCTGCCTATTCGCTGGTAGCCTAAGGGGCTATTTCTGCTACGCCCGGATAGGTAGGTGAGCTCACGGTCTCAAGATGACAGAATTTTCTAACATTAGCCCTAGCAAGAGCAGCGCTTCGCAGAGTCTAGGACCGGATCGGAATCGTGACCCACTGAGAAGAACCGGCGAGAAAGAATTTTAATTTTACCGAAATCGAGATATCGGCTTCCAATTCTAAAGAGCTTCATTTTTATAATAATTAAAACAGATAAAACACGTGCAGCTTACGCGGAATCGTTTTAGTCACGCGAATGACTAGTCAAATTGTCTTTACATAACCTAATTTAATGTTTGCAGGCTTCGGACTAATATAAGTAGGTAGGATTTTAACTATAACTCTGTTGAATTTCGCAAACACTGATGCTAATGCTAGCTTAGTTTAGCAAATAAGCGCTTCGAAATGATCGCAGCGGCTTACCTAATAAGTAAGACACCCGGTGTATTCGTATCGAGTGATGCGACCGTGTCGATGCTAAAATTCCCCACAGACACTGACCACTGAGCTTCTCGCGAGATCTTATCAGTGGATGCGATTCTAATCCAATGGTGGATTCTTCGAAGCAGTCAGCAGACTGCGTTAGCAAACTCTTTCAGAGTCAGTGTAACCATCTCTAAACTATAGATCCTGCCTTACTTTAGTTGAACACCTGCCAAATCCTGCCAACGTCTGTAAAAAAATACCTAATTAATGCCAACTTTATTAACCGTTGTAACAAACCAAGAAAAGTAAAAATACAGGAGTTGTTGGCGGGAACTTAAAGGGGATGTTGTGCTATGCAGCTTTATTTTCTAACAATGTACAAAATTACTCTAAAATGAACAATATTTGAAGTATATTGATGGTTTTTGAGTATTAGTTACATGTGTGTTTATCTGAGACATTTAAACTGTGTACAAAATTGGGTTAAATTTTACGCTATCGAGAACGTTAAAAAACTCGCACTAAGCACACAGTTTGAGTCTGTGAGCTCATCTACCAGTCCGTGAGTAGCTGGAATAGCTCCTTGGGCTACCAGCGACTAGGTAGGGAAAAAATCTAGGACTAAGATTTTTTTAAAGTGATCATTTATACTGTAAACTCGCAATTAATTTGTGTACATAAACAGAAATAGAATGCCAGGACTATCTGATGTATTATGTAATAAATCTTGGTAACGATTAAACATTAAAATTGAGACTTCGAACTGATGTCAAGAGGTCGGTGGCGATGATTACATTGTGCTGAAACTTTCATCGAGAATTAGATCTAAAAGCATAGCATATTTTATGAAAAAATTCAATACTCGTGTTGATTAAATTGATTTCCAAAATTTACAATCAACTTGCTGCTTCTAAATCGAGTAAAGTGGCACAAGGCTGACCTCACCATAAGATGGGAGCTCGTCTTGCTGAATGACCAAAAAAAAATCAAGGTATTAAGTAATATTAAGTTAAAAGGAACATGTTTTGTAAACTATTGACACCGATTCCATGAATAACAACTATAGAAATGAAAGTAATAGAATTGCTCCGATGGAAAGCTTATCGGGAATGTGGAGTCTATTTTCATACTTTTTCAATGAAAGCAATGAACGATACACGAATGTGATATGTTTATAATG